AGTTGTTTTAAATCCTTTAAAAATATAAAAGATTGAATATATAGGCCAATTTTGTTTTCTGTCTTCATGTCTTCATCATGCTGATGGTATTGTATTGCTGTGCACAAGAGAACTCTGAAACAAAAGTAGTGGTTCATTGGACATTATTTTTTAATGATTCCAATTAATAGTTGAAAATGGGTTTTTTGACGGGAATTTGATGGCATTGTGTCCTGGGTATCTAAGAATGCTTAAATCCCATTCTGCCATCAGGCATTGGAGCTATACATTCAAGGGCATAATTAGTAGTAATTGAAACAAGCAGAAGTAATGTATTGATTATTATGCATGCAGCCAAAACTTAAAGGAGTGCTTTGGTTGAGCTGGAACAGAGCACTCCTCTTGGACGTGGGCCTAAGGCTGGTGTCTGACTCTTCCTGACAGGCCCCACACTTCTCCTCCCCAAAAGGAATCTTATCACCTCTGTACTTGAGACACTGTAGAGATTCTGCCAATGAAAACTTTGATTCCATTTACCTAGTCAGCTGCATGGATATAGAAGACAGAGAAAGAAGTTCATGCATCCCACTAGCAATCGTGGTCTGCTGTCACGCTCTCACCAGTCATCTTAGCAGCTCATCTCGCCTGGATGGGTTGCTAAATGAAGGGCATGGAAGGCCAGCGGAGGTTGACTTGGTGAAGGGAGAGAAGGAACTTCGTTCTCCTTCCCCACATACACTTTATGCAAGGCTCCAGAGGGGAAAGCAGAAATAGGCTGCTCCGTGTGCTAACCAGCTTCAAAGTGCTTATCGCTTTGTAGGAGGGAGAGAGAGGGAGAGTGAGATCTAGAATTCGAGGTAGAAGGTAGTTGATTTGAGAGCTCATCTAGTTGGAAGAGGTTGCTTAGTAGTGAATCTCTGAAGGCAGAATCTCATCCTTAAGCACTTGCTTCTAATACATGGTTTTTGTTTTCATTTTTAATGCCCTTGATTTAATTATAACTAGCGATATGCAAAGTGCATATTTTGCAATAAAATCTTTCTCAGTAGGGTTCACTACTGTTGGGAATATTGAGTAAAGCCTCTTTTGTATTGACATAAACAAATAACTAGACCAGTTATAGCTCTGTAACATATCTTGAGACAGTTTATTCTAGAGATTCAGTAGAGATGAAAGCCATCATAAGTAATTACTTTTTAAAATTTCTATGCTCTGTGATGATAGAATATAATTTGGGCTGGCGCCGCGGCTCACTAGGCTAATCCTCCACCTAGCGGCGCCGGCACTCCGGGTTCTAGTCCCGGTCCGGCCGCTGGATTCTGTCCCGGTTGCCCCTCTTCCAGGCCAGCTCTCTGCTGTGGCCAGGGAATGCAGTGGAGGATGGCCCAGGTGCTTGGGCCCTGCACCCCATGGGAGACCAGGAAAAGCACCTGGCTCCTGGCTCCTGGCTCCTGCCATCGGATCAGCGCGGTGCGCTGGCCGCAGCGCGCCGGCCGCGGCGGCCATTGGAGGGTGAACGAACGGCAAAGGAAGACCTTTCTCTCTGTCTCTCTCTCTCACTGTCCACTCTGCCTGTCAAAAAATAAAAAAAAAAATTAAAAAAAAAAAAAGAATATAATTTGGGGAAGAGGTTATTGAAAAGAAGGAAAATCTGGTAGAATTTCAGAATTTAAGGTGTTTCTTGTGTGTATGTGAGCATTTTTTTAAATTTGCAGCACAAACTCGACTGTCACAACTGCAGGATGAAATAGAAAAGGCTGAACAAAAAATTTTAAGAGCTACTGAAGAATTTAAGCAACTGGAAGAAGCTATCCAACTAAAAAAAGTATGTAAAAGCAAAGCAACAATGCCAAGAGGAAATGGAAAAATGAAATGTGTTTTCCCTTTTATATCCATGGGGAACCATTTTTAAATCAGTGCTGCCTAATTAATTGTGGAATGATAAATTTCAGAGTCAAATATGGTTCTAAGATCCCCTAATTATATTTCCTTTACATTCATGATGATATCCTGTTAGCATTTATAAAGTATATAGAAACATATTACTTTGCAAAAAGATGTGTTCTTTCTACTATATTAATGAAAATAAATACTCCAGGAAGTTCATTTCTAATATATCTCTTCTAATTAATTAAACCCCCCTCCTTAAGATCTAGGGACCTAGATTAAAAACAAGAAGGTATCTCTATTAAAGTACAGACATTATCAAACACAAGCAAAGAAAAGAAAATATGGTATATGTACAGATGAAAAATGTGTAACATATTCTCAGAAATTACTGACGTGTCATGAGAAAGTCAGGAGCTCAAACCTATGACATAATTGTACAGGGAGAAAAGTAAAAAAGGAATTGTTTCAACATTTTCTTTTTTAACTATGTTAAAGTTTTTGGTTATATACAACTTATAATAATCAGTATTTCAAAATTATGGCAACTGCATTCATAACATAATACGTAGAACAAGAATATGTAGCCATAATTGTATGTTTTTTAAAAGATACACTGTATTACTTTCAGATTATATAGTAAATAGAAATTGATTGGTGTTTATTGTAAGCTTACTGTATGTCATCATGGGCTATACTGGGCCATGAGTAGTGAGAAAAACAGGCCTGTATCCCTCTCTCATGCACAGGATTGTATGTGAAATAGATAAATGGTTTAGAAGTGGAAAAGATACATAAAGAGCATCAGTGTTGTAGGAAAAGCACAGAAAATGGCAGATACTAGAATTTAGGTTGTGAGAATGAAGCCCTCTGTGAGGAGGTGGCCTTGAAGCTGACACCCAAGGGCTGTGGAGAAGCCAGTGACACAAAGATGGAGTTCTCAAGAGTATTCAGGCAGAGGTGACTGTGTACCAAGCCTTTAGACTACAGGTGCCCTGCAGCATGAGGTAAGGTATACTGGAAGATGAAGTCATGAGTTTAAGGATTGTATGAGGCTTCACAGGCCATTTTCAGGAGTTTAGTTTTATTTTACATGCAGTGGGGAACCTTTGGAGGGTTTTAAATAGTAGACTGGCTGGTCCTATTTGTCAAATGTCACTTTGGCTACTGCTTGCAAGTAAACTGGGGTGAGGGAGATGGAGAGGATGGCAATGTAAGTATCAGTTTAGAGGTTGGTAGTTCAGGCAGGAGATGATCATGTCTCGTACCAGCCAGTAGGGTGATGATGGCTAGGGAGAGAACCCTGACAGATTTTAAGGAAGATTGACAGGACTTGAAGATGGGTTGAAAGTGGGAGATGAAGTGGTGAGAATTATCAAGATGGTTTTAGTCATTAAGTAAGAATATTTTGATAGCAGTAACCAAATCTACATAGATTGATGTTAATATATGTAACATAATTTTAGAATGAATGCATGCTTATAAAATATATTGGGGAAAAGTAGTTATTTTATATGAGTGAATATAAGCCTAAATTTTTCATCACACTGTTTGACATGTTAACAAAGGTAAACTTCAGCCTGCTGCTTATTCAGTAAAATAAAAATTTTGATTTAATGACAGTTTACTATATTTTACAACTCTGTAGTATGAGGTGACTACTGATGAAATTTAAAAAAAATTTTCTGATTATAAACAAATTGTGATTAGAGAGCATCACATAGTTATCATCAATATTTTATTTCCTTCCAGTCTTTTATCTGCATCTCTTTTTTGTTACACTTCTATATAGATTTTTGAGAAACATTTCTACATTAGTATAAATATCTCTGCTGGAGCCAGCATTGTGGTACAGCGGGTTAAGCTACTGCTTGTAATGCTGGCATCCTAAATCAGAATACAGTTCAAGTCACTGCTGCCCTGCCTCTTAACTAGCTTTCTGCTAATGTGTCGGCAGTGAGAATTTATCGGTCAATTAGCTTCACTTGTAAACTCACTAGGAAACTGTAGTTAGTAAAGACTCATTAGGAAAGTGTAATTAGTGAAATTGTCTTTAGAGTCTCATGACTTCGTGGTTCCTCAACCATCTAGTATGACTTTGGGCAAGTAATTTAAATTTTCATGATTCAGTTTCCTTATCTGTAAAATTGGGATAAATATACTTTCTATCTTCTATGTTTTGAATATTAAAGTACGTACCTAATAAGTGCTCTGTGAAATAAGCTATCATTAATATCATGATTATTATTAACATTTTACAAGTTGCTTATCCCAGAATGACTTCATTTGTATCTGCTATTAAATTATTGGTTTTTATCATAAAATAAAAATATTGGCCGGCACCGCGGCTCACTAGGCTAATCCTCCGCCTTGCGGCGCCGGCACACCGGGTTCTAGTCCCAGTCGGGGCGCCGGATTCTGTCCCGGTTGCCCCTCTTCCAGGCCAGCTCTCTGATGTGGCCAGGGAGTGCAGTGGAGGATGGCTCAAGTCCTTGGGCCCTGTACCCCATGGGAGACCAGGATAAGTACCTGGCTCCTGCCATCGGATCAGCGCGGTGCGCCGGCCGCAGCGGCCATTGGAGGGTGAACCAACGGCAAAGGAAGACCTTTCTCTCTGTCTCTCTCACTGTCCACTCTGCCTGTCAAAAAAAAAAAAAAAAAAATCTACATATAATCATTAAAATAAAAGATATGCCAGGCAACTAAATAACTTCCATATTGTATTTTTATTTAAAAAAACTGATAGAACATAGGAGACTTTTTAAGTTGTAGAAGTTGTCTTTGTGAATCAGTGTTGCTATCCTCTTAATTATGTTGTTATTTATGTAATGGGTGTGGGGGTTTTAGATTTCAGAAGCAGAGAAGGACCTTCTTTTCAAGCAGTTGAGTGGTAGAATACAACTTGTAAATAAATTACGCCAGGAAGCTGTGGATCTGGAAGTGCAGATGGAAAAGCAAAGGCAAGATATTGCTGAAAAGCAGGAGGAGATCAATGACCTGCAAATGGCCATAGATAACCTGGATTCCCAAGATCCAAAGCATGTAAGTAAATTAAGACATTTTTGACTTGTTCTACATAAGGATAGATAGTACACAGCTCATCGTTGTTAATAGCAGAATCCTTTCAGTTTGATGCACAAATTTAGGGGGTGTGTGTGTGTACATTATATGTGTGCATATGCACATATGTACATATATATATATACATACACACATATATGAAATGTCTGTTTTTAAAAACCTAGGATTTGAAGGAGGTAGCTTTCAGTCAATGATGACTGCATGTTTCACTTAATATGTATTGCAAAGCAAGAGAAACCATTTCCAAGAAACCTCTTAATATTTCTCCTTTCCTTACCGTTTTTTCTTTTTTCTTAAGAGCTGAAGAAGTTCAGGGTCTTTTTCTACATCTTTAATCCTTTATGCAAACATCCCACTAAAGCTATTTGTTTTGTCCTTTGAAAATAAACTGTATCTGCAGAGTATGTCTTCCTAAGATGTAATCAGGTGTGGTCAGAGTCAGGCTCTTACCTCTTGTCTTCCCTGAGAAGTCTTTCTCTAGTGGCTTATATCTTAGCTCATATGACTAAAATTCAATTAAAAATATTTTCTACACATTTCCTGGTATATTTTGGATCTCTGTATTCACAGAAATCATAGAATTTAACATGGTAAAGACAATTCACCATAATTGCTTATTAAGTACTTGACAAGTAATTTATTCCTTTAAGCATTTTAGTAAAATATACATTTTTGTGGGCCAGGTAATTTGATTAAAGTTTACTGCATCATCATAGATATAAGCTCTTTCTAACAAAAACCTAAGACTTCTTAGTAAAATTGAACACTTAGGTGATCTTGATTATTTTAAAGAATTTTTGTTGCATGAAAAATAGCAGATTTTATGTAGTATAAAGTATCATCTGGTCATTCATATTTCACTTTATTGAATTTATTTGTTTAGAACCTTTAACAAAACCAAAAAGGAAACTTAAGTGTAGTTTCTGTGTTGCACCCCAACTAGCACAGATTTTAGCTGCCTTCAAAAACTTGTACACCATTCCTGTGTCTTATGTAGCTCATTATACATTATATAAAGTGTGAGCCTTTTGGTGAAAGAGAAGAACTCTAGAGAGGAGTCCCTGCCTATTTTTTTGAGAAATGTAGATAGACTTTAATTTAATTTTTATTATCTAATCACATGAAGTTTCTTCTTGAAATGCAAATAGAATCTGAAAGTAAAGGCTTGACTCTGATGACAGAAAACAAATATATTAAGTGCCCATAATATGTCTTACTGTGCCAAATGTTTTGCATATGCTGATGAGGTACTTTATTTTATCCTAGCAGCCATATGAAATTGGTGGCATTCTTACTTTTTCCCCCTCTTTGCAAAGGATGCAAATGTGATTTAGAAAGAGTAAGTGATTTGCTTCAATGCCTCCTTTTAGGAGGAGGCCTAGCCCTTGCCCAAACTACTGTAGTGACCTTCTCACAAAGGAATTAAGAGGTCTAAACAAGAGATTATTTTAAAATTAGCCCAGAACCAAGTCTACTCAGGTTTTCAGCAAATCTAACTAGATTTGAAAATGAAACATTCTTTACCAAAGAAAAAAAATCAAATCCCACATCAGTTATAAAATTGTGCATAGCTAGATGCACAAATGTCACAGGGGCAAACGTAATAAAGATTTGTATTGCTCTTCCCTTTCGCCCTATGAAAGCAAAAGATAACCTCTCTAGAGGGAATTAGCCACAGCGATCTGTTGCAGAGTTTGGGCGTGATTGGCCCTCGGGAGCTTCCTGTGTTATGATTTAAAGCACGACGGGTGGGGCCTGCCCGCAAAGCCTGCTGGTGATTGGACGGGCTCGACTGTCACTCACTCCCCTCCGGGAATGTGGTTTAAGGCTCAACGAAATTACAGAGGCTCGGAGGCGCTTGCAGAAATGTGGCTGTCAGAGAGGGAAGTACACATGAATTTGAAGACAGCATTAGAAAGCGTTCCGCCCACAATTTCTCTCTTCTCAGCGGCTCAGTTTTAACAGGACAAATTCTAAGTTAAGGTATGATCATTTTTCTGTCTCTCGCTGTACAAAGGACTTAAAAGGAGGAGGAGTCAGAGATGTAAGTTCCTGTTTTTACAATAACTCTTTTGTGAGTTCTGTGGTAGTGAAAATCACTGAATGTACTTTTGTTCCCATGTGTTTAATGTACATCATTGAACCATACTTTGGTACTGCTTATTAGAGATTTCAGTGGAATTTTTATGGTGAACTTTAAAGATTTATTGATACAGATATGAATGCAGTCTTTTTTAAAAAAAAAAATTCTTGAGCCATAAATTAGAATGTAAACTCTTATCTGCAGTTAACTTTTTGGAAAGATTTCAGCTGGGTGTTTTGGGAGGGTAGAGAGTAATTTTGAAAAATCTCATCAAGTTTTACCAGTAGTAAATTAAAAATTTTCTAATCAAGCTGCCGCTCAAAATGAAGAGGCTTTTCTTTCTGTATTTGGGAGAAGAGATATCTCAAACTGAGCCTCTTTTGTAATCAAATGGCCCTCAGATTTGTGAACCTTGATATTCATTGTCCAGACTCTGATAACTTTCTCCTCATTTATTACTCTGTTCCTCTGGTCCATTGGGGGAGCCCAGAGGGTGTGAGTGGGAGGGCAGAGGTTCTCCGGGGAATTATTTGTCTCCACTTGAACATTGCCTGGGCAGGTCTTTTGATGGATCTGAGATTCAGTTTTCTCATGGGTGAAAGGAAAGGTTGACTCTCAGTTTGTTTTCTTTGGCACACCTGAGGCGTATCTACTCCTTTCAGTTAACGATGGCTCTACAATGTAGTGACAGGGTGTGTGGGTGTGTGAAAGCCCTGTTTTTCACCCGAAGCTTATGTAGTAGTACAAGAGTGTGCCTCCCTGTGATCCTCCATTTTGAGACTTACTGGGCTGTTAGTGTTTGAGGTCCCTTCTCAGTTTTCAGTTTATTAAATGTGAAAGCAAAATGTTAGTCTGTATATGAGACTGAAAATACACTTGAATTCTAAGTATATTTATTTGGTGTTTTCCCCCAACCTTTGTTTTAAAAACTACACTTAATGTGTTTTATCAGAGTTTTATCTATTATACAAGCGTTTTTAATTTTTAAAAAATGTAATCCTTCCACCTAGGTAAAATTCTTGTTAAAATTTTGGAATATACTTTTTAAAGTCTTATTCTATAGCCATATGTCAACATAATCAGTTAACCTTTTGGAAATCTTTTTTAAAGACACACTGTAATGCAGTGCAAATGACTGAACATGACTACATTACCTACTGGGTACACCCTTGGAAAAATCACTGAACCTTTTTGATGCTCATTTTCTCATCTGTAAAATAGAGGTGGTTCCCACCACTAGTTAGCCTGAGGTTTAAGTGAAATCTGCTCATATGGAAGCAATACAGTGCCTGATACAAAAATTTTACTCTTTTTTTTTTAAAGATTTATTTACTTATTTGAAAGAGTTACACAGAGAGAGAAGGAGAGGCAGAGAGAGAGAGAGAGAGAGTGAGTCTTCTATCTGCTGGTTTACTCCCCAATTGGCCGCAATGGCCAGAGCTGTGGTGATCCAAAACCAGGAGCCAGGAGCTTCTTCCAGGTCTCTCACACAGGTGCAGGGACCCAAACACTTGGGCCATCTTCTACTGCTTTCCCAGGCCATAGCAAAGAGCTGGATCGGAATGGAGCAGCCGGGTCTTGAACCTGCGCCCGTATGGGATGCCAGCACTTCAGGCCAGGCCTTAACCTGCTGCGCCATAGCACCGGCCCCACATTGTACTTTCAATGCTTCCTTTTAAAATGTTTTAAGGATTATTATTTTCAAAAGATTTTAAAGAACTTGAGATTTTGTTTGTTTTCAATTAGTCCCATATGAAGGCTCAGAAAAGGGGTAAGGAACAACAGCTTGACATTATGAACAAGCAGTACAAACAACTTGAAAGCCGTTTGGATGAGATACTTTCTAGAATCGCTAAGGAGACTGAAGAGATTAAGGACCTTGAACAGCAGCTTACTGAAGGTGAGTTTTAACTATGAGGTAAATCAGTTTCAGCATTAATAAAGATGAGAACCAGACAAGTCTTAATCCCTATATTAGCTAAGTATAACTGTTAGTACTACTGTTTGGTAAGGGAAATGTTTGCAGAATATCTGCAAGTGCTTAATTAAATTTATTTTAGCTTTGTTTTTTTGCCCTGATGCCTCATGAATCAGTTCATTGCATTTAGACAAGAAGTGTGCACTTGATCATAATGAGCTGTGGCATGTGAGCGTTTTCTGTGGCATCAGATCCTTCCAGAACAGAGTCCATCAGCATCAGGGGATTCAGGGTCTAGTTATAAGAAGGTTATAGAAAGAATTTTAAGATCTGCTTTTGCAACACAAATTTAATTGTAACATTCCTATGGTAGTGGTAGAGGAAGACGATGGGCTGTCGTCGTGAGAGCCCGGGCTCAGCGTAAAAAGGTTCGAGTCCCTATTTTGCTGGTATCAGTTATGTTACCTTGACAGACTGTCTCTATCTTAGGCATTATCTGTTGGGGGGATTAAAGAAGATAATGTACATAAAGTACTGGACACATATGGGATATGTATATGTAAATATATGTATATATTTTTAAGTCTTCATGTTCCATGTTTATGCTGTCAGTCTTGGACTAGTCTTGTATATTGAGTGCTTTTTTTTGTATTTAGCAGTAAGAACTCATAGTTTTGCTGCACATTTAAAATTTTTATTTATAAATAATTTAAATGTTTTACAGAATGAATCAGTCATTTTGTAAGCATTTCCCTTGAATTATATACTGTTTTTATTGTATACCTTTTTAATGTTCCTGTACTGTGGATAATAGGAAGAAAATTATCATCGTATCTTGAAAAGAAAACTAACATAGGAAATAACTAAAAGCTTACACTTATTGGCTACTAACAAATAGCTAAGAAGACAATGCAGTATTTATACATTCTTACCCTTTATCCATCATGTGTAGGCCAAATAGCAGCAAATGAAGCCCTGAAGAAGGACTTAGAAGGTGTCATCAGTGGGTTGCAGGAATACCTGGGGGCTGTGAAAAGCCAGGCAACTCAGGCCCAGAATGAATGCAGGAAGCTACAGGATGAGAAAGAGACACTGGTGCAGAGATTGACCCAAGTCGAGCATGAAAGGGACCAGCTGGAAATAGTTGCCATGGACGCAGAAAATATGAGGAAGGTATGACTGACTTCTTCCTGCCCATTCTTCCGAGCTTCAGAATTAGATGATTGTTCCAATTAAGTTAGCTAAAGGAGTTAGTGGCACTGCAGCAGTAGGGGACAAAAAAGAAATATTAGCAGCTTTGTAGTGCTTTTCTTCTTTTTAAAGGTAGGGTTTCCTGCTTCATCTTTTGCTGTGATACATTTGGAATCATTTTTTCTGTAGCTAAGAAAAGGAAAATGATTTTAGCTGTATTTCTTTTCTCTCTTCCGTTTTATTTATTTTTTTAATAAATAGCTTTTATTTAATAAACATAAATTTCATAGGTACAACTTCTGGATTATAGCGGTTCTTCCTCCCCGCCATGCCCGCCCTCCCACCCCCAAACCGTCCTACCTCCTACTCCCTCTCCCATCTCATTCTTTGTTAAGATTCATTTTTAATTATCTTTATATACAGAAGATCAATGGTATACTAAGTGAAGATTTCAACAGTTTGCACCCACACAGACACACAAAGTATGAAGTACTGTTTGAAGACAAGTTTTACCATTAATTCTCATAGTACAGCTCATTAAAGACAGAGGTCCTACATGGGGAGCAAGTGCACAGTGACTCCTGTTGTTGATTTAACAATTGACACTCTTATTTATGACGTCAGTGATCACCCGAGGCTCTTGTCATGAGCTGCCAAGGCTATGGATGTCTTTTTTTTTTTTTTTTTAAGATTTATTTTTATTTATTTGAAAGAGTTACAGAGAGAGGTAAAGACAGAGAGAGAGAGATCTTCCATCCACTGGTTCACTCCCCAAATGGCTGCAATGGCTGGAGCTGCGCTGATCTGAAGCCAGGAGCTTCCTCTGGGTCTCCCACGTGAGTGCAGGGCCCCAAGGACTTGGGCCATCTTCTGCTACTTTCCCAGGCCATAGCAGAGAGCTGGATCAGAAGTGGAGCAGCCAGCACCCATATGTGATGTTGGCACTTCAGCCTGGGGCTTTAACCCACTGTGCCACAGCTCCGGCCCCCTTAAAGCCTCTTGAGTCCACAAACTCCGACATTATTTAGATAAGGCCTAGTCAAAGTGGAAGTTCTGTCCTCCCTTCAGAGAAAAGTCCCTCCTTCTTTGATGGCCCCTTCTTTCCACTGGGATCTCACTCACAGAGATCTTTCATGTAGGATATTTTTTTGTCACAGTGTCTTGGCTTTCCATGCTTGAAATGCTCTCATGGGCTTTTTAGCTAGATCTGAATGCCTTAAGGGCTGATTCTGAGACCAGAGTATTTAGCTGTATTTCTATCCCTGAAAGGTATCGTTGTTAAATAACTAAAGAGTATCAAATTTTAACCATTACAAATGCTGTATTAAATGTTAATATTAATTGTTTGGCAAAATTAAGCACAGTACATTCTTATTCCTGTTATTGCTTGATAATTTTGACATTATTTTACAGCTAACAAGACAGTGTTGTAAATTATGCCTTTCTGTGCCTAATTTGTTTGGAGATTTCACTTGCTCTGTTTTAGTTTGGCAAACTTTATCATGCATGAGAAACATAGGTTCCAAAATTTCATATTAAGGAGGGCTGACTCCAGAAATTAAATTAATATATTTTAATATTATAAAATTTCTCATGCATATAAAAAGTATCAAAATTATATTTGAGGGATATGGTTAGGATGGTTCTTGGGACACCTGCATCCCATAACAGAGTGCCTAGGTTTGAGTCCCAGCTCCATTTCCAATTCCAGCTTCCTGCTGGTGCACACCCTGGGAGGCAACAATGGCTCAAATACTTGGGTCCCTGCAGTCTACAAGGGAGACCCAAATTGAATTTCGGGTTCCTGGCTTCAGCCTGGCCCAGCCCTGGCTGTTGTGGCATTTAGGGAGTGAATCAGTGGATGAAAGATAAAATTTCTCCCCTTATTAAATAGTAAATATTTAAGAAAATATACATTTGACATCATGTACTCACAACTCAGCTTAAGAAATGAAACACTGAGGGGCCGGTGCTGTGGTGTAGCAGGTAAGGCTGCTGCCTGTAGTGCTAGCATTCCATTTGGGCACCGGTTCAAGTCCCGGCTGCTCTACTTGTGATCCGGCTCTCTGCTATGGGAAAGCAGTGGAAGATGGCCCAGGTGCTGCATAGGAGACCTGAAAGAAGCTCCTGGCTCCTGGCTTCGGATCGGTGTGGCTACAGCTGTTGTGGCCAACTGGGGAGTGAAACAGCAGATGGAAGACCTCTCTCTCTCTTTCTCTCTGTGTAATTGACTTTCAAATTAATAAATAAATCTTAAAAAAAAAAAAAAGAAATAAAACACTGCTGATGTATTTGAAAACCTCTGTGTGTCTCCTTCCAGAGGTAACAGAATCCTAACTGTGGTTTTCATTTCCCTGCGTGTCTATTCTTTTATTATTTGTGTAAACATCTATAATTAATATGTAGTATCATCTTCCATGATTTTAAGACTTATTTAAGATATCATAGTATATATATTCTTTGGTCACTTCCTTTCTTCCTTTATTCTCCCATTTTTTGTGTAGCTTTACTTAATTTTATTGATGTATGGAGCATCCCATTGTATGTATATGACATACATTTGTCATTTATTCAGTCTCCTTTTAGGCATTTAGGTGGTACCCAGTCTTTGCTAGCAAGAGCAGTGCTGGGCCTAACGTTCTCATACATTCCTTGAGCATGAGGACTTAGGATCACAGTTAAAGAGTAAGTCAGAGAGGATGTGCACCCTAATTAACATCACTATATGTTGTCAAATTACTGATGCTAGGATCCTAGCAATCTATATTCCCCCCAGATATGTGAGGAGCACTACCATTCTACAATAGCCTGGCCAACACCTTTGTGTTGTCCAACTTTTTAGGTTTTTACTTTTATTTATTTTTAAAGATTTATTTATTTATTTGAAAGAGTTACACAGAGAAGGAGAGGCAGAGAGAGAGGTCTTCTATCAGCTGGTTTACTCCAATTGGCTATAATGGCTGGAGATGCACTGATCCAAAGCCAGGAGCCAGGAGCTTCTTCTAGGTCTCCCATGTGGGTGCAGGGACCCAAGGACTTGAGCCATATTCTGCTTTCCTGGGCCATAGCAGAGAGCTGGATTGAAAGTGGAGCAGCCAGGACTCGAGCCAGCACCCATATTGCATGCCAACACTGCAGGCTGCAGCTTTACCCGCTACGCCACAGCACTGACCCCCCCCCTAAGTTTTTGTTTTTAAATAATTTCAAATTTAACAGGAGAGTTGCAAGAATACTACAAATAACTCATTATTGGAACCACCAGTTAATATTCTGCCACATTTAATTTACCTCCCTCTTGTAGCATAATTTTTACATGGTTTTACATACATTTTAGTGGTTTTTTTTTTTTTCCTATTTGAGAATCTGTTGTAGACATCATACTCCTTTGCCCTCAATTATTTCAGGATGCGTTGCCTAAGAACAAGAACACTGGGCCCAGCACTGTAGTGTAGCAGGTAAAGCCGTGCCTGCGACGCTAACATCCCATATGGGCGCTGGTTCAAGTCCAGGCAGGCTGTTCCACTTTTGGTCCAGCTCCCTGATAATGCACCTGGAAAAGCAGTGGAAGATGGGCCAAGTGTTTGGGCCCCTGCACCCAAGTGGGAGACTGAGAAGAAACTCCTAACTCCTGGCTTTAGATTGGCTCAGCTCTGGCTGTTACAGCCATTTGGAAAGTGAACCAATGAATGGAAGATCTCTCTCTGTGTAAATCTGCCTTTCAAATGAATAGATCTTTCTTTAAAAAAAAAAAAAAAAAGGCAAGAACATTTTCTAACATAAACAGTAATTTTCAAATTCAGGAAATAAATATTTCATCAGACTTCATGTTTGCCAAGCTGAGTTTTAAGTGGTATCTTTTCTGTCACCTAATATGAATAAGAAAGTTGAAAGAATAGCTAATTAAATATCTGTGAGCGCTTACATTTAATAAAAGCTTTTGATGTATTTTCTCTCACTTCAGACACATACCTTTTTTTGCACTGCACATTAGAAAGTTAGACAATATCATCCCTTCAACAAACATCTTTTTAAAATACTGATGTTTTCTTTTTATTTATTATTTTTTTATTTTTATTTTTTTATTTTTGACAGGCAGAGTGGACAGTGAGAGAGAGAGACAGAGAGAAAGGTCTTCCTTTTGCCGTTGGTTCACCTTCCAATGGCCGCCGCGGCCGGCGCGCTACAGCCGGCACACCACGCTGATCCGATGGCAGGAGCCAGGTGCTTCTCCTGGTCTCCCATGGGGTGCAGGGCCCAAGCACTTGGGCCATCCTCCACTGCACTCCCGGGCCACAGCAGAGAGCTGGCCTGGAAGAGGGGCAACTGGAACAGAATCCGGCGCCCCGACTGGGACTAGAACCCAGTGTGCCGGCGCTGCAAGGTGGAGGATTAGCCTAGTGAGCTGCAGCGCTGGCCAAAATACTGATGTTTTCCTACATCGCTACAAGAGTTTATTATATCTAGGAACATTAGCTGTAGTTCCCTCGTGTCACTGACTAGCTGAACCATATTTAAAGTTTCCCAGTTGTCCCAAGAATGTCTTATAGTTTGTGTGTGTACAGAATCATCTGCTAATTCTGTATATTTTCTCACATTATGGATTTGCCTGATTGTTTCTTCATGGTTTGTTTAATTTGTTCCTCTGTATTCTCTATAAAAGAATATCTTGTTTTTACCTGAATTTTTCCCTATTTACTGGAGCGAGGTTGAGCAGCTTTCATTTGTTTATTTGTTATTCTGGTTTTCTCATCAGTGAATTCCTTATTCATATATTTCTCCCATTTTTCCATTGGATCCTCTGTCCTAATGATTTATAGGAATTATTTCTATATTCTGGATATTAATCCTTTTATATGTGATATCTGCTTTTCAAGCAAGCAGCCCAACTGATTCATATGAGTGTTATTTGGACTATACATTGGGAAATTCTTTTATAGAAGTTCTTATTGGAGAAACCTCCTCTTTAATCCAGAAGAGTTTGATTTACTTCTTTTAAGATCCCAGATAAATGGATGAGAGCTATAATGTTTAGTCACAAAAAGCAGATGGACTAAAATGAATCAGAACTGTGGTATGCTAATCACAATCTACTTATAATCTTGTTAACTAATTTAAGTTACTCTATCATCCTTAATATTAGTGCCAGTCCCATGTTCTTTGAATAAGTGAACATATTGTATGTGGCTTTAATAGAAACAGTGGGCTTTGGAGTCAGAGATCTGGATTCATGGCCTCTTTTCTTAGCTGCTCAGGCCTGTGCATTTACTTAAATGTTCATTCTCCAGTTCCTCCTTTGTAAAACTCTGCGAGTCACACAGTTATCATAAAGACACAATGACATAATGAATGTGAAACCATTTGGTCCAATGTCTGATGAAAAAATAGGCCTGAAATTTTGTCTCTTTTTTTCCTTCCTGTCTTGCTTCTTAGATTTTCAGACTCATTTAAAGTATCACACAAGTGGTGGTTTTTGAAAGCAACATGTTGGTGCCTTACTGACTTTGATTACATTTAGTCAAGATTCTGTTTGCCAGCTAGAATATGCACAGCCTGAGGTGTCAGCGTATTGTGTTTGAAAACATTCTGCAGCGGTCAGAGTTGGCTGACCAGCATTTGGTTTACAGGCCCAAGTTGCTTAGAACGACTTGCAGATGCTTAAGCAGCACAGTGAGGGTTCCGTGGGTGAACACACTGAATCTTTCAGGAGCTCGCAGAGCTGGAAACTGCCCTCCAGGAGCAGCATGAGGTGAATGCGTCCTTGCAGCAGGCTCAAGGAGATCTCAGTGCCTATGAAGCTGAACTAGAGGCTCAGCTGAAAATACGGGATGCTGAAGCCAGCCGGCTCAAGGAAGAGCTGGAAAAGCTCACAAGGTTTACCCAGGTAAGTAGGAGCAGGCAGGCCACTAGAAACTTAGTAGCCTGTCCTTCGGAGATCATCCTTCCTTTACGGATATCTTAAGACTAAACACTTTTTAATATAGTGTACATGGAGCAAATGGGCACATTTTTGGAGTTAAGGCATTCTGAGTTCAAATACCAGCTCTGTGTGAATGTGGGCAACTTAATTTGTGGCTGTGAGCCTCCCAGCCTTTTCCTACAGTGTAGAATGGTTCAAGGTGAAATGAGATGATGGCCTTGAAAGCATCTAGTAACTGATATTCAATAAATTCTAATTTTTCTTTCTCAAAAGAGCTTTAAGAGACTTCTAAGTGGATATTAAATTTTAGTTTGCTGGGCCTGTTGTGGTGGGACAGCAGGTTAAGCTGCCACTTGCAGCACTGGAATCCCATATCTTGAGTACTGGTTCGAGTCCCAACTGCTATACTTCGAATCTGACTCTCTGCTAATGTACCTTGGAAGGCACAGTGGCTGGCCCAAGTACTTGGGTCCCTAGCACCCATATGGGAGACCCAGATGCAGTTCTGGGCTCCTGGCTTCAGCCTGGACCAGCCCCAGCTGTTGTGGCCATTTGAAGAGTAAAGCAGTGAATGGAAGATATATATTCTCGCCCTCGCTCTCCCTCTGTGTGTGTGTGTGTGTGTGTGTGTGTGTCTCCCTGTATCTATCCTTCTCTGTCACTCTACCTTTCAAATAAGTCTGAAAAAAAAAAAAAGTTTTTTAAATTTCAGTTTATGTTTCCTATTACGATTGGCTGAAAGATCTAGTAGTTTATACCTGCAAATTAGAAGAAATACTGTTCATCTAATAAATACCTACTGGTTGACCATTGAAACCCAGAGGCTATGGATGCTCAAGGAATAGTACTGATGTGGTCATTGACACTGTGTAGAGTCATGGCAACAGTCTAGTATGTGAAAGGGATGTGAGTGAAAGAAAAAGACATCGTTCTATGGCAGAGAATTAGGTGGTCAGGGAAGCCCACCCTACAGAAATGATGATTCTGCTGAAGCTTGAGGCATGAGTAGGATTTGCCCATGCAGATGGGGCAGGAGTAAAGAGGGTAGAGCAAGGGGTGAGTGTTCTAGGCGGAGAAGCAAAGAGAGAGAAGAGGGCATTTTCAGTGCTGAAAGCTTACCTATGGGATGCCAGGAGCAAGAAGAGATGGAGAAGCAGGTGAGAGAGAAAAGGTGGAAATGCAGGCAGAGGCCAGTTGTAATATATTCATTATCATTCATTATCAGATTAGGATGGGCTGCATCTTCCTCCAGGAAGTCCACTCTACCTTTTGCCTTCTGCCTGCTGGAAATCTGCATTTAGGACTCTACTTTGGTTGCCCTATAATCTGTGCTCAGGGCATCATTTCATCTGTACAGTAATCCCTGTTTAGATTGTCCACACCCCTGCCAGAGACTCAGAGCTCAGTGAATGCCCATATTGTATCTGCTTGTTTCTGTTTTCTCAGTGCCTGGCATAGGAAAAGAGTGTGCATACTGGATGAAAATGAAGTAAAAATAACAGTTTTAATCATCTCGGGAGTGCATGTAATAATAGAATTTATATGATTTTAAAGAGAAAGTAAAAATAGGTCTGGTTTATTGTAGTAATTTTATTGTGTTCATTTGCTTATCAGATATCAATTACTTGCCAATTATCAGGACTATGTTTCTCAATAATTCCAAGTTTTACAAAATTATAGTTGACAAGATTGAGTCTCAAAAAACAGGACGTTTGGGGAGAACAATTATAATAATAATAAACATATACTTAAATAGTAGTAAGTAAGGCTGGCGCCGCGGTTCAAAAGGCTAATCCTCCACCTTGCGGCGCCGGCACACCAGGTTCTAGTCCTGGTCAGGGCGCCGGATTCTGTCCCGGTTGCCCCTCTTCCAGGCCAGCTCTCTGCTGTGGCCTGGGAGTGCAGTGGAGGATGGCCCAAGTGCTTGGGCCCTGCACCCCATGGGAGACCAGGATAAGCACCTGGCTCCTGCCTTCGGATCAGCGCGGTGGCCAATGGAGGGTAAACCAATGGCAAAGGAAGACCTTTCTCTCTGTCTCTCTCTCTCTCACTGTCCATTCTGGCTGTCAAAAATAATAAAAATAAATAGTAGTAAGTAAATTTCTAGATGGCATCTCCTTTCAAGTAAATTCTCTTCCTTTCAAGCTAGTCCTTAATAGCTTGCAATAGATCATCCTTTGTATTTCTGTTGTCCTTCATATTCTCTCATAAGTTTTGACAAAAAAGTTATAAGAGCCTGGTCTTTTCACCAATTCAGTTGGTATTGAGAGAGCACTCCCCCCCTCCCCTGACAGGCTGCCAGGATTGGTTTTCAAACCCCAAATTGACATACCGAGTGTATCAGATCTTCTCCTTCTGATCTACAGATCTAAAGATTTCTGATGGGTAAACTTCAGTTACATGATATCGCTTGTGAAGCTTGCTAAATGCAAATTCCTGGGCCCAACCCTAGAGCTTCTGACCCATCTAGTCTGAAATGGATTCTAGGCATTTACATTTTTAACAGGCACACCAAATGACTTTGATGTAGGCATTTGAGGACCACAGTTTGAGAAATACTAGTCTAAGGGAAGGGAGATGATATTGTTTTAAAGGTAGGTGCTTGTGAGGTGGGCGTTGTGGCATCCCAGGTTCAGCTACCCCTTGGGATGTTGCATATCCCATTTCAGAGTGCCTGTGATTGGATCCCACCTCAGCTTCTTACCAACCTTCCTACTGATACACACGGGAAGCTGCAGTTGATAGCCCAAGTACTTGGGGCCCTACCGCTCACATGGCATACCCAGATGGAGCTCCTGGTTCCCAGCCTTGGCCTGACCTGGTCTTGGCTATTGTTGGCATTTGGGGAGTGAATGAGTGGATGGAAGATATTGTCTCCCCGCCGCCTCTCCCCGCTCTCCCCCTTCCCTCCCCTTCTCTCGCTCTCCCTCTCTCTATATATCTTCCTCCCTCTCTGTTACTCTGCCTTTGAAATAAATAAAAATGAATAAACAGAAACATAAAGTGAAAAATAGATGATTTTTTTTAAATGATGATGAAATCAGATCAGACCTATTGTCATGTTTAATCCCAGTGAGAGTCAAGTTGGGAATTGAAAATTTCTTTCTTTTTTTTTTTTTTTTTTTTTTTTTTTTTTTTTTTTTTAACAGAAGATCAGTTTAGTGTACATTAAGTAAAGATTTCAGTCGTTTGCACCCCCATAGAAACACAAAGTGAAATATACTGTTTGAGTACTCGTTATAACTGTTGAAATACTTACTTAAGGTATACTAAGCTGATCTTCTGTATATTAAGATAATCGAAAATGAATCTTGATGTGAATGGAAGGGGAGAGGGAGTGGGAAAGGGGAGGGTTGTTGGTGGGAGGGACGGTATGGGAGGGGAAGCCATTGTAACCCATGAGTCGTACTTTGGAAATTTATATTCATTAAATAAAAGATAAAAAAAAATGAATAAACAAGCATTGTTTTAAAAAGAGATAGGTACTTGGGCTTACCCCCTAAAGATTCTGATATATCTTGGCCAAATTGAATCTAACGCTTACTGTTTGTTAAGGGTGATAGGCTTAAACAACATATGAAAAAGTTATCTTGGGTTTTTTAAATTTGGAAGCATAGATAAACTGATGGGCCTATGTGTGTTTGGATTAATTTGTACCTTTTTATGGATCACAAATTGTTGTATTTTATACTTCCTGTCATTGCTTCCTATGGCCATAGTTAGAACAGTCAGCCCTTCAAGCAGAACTTGAAAAGGAAAAGAAAGCCCTCAAGGATGCCCTCGGAAAAGTCCAGTTCTCAGAAGAAAAGGAACAAGAGAACAGTGAACTCCGCACAAAACTTAAACAACTGCAGGTAGTTTTATTTTTTAAGAACATATTCTTATATAGGACAACCAAAGATGATGTCTTTAGGCAGGTACTTAACCTACTCTAACACATAGGTAAGCAACTTGAATTATAAGAAAAACAAAGGGAATTCTGGATAGGGCAGTACCATGGCCTCTATTCCTTTGTGACTGTGGTTCTAAGATGGGTATCTGACCATTCTTTGAGTTGCAAAGGCGAAGGCAGTGTCAGTAATGAACAGTCTACTCTGTAAACTCTTCAGCAAAAGCAGTACCTTGCATTTTTCCTACAAGCAGATTTGTCACCAGACTAATCTAAAATCATCAGGTCAGTACATTGCTCTTGCACTGCAGTATCCTTATAGTTTTCCAGGAATTTAAATAGAGTGAATGGCAGTGGGATGTCTTACTTGCAAACAATTTTCACAGTCCCCTTCTCAGAAAGGGTGCTGTTAAAAATGCAGTTATTCTTACAGTTATGGGGAATGTATGACAGAATTTTTTAGCAACTATTCTCATAATAATCTGCCTAACAGATTGGGAGAAACAGGTAGACAGGATTTTCCAGATAATTAAACTTTTTCAAAGAAGACAGATGTCTGAACAAAAAGCACCTGAATCAACACTCAGCTCTGTCTCCCCAGTCGTAAGGGCAGGGCCCCTGGGCTGGCTGAGGTAGCAGCTGTCACCACCCGGAGGACAGCAGCAGAGTGTATGTGGTTGGGGAAGGCTTCCAAAAACCATACAAGGGGATTTGTGACAAATAACACCAAGTTCATTCCAATTTTCTGTTCTTCCAACAGCTAAAACGTTTTTTCTTGTTTAAGGAAGTCTAATAATGAAGAATTTGTTATTGCTGTTAGTTCAACTTCCAAAGCAGATAGTACTAAAAATGTGCATGTTTGCCATTCTTGTGTGAGTTGTATATATGTACTGGATCTTTACTGGACTAATTTTTCTTTTTCTAATGGAAATTTTCAAATGATCACAAAAGAAGACAATAGCCTTAGGACTCTTTACCCATCACCCAGTTTAAACAACTGGCAATATTTATTGTTTTATTTAAACCACCATTTTTTGCTGAAGTAAATTAAAGAAAATCTCAAACATTTTTATTCCATCTGTAAATACTTCAGTATACATCTCTTACAGAAAAGAACTAAAATTCTTCAGGGATTTTGTCCTCCAAGGCAGAAACTGAAGTCAGCTTCCCAGAATAGTTGTCCATGCTGTGGGACTACTTTAGTGAGAACTAGGTCCTATTGGTTAATGGCCTGCTAACTTCTTGATTAGTATAAATTAAACCTGTTCTATATTTGTTTTCTTAGAAATCATTTACTTTCCATGAACCCAAAGAAACTCACATTAGCCCAAGAAAGAAAACAGTTTCTAGGAACAAGACTGCTCTTTTTCTGGACATTATATTTGGCTCAGTGTGACCCAGCCCTGAACTGACATCTTTTCAAGTCATTTTTCAGGGATTTGCTGTACTGAAATCTTGGCTCAAACTATGGAGAGAATGACAACCCATTTTCTAGTTAGTGGATTGAATGGTCTTGGGTAGGACCACCTGTGGCAAGATTAGGTATTACGGTAAACTCCCTTATCCATAGGGATACATTCCAATTCTGTGGAAGCCTGAAACCACAAATAATACTTGAACCCCTTATAAACCATATTTTTTCTTGTATACACATAGCTATGATAAGATTTAATTTATAAATTAGGAACAGTAAGTGATTAACAACAACAAAAAATTATAATAAAAGTTATTTAAAACCTATGAATTTATTTCTGGAATTTTCCATTTAAGACTTTTGAACCATGATTGGCCATAGGTAACTAAAACCTTGGAACATGAAATCACAGATAAAGGGGGATCTAATGAGGTACAGAAGGGGCTGCTTTAGGGCAGTGAGCCAAGGACAGTTTATAGATAAGAGGACTCCAGATAGAACAGGCACAAAAACAAGTTAATTACAATTCTAAATTCTCCAATATAGGTAATATTGAGTTTGGCAGATTAATCACTCAGGTAGAATGTAGGTATGAAAGGGAATACAATCAACAGCTTAGGCTATAGAACCCTTTTTGTCTATAAATTGGGGAAATTGTTGCAGTTTCATTTTACTTGAAAGAGGCATTGTCTGAATTTAATTCTGTAGTTTGTTAGTAGTCGAAATACAATGGCATATAACAGACACTCCCCCATTTTATCTTCCTTCATAGGATGACAATGACTTATTAAAACAGCAACTTACAGATTTCCAGAATCATCTTAACTGTGTGGTTGATGGTTTGATTCGCCCAGAAGAAGTGGCAGCTCGTGTGGATGAGCTAAAGAGAAAACTGAAATTAGGAACTGGTAAAATGAGGTAAGGGTAAATTAAGACCTTCAAGTGTACAGCAGCCTCACAGCCTCAGAGCTGCATGTGTGAGATTCAATGATGAGCTCCCCTATCTAAGTTGTGTCAACAGCGGATTCCTTTTGTATACTTCTCTTTATGATGTTTCCATGCCTGAGACACAAGATTGTTTAATTGGCACTGATTTTTTTCTATTGCATTTTAGATATGCTTTTTGATATTATTAAAGAAATAAAGATTTTAAGAGTAACTATATTTTGAATGTTCATTACATAAGGTCAAGTAGAGCATGCTTATATGTTGCTAATAGAGAACAAATACCAAAGAAATCTGAGAATTATTTCAGTTATATGAAATGGACATTTATTCTCTGAGGGAACGTTGTTAGCCTGATGTGAGCCTGTGTTCTCAGAGTGGCAATAGTCATTTGATAAAATAGCAGTAACAAAATGTAAACATCATGTCTGCACCTAGGCTTAAAAATAAAATAATCACATTTATATTGTCTTTTTCTCTCCTTACCAGAATCCATAGTCCTTCAGATATCTTAGGGAAAAGTCTTGCTGATTTACAGAAACAGTTCAGTGAAATCCTTGCACGCTCCCAGTGGGAAAGAGAGGAAGCACAAGTTAGAGAGAGAAGACTCCAGGAAGAAATGGCTCTGCAGCAAGAGGAACTGGCACACGGACAAGAGGAGTTCAGGCGGGCCTGTGAGAGAGCCCTTGAAGCAAGGGTAAGAGAAGGACAAGAGGCAGGTAGATGGAAGTGTTTGGCAAATATTGTTTTTCAGCAGATTAGGATGTTACCTTTCTCATGTAAATGCAGTACCATTGTTATTTTTACTCAGAACAAGTTAAGCTGTGTCAAAGTCATGCTTTTCCTTGTTTTAGACGTGAATGAGAGGTGTTTTATAACAGGCAGGTACATATCACATTGCTAGAATGCGATTGTGGTGCCAGAGCATGGTGTTGATATGAGGCATATGTTCAGATACATACTATAGAGCATTCAAGAAATAAAATCACCAGTAACTCATCAGGACAAAATTTCATTATACTTTGTAGTGAAATGAAAGATAATTTTGCAGAAATCATCCTTGAATTTTGATTTCCTCACAGATTAATTTTGATAAGAGGCAACATGATGCAAGAATCCAGCAGTTGGAGAATGAAATCCACTATCTGCAAGAAAATCTAAAGAGCATGGAGGAAATTCAAGGCCTAACAGATCTCCAACTTCAAGAGGCTGATGATGAAAAGGAGAGAATTCTGGCTCAGCTTCAAGAGTTAGAGAAAAAGGTGGGCAAGGCGAGGACAGTGAGCCATGCAGCTACTGCTGGAGTCCTGCCCACTGGTGATCAGATCAGCTGAGGAGGCTATGATTCACAGTCACCTATGGCTACATTGCTGGCCCAGTGCTGAGCTGGGTGCATGTCACCAACTCAGAGACCTGAGACCAGGGTGTCAGGGTAGATAGAAACCAGGGAGTTAAGAATGTAAAGGGTGATTTTAGAGTCATATGATACATAAATGGTAATGAGTTTGCCTCCTTAGGAATGTCTTTCCTAATTCATGGGGAATTAGTTTTAAATTTGTCATCATCCTTTCTAGTACCATGGCCTCTTGATGGCCTTTCCCTGCCCAACTTTAGTCATCTACTTTGTGTTGTCCCATCCTGGATCTTGTCAAATTCACAAACTACCCACTAACTCAGAAATTAGGAACTGAACCTCCCACATGCTCGCAAGTTTTTCAACCTTACTGAGCTTCCAGTGCATTAGCCCCACCTTTTCTGTCTGTAAAGCTGTTGCATCCACTCATCAGCTAAAATAGAATGTTACAAAAACCAGTGATAGTCACACATGAATTTTGAATTGAAAATGAGAGGCAAATAAGAGACAAATAAGATACAAGGCAACTGATTGGCAGCCACCGGTCGGGACCGACACTCCTTACAGAATGCGGCCCCCAACAGCGAGTTACACAGCTTTTTATAGTTTTCTGTCCACTACGGCTCACAATTTCAAACTGAACCCCTGGTATGCAGTGAACAATAAAAAAGAAAACCAGAATATGGTTGTAAGATAACAGTTAACAAACCCAATAACAGATCTAAGTTTTGGTTTTAAGATAACAGTGAAGGATACATTTCGGTCAACCTAGTTCCTGGGAATTTGGGCCCACATGGGTTCACAAGATACACCCTTAGCCATTATCAAGCAAAGCTAATATGTACAGAAGCAAGAGATCTGCAATTAGCTTTTAGCCACACTCACTCCATTTTGATTCTGACTCTACAAAGCCCTCCTGTCTTTGCTTTCCTCCTTATCCAACTTAAGTTCTGTGGTCTACCATTATAATCACTTTTTGGAGATATCTTCAATTCCCTTACCCTTTTCTCTTGACCTACCTCTTTGACAAGATTGACGTTCCTGCCTTCCTTGGGCTTGTACCCAATGCTGGGTATTCCTAGAAGAAAAAAAGTCACCAATTCAGTTGATAGTGTATCATTTAAAGTTCATGGTCGACAACCTCAATTGGGGAACAGGACTCTCTTCTCTGCTACATTTGTTCTCCCATGCTTTCTGCCTCCTCACACCTCACATGTCATTTCTCATAACCTTGATGAATGGCTTTACTTCCTACTTTACTGAGAACCAATCAGTTCCCAAGTCCTGCTGAGTCTGCCTCTGAAATGTATGTATTTTCCCTCTCTGATTGCTCTACTGCTATGCAGCCATCCTCTCTTTTGAGCAGCTGCTATGGCCACCTGACAGATCTCTCAGTTCTACTCATGACCCTCTCCACAAAGCAGTCCACGTGCTTTTTTGAAAGTGAATTGGCTTGGTGCCAGCACCTGTGGAGCAGTAAGCTAAGCCTCTGCCTGTGGTGCTGGCATCCCATACGGGTACCGATTCTAGGTCCAGCTGCCCCTCTTTCAATCCAGCTCCCTGCTGATGGCCTGGGAAAGCAGTAGAAGATGGCCCAAGTCTTTGGGAGACCCAGAAGAAGCTCCTGGCTCCAGGCTTCCAATTGGCCTAGCTCTGGCTGTCGTGGACATTTAGGGAGCAAACCAGTGGATGGAAGACTGTTTCTCTCTCTTTCTCTAACTCTAACTCTGCTTCTCAAATAAATAAATAAATCTTTTTTTTTTTTTTTTTAAAGTGAATTGGCTTTAGTCACCCTCCTTCTCCCCAGAGATTCCATGGTTCTTAGAATAAGGACCCAGATCCATAAAGCCTGTAGACCCTGCATGGTTTGCCTCTATTTTGGTCAGTACTTTTTTTTTAAGATTTATTAATTTACTTGAAAGAGTTACAGAGAGAGGAAGAGACAGGTTTTCCATCCACTGGTTCACTCCCCAAATAGTTGCAATGGCTGGGGCTGGGCCAGGCCAAAGCCAGGATCCAGGAACATGTTCTAGGTCTCCTTCATAGGTACAAGAGCCCAAGCATTTGGGCCATCTTTGCTGCTTTCCCAGGTGTGTTAGCAGGAAGCTGGATCAGAAGTGAAGCATCTAGGACTTGAATTGGCACCCATATGGTATGCTGGCATCGCAGGTATTGGCTTAATGTTCTACGCCCTGACACTGGTCCTAGTTTATCCTTTTCTACTGTGCTTCTTTTAGTTCCTCAAAAAATGCCAAGTTCTTTTCTTCACCATTATATGCTCAGGGTCTGATTCAGCAATTTCAAAGGTTCATCCATCCATTTCCTAGTTATGGTGCCAAGAAATGCTTTTCCAAGGAATGAATGAATGAATGAATGAAGGGCTGTATGATCCCTTGGACTCTTGACTTGGAAGACTGATTCTAAGTTTATCTCAGTTTTGAGATTTTTTATTTATTGGTTCAGTGGATATTTGTGCTGTACCTGTTATTTACCAGGTAAAGTTCTAGACATGGAGCACAAGCAGTAAACAGAGTCCCTGCTCTCCTGGAGCTTATATCTCAACTAGTTGCTATTAAGTGTTCCATCTGTTTAATTAATGTTTATTTTAGAAGAAACTTGAAGATGCCAAATCTCAGGAGCAGTTTCTTGGTTTAAATAAAGAACTGAAGAAACTAAAGAAAGCTGTTGCTGCCTCTGATAAGCTCGCCGCAGCTGAGCTCACCGTTGCCAAAGACCAGCTGAAGTCTTTGCATGGAACAGTTATGAAAATTAACCAGGAACGAGCAGAGGTAAGTCCGCACGTACAGAAAAAGTCTCCGTCAGTGTCACCGATGTCAAAAAACATGGCAACTTGTGTTATGATTTCTTGTTATAGACTTCAGTTATTTTACAATCCACTAAAGTTGTCAGTTTAAGACCTGAGGATTGTATTCCTCCCATCACAGCCCTCAAAAATTCATTTTGTGCTGCCATGGATTGCATTCTGTTGAGTCCTGGAAGGAACCATCAAATGTAATACACTGTCCCTGCCTGTGAAAGTGTAGGGACCTGCTTCAGGAGGTAGCTGTCAGTATGTTCCTGGACTAGGATTTCGATATAACCCTTCAATGGAACCTCACCATTTTCATCTTAAATGGTCATATGAAAATATGTTACCTTAGAGTGCTGTTATGACTCCTGACTGAGAGAGTTTCTATCTGGTGCTTATAGGATGCAAATACTAATAAGATTAAGAGAGTAGATCATAGGAGAGAAAAAACTTAATGAGAGCCTAGACAATCATTGAAGACTATAAAAGAGCAAAGAAAAGCTTTGCCCGTGTTCTTTCTGATGCAGCACTCTGCCCAGTTAGCCCCCTGGAGGGATGGCAGGCTATGATGGGAACACCACAAGAGAAGGTGGGGCTTGGCACCACAAGTGCCTGGGACAACTAGACAGGCGGTGTGCTGAAAGCAGAGGCATCAATTTGAGAGGAAAAAGGAAGAAGACAACTTGTGTCAGCAGTGGTGCTTTTCTCATACCTCTGCCCCAGTAGGAGCTGCAGGAGGCGGAGAGGTTCAGCAGAAAGGCAGAGCGTGCGGCCAGGGATCTGACCCGAGCAGAAGCGGAGATCGAACTCCTACAGAATCTTCTCAGGGAGAAAGAGGAGCAGGTCAGTGTTGGACCCCGAGGCCTCCTCAGTGCGCTGCTGTCAGTTCCTAAAAGACTAAGTTACCGCATTCCTTGTTACTTCAGAGAGTCCTGCAGTGCAACCAATAGTCCAGCAGTGCTGTCCACTGTGTCCCAGGTGTAGTGCAGTTTAAATATCAAGACTAAAGCAATGTTCTTGCTGGTAAAATATAAATAAAAATGATAGAATTGTAATCAAAGTTGCAAAGATAAATGCATTGGACTAAATTATTTTATTGGAAACTTTTGTATTTGATTTTTCAATAGTTTCGAATTGAAGAAAAAGCAAATGTAGGTACTGGAGCAGCGAATGCACAGGTGCTAGAGATTGAGAAACTGAATGAGACAATGGAGAGACAAAGGACAGAGATTGCAAGGCTGCGGAATTTACTAAACCTCACTGGGGCTGGTAACGTATTTACTTGGATTTTCACTGTCATTTTGTAGTTCTAAAATTACCTCATTTGTCTTTTACTCTTAGAAAATATATTTAACTGTTGCTTATCAATTCCATCATTCACTAATTAGCTGCTTAAGTAAAATCAAATAATTTAAAAAATGTCTTATGTGTGATATGGAGGGACTTGATTACAGAGACAAGAGACTTGCACTAGTTATTTCAAAATAATGGAAATAATGTTTACAAATCTGTTTATTTACTTTTTCTTTTTTTTTTTAAAGTTTATTTATTTTTAAAGACAAAGTTACATAGAGGCAGAGGCAGAAAGAGAGAGACAGAGAAAAGAAAGAAATCTTCCATCCATCTTACATCTTTGCTTCCTAGATGGCTGCAGCAACTGGAGCTGGGCAGATCTGAAGGCAGGAGCCAGGAGCTTCCTCCAGGTCTCCCATGCGGGTGCAGGGGCCCAAGTACTGGGCCATTTTCCACTGCTTTCCCAGGCCATAGCAGAGAGCTGGATTGGAAGTGGAGCAGCTAGATCTTGAACCGGTACCCATATGGGATGCTGGCACCACAGATGGCAGCCTTACCTGCTATGTCACAGCTCCAGCCCCTTATTTGTTTTTTTATGACTTTGTAATTGGAGGACAGAGGATGTGCCTGTCCTCTTAATGTTAGCAAAAACTAACTACCAGAGGGCAGGCTGAAAGTCACCTTTGAGGAACTGATAAATTGATGATTTTCATACTAATTTCCCTTTACAGACAACAAAGGAAGCATTGAAAATGTTTTAGAAGAAATTGCTGAACTCCGCCGTGAAGTTTCTTGTCAGAATGATTACATCAGCAGCATGGTAGATCCTTTCAAAAGACGAGGCTATTGGTATTTTATGCCACCACCATCATCAAAGGTAGGAATTCTATGGTACTGAAAGTATATATTGAATTTACTTGAAGAAAGTGTGTGACATTGTCCCCTTCTCCAAATTTGTGAGCAGATGTCAATAACAGCATTTTTATGCCAAGTCATGCATTAAGGTTCTTCAGTGTTTTTAATATCTGAAGTATATAGGGCTTTCCAAGGGAAGATGGCAGTTGTCTATTCATATGTAGGTGGTCTGTTGTGATAGGACTATTTAAAGGCTCAGAAGAATAGGCACCTGGATTACTGTTCCTTTTTTATTATTATTTTTTATTTGAGAGTCAGAGAGAGAGAGAGAGAGCTTCTATCTGGATCACTTCTCAGATGTCCAAAGAAGGGGAGAGAGAAGTCCAAACAAGGTACAGAGTGAGTGAGTGAGTAAGTGAGCACTCCTACCTACTGGTTTCACTCCCCAAATGCCCACAATAGCTGGGGCTGGGCCAAGGCTCAAGCTTGGAGCCAGAAACTCAATTCCAGTCTCCTACTTGGGTGGCAGAAACCTGATTACTTGAGCCATCACTGCTCCCTCCTGGGTTTGCATTGGCAGGAAGCTGGAGTCAGGAACTGGAGCTGGGGATTACTCCATTGTGGGAAATAAGCATCTTAACCACCAGGCTAAAGGCCCAGCCCTTCATTTCTTTTTCTTTTTTTCTTCCTTTCTCTCCTTTCTTTCTTTTTTTCTTTCTTTCTCTCTCTTTTTTTCTCTTTCTCTCTCTCTCTCTCTTTTTCTTCTTTCTCTCTCTTTCCCTCCCTCCCTCCCTCCCTTCCTCCCAGTTTTATTTATTTATTTGAAAGGCAGAGTTACAAAAAGATAGAAGCAGAGAGAGAGAGAGAATGTCTTCCATCTGCTGTTTCACTCCCCAAATAGCTGCTATGGCCAGAGCTGGGCAGATCCAAAGCCAAGAGCCAGGAGCTTCCTCTGGATCTCCCACGTTGATTCAGGAGCCCAAGGACCTGGCCATCTTCCACCTCTTTCCCAGGCCATCGCAGATAACTGGATCGGAAGTAGAACAAGCCAGGACTTGAACCGGTGCCCATATTGGATGCTGGCACTGCAGGCGTTGGCTTTACCTGCCACGCCATAGCGCTGGCCCCCCTTCATTTCTTTTTGACATTCATTCAGTGCTTACTGAAGTCTAGATCAAGTGCTAGGCAGTGGTGGGATACCAGGGTAAATGATATAGTCCCTGCTCTCAATGAGCTCATGAACCATGCCAGTGTTATTACAGTGTTATTACAAAACAGTGACATACATGTTACAATGGACTTGACCAGAGAGGTATTGTGGCTTCATCTCATGGAAGTTAAGGAAGGCTGGCTTCACAAGGAGGATTGTGAAGTCAGCATTTAGCAAGCAGTGAGGGTTGGACTTTCAGAAGGAGGAAACAGCTTATGTGGAAGAGGAGAGTTGGTTTTGCTATAGCATGTAGCTTTGTTGGGCTTCAGGATTTAATGGGTACAATGAAAGATGAAGTTGGAAAAGTATATTGAGCTCATGCTTTTTTTAAAGGGACCTTAAAATCCATTGCACTTAATTATGTAGGCTGTAGGAAAGTGAGGTTGTGTGTTAATATGATCCAGAACTCCAGAAAGACTATTCTGGCTAGCATAGAGGCTAGACTTATAACAGGGTGAGCTCTTCATGGGACTGTGTGAACTCATGCAAGTGAAGGATGAAAGAAGCCAGAGCTGGATCAGAGGAGCAGAAAAGAAGAGATGGGACTTGGGGATGTTAAAGAGACAGAGTGGTCAGGGCATGGTGCTTCAGTGTGGGAAGTGAAGAAGTGAGTGTGGTGTACTCATCTGCAGCTTAGAGGCTGGGTGACATCCTGCCAGAATCCGCTGGTGAGCAGTAATTGGGGAGAAACAGCTGAGAGCACACTAGGATCCCAGGGCTGTGGAATTAACCAGAACCCTCAAGAGTAGAATCTGAGCTCCTCCTCCCAAAAACCTAAAGAAAGCCAATATGGTACAACTGGGCTGGAAGTGCTGGGCAGGGTAAGTTAAAGCAAAACATTGTTAGTGTGGACTAGGTGAAGGTCTGTAGGATAGATTACATCCTGGGAAAGAGAGGGAGGATAGAAGAGATGAGTTTGTAAACCAGGTCAAGCTGCCAGGACAGAAGACTAGCATCACCAGCTGCTCGTGGAAGTTCATGAGTTTTCTTTGCCTCAGTTGTCGAAGCATAAAGGACAAGGCGAAGGAAACGACGAGGGAGATGGTTGTTGTTAATTTTGAAGGGATAAATAGATGTTTCTTTCACCACACTTCTAGTCCTTCAGTTTCACAAACCAGTGAGACATGACCCCTTCTTTCTGCATGGCCTCCATGACACTGCCAGGCTGATCATGTCCAGAGGGCCATGGATAAACTGCACAGTGTATATGGAACTGTAGTTAGTGTGGCCATGTAATCACTTCTCACTTGCACCTGTGACAAATGAGAATTAGATAAAATGAAGGCACGTTCTTTCTAAACTTTGATTTTTCTCAAAATCAGCCTTTCTGTTTATAAAAGATAGTGTTCTATGCTGTCATTTATCTTAGGTGTCCAGCCATAGTTCCCAGGCCACCAAAGACTCTGGAGTTGGCCTGAAGTACACAGCCTCAACTCCTATTAGAAAACCACGTGCTGGACAGCAAGATGGGAAGGAAGGCAGTGGGCTTCCACCTGCCTCAGGATACTGGGTCTATTCTCCCATCAGGAGTGGGTTATATAAGTCATTTTCAAATAGAGGTAAGTCGGATCACATGAAGGAAGTTTCATTTCTCTTGCCTGTTTAATAATACTTTTATGGTTTCCTGAAACCCTTCAGACACAGTCTAAACTTGCTCTGCAAAGCCCTGTGTTCTGATTGTTGTCAGCAATCTCTTTTACCTCCTTTTGCTCTCCCATACCACACCTGACTACTTAAGATACAGCATGCCAGATTCCTCAAACTTCCATGTGTTAGACTCTTTTGGAATGCTGTTCTTTCTCCTTCCTCTTCCAAACCAGTTCCTACTCGTCCTTCAGCAAGACCCTGAGCCTCAGGCAACACGCCTTTTCTGGGGTCTTCCTCTACCTTGCTTCCACCAGGCCGACTGAGCAGTCTCTCTCCCTGTACTCCTGGAGCGTGAGGCTTTTTATCCTTTTTTCATGGCATTAATCTGGCAGTTCTAAAGCAAAGTGGTACAGCTTTGTCTTCCAGCGCTCCGGGAGGAACACTCAGAGCTGTGTAAGTCCCAGCTCTTGCACATAGCAACGAGGTGATTTTTAGGCAATTTATTTGGCCATTCTGAGCTGTTAATCTGTAAAATGAGGATTCTACCTGCTAAGGATTTATGCATTTAGGAACTATTCATTGAGTGCCTGCTGTGTGCTAGATTCTCTGTTGTCAGTGACAAGCAAGTACAGTTCCTCCTTCTGGGGGCAATAGGGAGGTAAACCATCACAGTGGAGAGTGACCTGCCTCATGACTGCAGTGAACACCAGGCGCTGAGAGCTCCCAGCACATCCCTGCTGCCTTTTGTTGGAGCAGGAGGCAGGCACTCAGATTATTGCTACATTGAATGAATGAATGAAAAAAGTGAACAAAGAAACAAACCAACAGATAAATACTTTGAACCTATGTTTTGATCTGCCTCTCAAACCTGCTTTTGACTTTTTTTTAGAGTTTCATTCTCACATCTCCAGTGTGTTAGCCTAAATCTTACTGTTCTCTACTAAATGTTTACCTAGTAGACCATGGAAGAAACATGCACTTCTCTTTATTTCTTTGAAGATGCAGACAGTGAAGGAGGTAGCCAGGAAGAGAGTGAGCTGGATGACCAAGAAGAACCCCCATTTGTGCCTCCTCCTGGATACATGATGTATACTGTGCTTCCTGATGGCTCTCCTGTACCCCAGGGCATGGCCTTGTATGCACCACCACCTCCTTTGCCCAATAACAGTCGGCCTCTCACTCCCGGCACTGTTGTTTTTGGCCCACCTCCTGCTGGGGCCCCCATTGTGTATGGGCCTCCGCCAGCCAACTTCTCCATCCCCCTCATCCCTGTGGGTGTGCTGCATTGCAACGTGCCAGAGCATCATAACTTAGTAAGTGGAAAGATATGCCACCTTCACCTACACTGTTTCCATGATGACTGCTAACCATGGTGACTGGTAAGATTATATGCTCCTGCTCCTCAGTCACCCTGCTTATGAATGGGTTATAAACCACATGTTTGCAAGGCTGATGTTTAGAACTGAGAAAGCATTCTTTTTATTATAATTATTTTATTTAGATTGTGAACCTGAATTAAGTTCCCAGGTCACTCTACAAACTGGATTAGCCATTTTATAAGAGAAATGTTTTCAGCCCAGAAGTGATCTGTTTTACATGTATTTTTCTATTGTCAAGTGCTACATCAACGTGGATGTATGGATATATTTACATACTAGCATCTCTTGTACACACACATCTATACACATGAACAGCTTACAGCAAGGTTGTTATGGGGATTATCTTTGGGTAGTGGGATTTATTGATTATTATTTTCACAGTTCTTACTGTACATACAATTTTATATTATAATTTTATATTGTTTTTCCTCCTTTATTTTTCAGACATTTCCCCATGGTTTTAAATGTTTTAAAACAACATCTTATGACTGTATAACATTTCTTTATTGTAGGTTGCATAGCTGAGTAACTGTAAATGCACACTGTAATTCATATTCCTTTTTTTAAAAAGGGTGTATTTATTTGTAAGGTAGAGTTAGAGGGAGAAAGAGAGAGTTTCCTTCTATCTGCTGGTTTGCTCCTCAAATGGCCACAATGGCTGGAGCTGGGCCAATCTGAAGCCGGGAACCAGGAGCTTCTTCCAGGTCTCCCTTGTGGGTGCAGGGGCCCAAGTACTTGGGCCATCTCCTGCTGTTTTCCAAGGCTGTTTAGCAGGGAGCCGGATCAGCAACAGAGCAGCTGGGATGCAAATCAGTGCACGTATGGGATGTCAGTGCCATGAGCTGCAGCTTTACCAGCTACACCACAACACCGACCCCCACATTATTTTCTTGGGCTACACTTCAAGGAATGATTACTTCCTAATTGATAGATAACTTTTTAACTTCTTGTTTATAAAAAAATAAAATGCATTCCGTGAGTCTTTGTTTTTTCTTTCCTTTCCAGTCCCATTTTAATAGGTCCCATTAAAAACCAGTCCCATTTTAACAGGTCAGACTAGCTTGTGTATTTGCATGGTTTACAATGGTAGTCACATTCTCGTGTGGCTTTTCAATGCACAATGTAATTTGGAGCAATTCTCTCTGTTCAGCATTTATTGATACTTTCTTAAATGGGTCTTTTTACTCTCCCAAGTCCTTGGATCCCTTCCCACATGTGAGAGACCGAGATGAAGCTCTTGGCTCCTGGCTTCAGTGTGGCCTAGACGTGGCCATTGCAGATATTTGTGGAGTGAACCAGCGGACAAAAGATCTCTGTCTCTCCCTCTATTTGTAACTCTGCCTTTGAAATAAATATTAAAAAAAAAAAAGGAATCTAGGTCATAGATATCAGTTTAACCTCAGTTCATTTCAGTTTGCCAGGAAACAGTGAAAATCTTGGGTTTGTTTTTTCCGTTGTTGTTCAGGAGAATGAAGTTTCCAGATTAGAAGACATAATGCAGCATTTGAAATCAAAGCGACACGAAGAACGGTGGGTGAGAGCGTCCAGACGGCAGTCTGAGAAAGAAATGGAAGAGCTGCATCATAATATCGATGCTCTTTTGCAAGAGAAGAAAGACTTAGAGCATGAAGTAGAAGAATTACATAGAACTATCCAGAAACATCAGCAGCGAAAGTAATTACTATAGCTATTGCATTTTTATAATTCAGATGAATATGATTTTAGTTCATTAAGATAACCTAAATTAATTACTTTCTCAATGTCTGAAAGAATTTCTGTGGTCTTGGAGATGCACTAGATATATGCTATGTAAAATAGCGATCGCTAGCCACATGTGACTACTGAGTATTTGAAATGTGGCTGATGAAACTGAAGAATAGAATTTAATAGCCTCATATTGGAAAGTGTAGGTCTAAGTTCTCTTGGCCAGTAATCCAAGTCAGCTCTTCTTGTAGTTCCCCTTGGAGAATGGCAAGACCATTACCCCTCCCCAGTTACCCTAGCTGAAAACATGGCAGTGGTTCTCAACTCTACGCTTTTCCTTACTCCTGTAGGAATCCAGTTGGTCTCCCAAGTCCTGCTGACTGCATGTACCAAGTGCTTTCAGATTGGCCCCTTTCTGTCACCTCCATTGCTCTGATTTTTAAGCAGTCTCATCCTAGGTTATTGTAATAGCTCCCACCCTGGCCTTCCATGTCTTATCTCTCTCCACTCTCTTTGACACCCTGTGACTCTCAGTCCCTTCAGAATGTACACACCTTCTACACACAGAGCTGCCTGCACACCCTTACACATGCTGTGCTTTGCCTGAAATGCCTTATTTGCTAATTCTAGTCTTCCTTTCAGAACAAAGGTCAGAGATCCTCTCTTACACAAAGCTTTTCATTTCTCAGGCACTCCCGATTTGGAGTTAGCAGTCTTGGGCAGAGCAGGATGCACACAGTGTTGTGAGGAGCCCAGGAGCTCCTTGAGAACAAGCTAGATCTCTGTCCCTATGTCCCAGCACCCATCATAGGGCCAGTTAATGAATATAGCATCTGTTGATTGGGTCAGTTATGTTAAAGCTCATTTTCTGCAGTAGTCCATGAATTATGATGGTTCTCCTGTTTTTGTCATTTAAGCCAGGCCAGCCCAGAACTCAGGGTGGGTGGGAGGCCTTCAGAGTACACAGAGCTAAGAGATGGTCGCTGCCTTCTAAGACCACACATGACTGACTACCTAATGAGCTGGCAGGAGAAAGCAGCTACACCAAGATTGGGATGGAGCAGGTGTCTGGCACAGTGATTAAGAGATTGTTTGAGATACATGCATTCTACACAGGAGTGCTGGGGTTCAAGTTGTGATTCGAAGTGAGCTACCAGGAGCTAGTAGATGATAGCTCAAGTAGTTAGGTCTCTGCCACACATGTGGGAGACCCAAATTGAGTTCCCAGCTTCTGGCTTTGACTTGATCCAGCTCCAGCTGTTGGAGGCATTTGGAAAGTAACCCATGAATGGGAGATATCTGGTTCTCCCTCCCTCCCTTCTCCCCTCCTTCCCTTTCAAGTAACCAAAATTATTAATTAAAAAAAAAAAGAGTTGAGTATTAGATGTTTGAGGGTTGGAGGGATGGGTTATGTCTTATTTTTGAGGGTGTGTGTGTGTGTGTGTGTGCGTGTGTATATATATATTTATATATATGGGGCAGTTTTTTTATTTAGAGGAGAATGGTAGAGCAATAGGGTAACCACTTTCTCCTGTTACAAAAGTATAATAAATGATCATTCTAGGGCATGTGGGTACCACGAGGGGGTGGTCAACAGGTACATGATGTGCAATTGGATAGGAAGAATGGCTTCTAACAATTTGTAGCACGGCGGAATAACTGTGGATCACAACATTTAAACTTTCTTTCAAAAATAACTGGTAGACAGGATTTTGCTCCCAACACAAAGATAAGTGTTAGGTGATGGATATACCAATTACCCTGATATGATCATTACACATTGTGTACATGTATTGAAATATCATTGTGTCACATAAATATGCACAATTATGTGTCAATTAAAATTTCTTAATATTCAAAGAAGAAAATAAAGATCTATACTTTAATTTAAAGAGAAAAAAATCTAATATATTAAATTTATTTTCATATTTTTCTGAAATGTCATGAGTCCTCCCCATTTTCAAATAATTTTTCCATGTTAGCCTTGAGTTGTTGATCATGTGTCATGCTTTTTTTAATTTTCTTTTTTGTGGGGGATGGGAGGCAGAAAGATAAGAGAAACAGAGACAAATACAGAGAAAGAATACCCATCCTCTGGTTCACTCCCCAAATGCCCATAGACTAAAGCCAGGAGCCAAGAACTCAATCTAGGTCTCCCATATGGGTGGCAGGGGTCCAGTTGAGCTACTAGTGCTGCCTGCTAGGGTCTGCACTGGCAGGAGTCCAGAGAAAGGAGCCACAGGTGGATGTCAAACCCAGGTACTCTGATTTGGAATTTGGGCACATGAGCCGCTAAGCTAAATACCAGCTCTGTGTCTTGCTTATTGACCTGAAATATTGTCCATCATAGTTTTAGTCTAGCAGAGTGGAATAGATCACAGAAGCAGGTAGCCTTGAGGGCAGCTTGTAAATGTGGGCCTTAAAGGACATTTTGAGGACCTGGATGATTGTTGTTTTAGTGGTTTGTTGTTAATCCCTCAGAAGAATGGAAGTATCAACATTGTCTTGGCCACCTACTGACAACCCAATAATTGTCACATTTAGAAAGACAAACATATCGTATACTTTACATATTTTACATTTATTTTTCAATAGTATTCCAGGATTAATAAAAAGGTAAACATAGACCTTGAACATAATCAAATGTAAATGTAACTGTCCCTCTTGTCCTTCTCATACGAAATTAGAAAATCCTCCTCCATCTTTCGGTAATTAGGCTGCAAGTGTCGCTGTTTCCTGCATTTGAAATCTTTGACTTTGTCTCTGTGATTATTTTTAGGGACTTCATTGATGGAAATGTTGAGAGTCTAATGACGGAACTAGAAATAGAGAAATCACTCAAACACCAAGAAAATATTATAGATGAAATCGAGTGCATTGAGAAGACTCTACTGAAACGTCGCTCCGAGCTCAGGGAAGCCGATCGCCTCCTCGCGGAGGCCGAGAGCGAGCTTTCGAGCACCAGAGAGAAGGTCTGTCCTGCTGCGGTGTGGGTGTGAGCCAGCTTGCTGTCGTGCATGGAAAGCACAGGAGCATGTCACAGCATACTCTTCCAAGTCCAGACAGCCGAGCTCCAGCCTGGACCGTGCTAGTTAGGCAGCCGTGAAAAGCTTTGTGCTTCCCCCATCTATACATTCAGGATAAGAATAGATAGGCTATTCAGTATGAATTAGATAGCATATTTTAAACTCCTAAGGTCATTTAGTTCCTTACCCTTTGTGTATCCTTTTTAAATTTTTCTGGCTCTGATATTTGTGATTTTTTAAATAATCAAACTTCCATCTGCTGGTTCATTTCCCAAATGGCCACTACAGCCAGGGCTGGGCCAGACAGAAGCCAGGAGGAAAGAGCTTCTTCTGGGTCCCTTATGTGGGTGCAGGGGCCCAAGGATTTGAGCCATCCTCTGCGGTTTTCCCAGGAACATTAGCAGGGAGCTGGATCAGAAGTGGAACAGTCAGGACTTGAATTGATAGAAATATGGGATGCTGGTGTCACATGAGGCAGTTTTACCTATTAAGCCACAACGCTAGCCCCTACGTGGGATATTTAATAGACAGACTTAACATATAAACTCCTCTGTGTTTAGTGTAACTATAAAACTTCAGTTTTTTGGCTGAAAGTAAGTCCTTGCTCAACCAAGTGCAAGCCAAACACTATATGTGGACCTTCTGAAGACATTGTTTTCAACATTTTAGGCAGAAAAAAAAAAAGTTGATTTTTTTAAAAAGGATTTGGCAAATCTTGTATAGGAAAACTTCTAAATGCTTTAAAACTACTTAATATTTGTGTTTCTCAACCACAATCAAATCATCACATTGTGTTTTTAGTTGATAATGTCTAGAGTACAGCGAGAATCTGTGTGAAAGTTATCTCGGCAGAAACCAAACCACTTGACTGCAACGTAATTGGGTAAATAGTTTTACCACAGAGAATGACAGTAGTATTACAGATTGTTTTGGAATAAAATGATCCTAAGCAGTCCCAGCACCTTCAAATGGCTTTTATTTTTGCATAGCTTTTCTGCCTTTGATGACACAGATGCAGTTTTATATAACTGCTGTCATGGTGCTTATCCCATTGTTTTAGCCAACATAGTATTAATATTCCATGTTACTACATTATCTTTTTTATTTTGTTAAGATTTACTTTATTTATTTGCAAGGCAGAGTTAGGGAGAGTCTGAGTGGGGCAGGGTCGGATATCTTCTATCCACTAGTTCACTCCCCAAATGGCTGCAACAGCCAGGGCTGGGCCAGGCTGAAGTCAGGAACCAGGAGCTTCATCCAGGTCTCCCAAGTGGGTACAAGGATCCAAGCACTCGGGCCATCATCCACTGCTTTGCCAGGTGCATTGGCAGGGAGCTGGATTGGAAGTGGAGTAGCTGTGAACGGTGCCTGTATGGGATGTGGGATGCCAGCATCACAAGCAGTGGCTTTACACACTGTGTCACAATGCTGCCCTCGTTATCATTTTAAATGCTACATTTTATTCTCTGTGTTCATGCTTTATTGCTTAGCTAATCTATTTTTCAAGTTTTCTGCTATTTCACTATCTAATGAGGATTTTTAAGTTATAATTCTTTGCCTCTGAATTATTTTATGAGAATTGCCAGGTGAACATGAAAGGACGTTTTTATGTCTTTGTGTATTATCTTGTTGTTTTCCAAGAGTTGTACCAGTTTATGCTGCTGACAGCTATGAGTATTGCAACTGAACTGCTTTTAATGGTAGTTTCTTTTCTAGACAAAAAATGCTGTTGAAAAGTTCACTGGTGCCAAGAAAAATTTGTTGGAAACCGAGTCAGATGCTGAGGAGTTAGAAAGGAGAGCTCAGGAAACGGCTGTTAACCTTGTCAGAGCTGATCAGCAGCTAAGGTGGGTGGAGTTCCTAAGCCCCTGATGTGCACAGTGAGAAGATGGTTCTGGGAGGACAGTCATGGTTTATGATGCACAAGGTGTAAGTCTAAGAAGCCTCAGGGGGAATAAACCAATGTGTTTTAGATTGCTCCAGGCTGACGCAAAGGATTTGGAGCAGCACAAAATTAAGCAAGAAGAAATCTTGAAAGAAATAAACAAAGTTGTAGCAGCAAAAGACTCAGACTTACAGTGCTTAAACAAGAAAAAAGAACAACTGACAGAAGAGTAAGTATGGCTTCAGTGGGGCTGTAGGGGCTTGTGCTGGAAGACAGCGCTGGGGGCCCACCTCCCTTGGGACCTGCTGCAGCACTGCTGGTGACTTTTAGGCTTCAGAAACTGCAGAAAGACATCGAGACAGCAGAACACAATGAGGATCACCACCTGCAGGTCCTTAAGGAATCGGAGACCCTCCTTCAGGCTAAGCGAGCTGAATTGGAAAAGCTGAAAAGCCAGGTATGGCAATAGACACCTGGAAAGAACCATTCATGCTGCTCTAAAACCTACCTGTGTTTTAGGATGATAAGAGTATGCATGTTTGTAGATAAATACTGAGAATACAAAATAAAGTAAAAAATAAACAAGACTGTATATCATAGTGTTTGAATATACAATCTAACCTAAATTTCAGTCCCAACTCAATACAATGTGTTACGCAGTAAAATGAGTCTTTAATCATGGTATATTCTGAGATCATGTATGTTAAATATGTTGATGAACACGTTGTGTTTTTAGTCTGTACCAAAGTATAAAACTGGTCATCTAATAAAGGGAGATTATGAGTATTTTTTAAAATTTCTTCCTTTTGCATGTTTGCATAGTCTATTTATTTGGTAAACAAATATCTATTGCCTTTAAAATTGTAAGTAATTTTTTAACTTAAAAAATGGATAAATTGGCCAGCGCCGCAGCTCAATAGGCTAATCCTCTGCCTTGCGGCGCTGGCACACCGGGTTCTAGTCCCGGTCGGGGTGCCGGATTCTGTCCCGGTTGCCCCTCTTCCAGGCCAGCTCTCTGCTGTGGCCCAGGAAGGCAGTGGAGGATGGTCCAAGTGCTTGGGCCCTGCACCCCATGGGACACCAGGATAAGCACCTGGCTCCTGGCTTCAGATCAGCGCGGTGCACCGGCCGCAGCGTGCCAGCCATTGGAGGGTGAACCAACGGCAAAGGAAGACCTTTCTCTCTCTCTCTCTCACTGTCCACTCTGCCTATCAAAAAAAAAAATTTTTTTAAATGGATAAATTGGCCGGCGCCGCGGCTCACTAGGCTAATCCTCCGCCTTGCGGCGCCGGCACCCCAGGTTCTAGTCCTGGTCGGGGCGCCGGATTCTGTCCCGGTTGCCCCTCTTCCAGGCCAGCTCTCTGCTGTGGCCAGGGAGTGCAGTGGAGGATGGTCCAAGTGCTTGGATCCTGCACCCCATGGGAGACCAGGAGGAGCACCTGGCTCCTGCCATCGGATCAGCGCGGTGCACCGGCCGCAGCGCACCAGCCGTGGCGGCCATTGGAGGGTGAACCAACAGCAAAGGAAGACCTTTCTCTCTCTCTCTCTCTCTCACTGTCCACTCTGCCTGTCCAAAAAAAAGAAAAGGATTAATTTTAAAGCTATCTGCATAACCTCTGTCGCCAGTATTGTCAAAATGCAGTAAGTTATAGATGAGAAACAAGTTCTTTAAAACCCATACTTGAGAGATAATGATTACTGTCACACTGTTCTTGCTATAATTTGAGTAATTTCAAATCTGTGAGCTCAAGGTCTGTATTAGGCATTTCATGCTCACACCCCACCGTGGCTTTCCTGTTTCTTGGGTGGGGAATATTAGCTAAAAGTTATATTTAACTTATAACCTTTAGCTGGATTTCCTTTAGTGATTTCCAGGTTAACAAGAAGGCTCTACAGCTTTTGCCAAACTTTGCATTCTTCCTTTTTCTGTAATAAGGTGGCGAGTCAACAGCAGGAAATGACTGTCTTAGACAAGCAGCTGGCACATAAAAAGGAGGAGCTGCAGCTCCTCCAAGAAAGTCTGATCCAGGCGAAAGCTGACCTCCAGGAAGCTCTAAGACTGGGAGAAACTGAAGTAACTGAGAAATGCAGTCATATCAGGGTATGTTTTTCAGTGAATTTTCTTGAGTCCTGTGACAGTGCTCTGCATTTATTTGCGGTATTTTCATCAATTCTCCACAAATGAAAATATGAATCCCTGGAATCTTGCCTCCTCTAACATCAGTTTAGTGCTGTGTATCCATTCTGTGTCACGTTCCGTTCCCCTCTGTTGTTTTCTGGATGTACCCGAGGGTCTGTGCCCCTGTGCCTTACTCATGTCATTTCTTCAGGAATTCCCTTTCTTTCTTTTCATTTTTTTTTTTAAGATTTATTTGAAAGAGTTATACAGAGAGGGAAGGAGAGGCAGAGAGAGAGATATCTTCTGTCCCCTGGTTCACTCCCCAATTGACCACAACGGTCAGAGCTGGGCCGATCCAAAGCCAGGAGCCAGGAGCCTCCTCCCGGTCTCTCATGCGGGTGCAGGGGCCATCTTCTACTGCTTTCCCAGGCACAGCAGAGAGCTGGATCGGAAGTGGAGCAACCAGGACTCGAACTGGTGCCCATATGGGATGCTGGCGCTATAGGTGTCAGGTTTACCCCCTATGCCACAGCGCGGGCCCCAGGAATTCCCTATCACTAGCCAGATGCCATCTATTTCTCATGCCCCAGCTTCATGCCACCTCCTCTAAGATTTGCCTGAGTTTTTCCTTTACTGTGGAAGGAGTTTCTGTCTCTTGTGGTTTGATAACACTTTGCAAGTTTCCTAGGGCAGCTTAGCCTTTGGTGAGAGTAGTTAGGTTCTCTGCTTTACCTTTCTTGGGGGTACTGAGCCCCTAGAGGGAAGGAGCCATCTCTGAATCAGCCTTTTTTCCCTGCAACACATTATTTACACATACATTTAAATGAAAATAATATGTTACTTTCTTACTTCTGTTAGATGGAAATAGGTTAGTGTAAAGTGTAGTGCTGTTTTTGACATAAAAGGCAAAATTAAACTTGTTTCCAAATCAGAATTTCTGTGAAATGAGATAATTTGTAACAGAATTGATTTTAAAATAATTTGCATTCATAATTTCACAAAGAGGGGTGGTGAATTTTTTTTTTTCTTTTAAACACAGGAAGTAAAGTCACTTCTGGAAGAACTGAGTTTTCAGAAAGGAGAACTGAATGTCCAGATTAGTGAAAAAAAAACACAACTTGCACTTATAAAGAAGGAAATTGAAAAAGAGGAAGAAAATCTTCAGGTGGTTTCAGGGCAAATGTCTAAACATAAAGCTGGTAAGTTTGAAGAAAAACAGTCATACAATGTTTCAGGTGAGAAATATCTATGTTCCAGGTCACAGAAAAACTAGAATGGTCGATTTAGCATCTTTTAAAGTTTAACCTTATACTATTTAAAGAAAAGCAGGTTATAAAAGGGTAATATTTTCTGCTGTTGAAATTGATAAAGCTTATTTAAAAGCAAAATAATCATATCCATTGCTGTAAGACAGGTACTTAGGGGTTTTCCATTAGCCTACAAACTGGAACAATCTCTCGGTGTTTTATGACTCTCAAAATTTTCATGTGTTTAACCAGTCAGCCCATTTCTAGTAATTCAGAGAGGTCAAGAATTGGTTCATTGCAGCCATGTTTATAATGACAAATATTTGGAAATAACCAATATAAAGGCTGTGTTTTTAACATTTCAATGACATGCAAACTTGCTCCTGAAGAGATTGAAAAATACATTAAAATTGAATATGGAGTCTAGTCCCAATTTATTTTAATGTATGTGTGTATATAAGTATGTGTGTTCCTGGAAGCAGATACATCACATTGTTATTGTTAATAGTCATCATCTGGATGATGGGATAGTGATGGATTTTTGTTTTTTTCTCTTAAATTATTTTTCTATTTTCCAGTTTTCTACAGTGAGCAAATAATCAGAAAAAAGAGTATTTAGGTATCTATATTTCAAAGGGTAAAATGTTTTTCTATTTGGATACTTTTCGTTCATTTTTTTCTTTTTTTTGACAGGCAGAGTGGACAGTGAGAGAGAGAGACAGAGAAAAAGGTCTTTCTTTGCCATTGGTTCACCCTCCAATGGCCGCCGCGGCCGGCGCACTGCGGCCGGTGCACCGCACTGATCCGATGGCAGGAGCCAGGTACTTATCCTGGTCTCCCATGGGGTGCAGGATCCAAGGACTTGGGCCATCCTCCACTGCACTCCCTGGCCACAGCAGAGAGCTGGCCTGGAAGAGGGGCAACCGGGACAGAATTCGGTGCCCTGACCGGGACTAGAACCTGGTGTGCCGGCGCCACAAGGCGGAGGATTAGCCTAGTGATTACTTTCATTCAGGCAAAATGTTTTCAGTTTGTTCTTTTTTATGTGAAAGTAAATGCTTTTAGAAGTATATCTTTGGGGCTGGCACTGGGGTACAGCAGGTTAGGCTGCAGACTACAGCACCAAAATCCCATGTGGGCACTGGTTCTTTTCCCAGCTGCCCCACTCCGATCCAGCTCTCTGCTGATGTGCCTTGGAAAGCAGCAGAGGATGGCCCAAGGCATCCATGTACCCATGTATCCACGTGGGAGACCTGAGGCTCCTGGCTTTGGCCTGGCCCAGCCTTGGTTGGTTATTGCAGCCATTTGGGGAGTGAACCAGCATATGGAAATCTCTTTCTCTGTCTCTCCTTCCCACTCTCTCTAATTCTGTATTTCAAATAAATAAATGAATGAATCTTTATATATATATATATTTATCTTTGTTAAATATTTTCATTAAAATGTTTTTGGAAATTAAATAATGTTCAGTGAAACTCTAGGTTTTATTACACTAAAGCTATAATTAGCACAATTCAGCTCAACAATATTTTTTTGATTATCCATTGTTTTCTGTATCAGTCAATAGCGTTATTTTCTTTTCCATTTTATAAATGTTTCTATATTCATTTAATAGCATGGACCATGTGTTGTTTCTGTCTGATAGAACTGAAGAATATTCTGGACATACTGCAACTGGAAAACAATGAGCTACAAGGTTTGAAGCTACAACATGATCAGAAGGTGTCTGACTTAGAGAAGATCCAGGTTGAAGTGCTACAGGTAAGGACAAGCCCTTTGTACCCTTAGCAAACTGCAGCCTTTCCCTCTCCTGATGTTGAAGTCCTCTCTTACCTGATTCAGGAAAAACTGGCATTGGAGAATTTGCAGCAGACAGCCCAGCAACAGAAAGCGGAGATAGAATGGCAGAAGCAGCTCCTTGAGAGGGACAAACAGGAAATAGAGCGAATGACTGTTGAAATCCGAGCACTACAACCATGTGTGGAATGTTTGAGCAAAGAAAAGGAAGATCTCCAAGACAAGTGTGACAGCTGGGCAAAGAAACTGGCACAAACCAAAAGGTGAGAACAAGAACAATTAAGCTGGCAAGATCACTTCTTGAAGTCCAGAGCATTATAAACGTATTATTTAAAAGTTGACCGCCGGCGCCGTGGCTCAATAGGCTAATCCTCCACCTTGTGGCGCCGGCACACCGGGTTCTAGTCCCGGTCGGGGCGCCGGATTCTGTCCCGGTTGCCCCTCTTCCAGGCCAGCTCTCTGCTATGGCCAGGGAGTGCAGTGGAGGATGGCCCAGGTGCTTGGGCCCTGCACCCCATGGGAGACCAGGAAAAGCACCTGGATCCTGGCTCCTGCCATCGGATCAGCGCGGTGCGCCGGCTGCAGCGGCGGCCATTGGAGGGTGAACCAACGGCAAAAGGAAGACCTTTCTCTCTGTCTCTCTCTCTCACTGTCCACTCTGCCTGTCAAAAAAGAAGAAATATAAGAAAAAAAAGTTGGACAAAAAAAACACACTGTACAAATTATCATAATACAATGCATCAGTGACATTTTCTGGTGAATTTCCTTTCACTTTGTTCCTGAAAAGTACTTTTTAAAATAATATTTTGTGATTTTTTAAAGTAAAATAATACATGTTGGAAATAAATGGAGAGATATTCATGGATAGAAAGACACAATGTTAAGATTTAGTTCTCAGATTGATCTGTAGGTTCAAAACAATTATGATAAAAATCCCAATAGATACTTTATGTAGAATCAACAAGCTAGTTCTAAAATTCACATGGACCTAGAATAGAATTTATGACATCAAAATGACTGAAAAAGAACAAAAGCTTAGGGCTGGTGCAAGCACTGTGAGACAGCAGGTTTAAGCTACACCTACAATCCCCTGATTGGAGTTCCCTGCTGCTCCACTTTTAGTCCAACTCTAATGTACCTGGGAAAGCAGTAGAAGATGCCCCAAGTGCTTGGACCCCTGCCAGCCACATGGGAGACCAGGATGGAGTTCAGGTTCCTGGCTTTGGCCTGACCCAGCCCTGGCCATTGCAGCTATTGGGGAAGTGAATCAGCAGATGGAAGATCTCTCTCTGTCTCTCCCTCTTTCTTTATAACTCTGCCTTTAAAAAAAAAAATTTATTTATTTGAAAGTGTTACAGAGAGAGGGAGAGACAGAGTTCTTCCATCCACTGGTTCACTCCCCAGATGGCCACAACGGCCAGAGCTGCGCAGATACGAAGGCAGGAGCCAGGAGCTTCTTCTAGGTCTCCCGGGTGCAGGGGCCCAAGGACTTGAGTCATTTTCTACTATTATCCCAGGCCATAGCAGAGAGCTGGATCAGAAGAGGAGCAGCCAGGACTAGTACCAGTGCCCATATGGGATGCCAGTGCTTCAGGCCAGGGTTTTAACCCACTGTGCCATGGTGCCAGCCCCATACTCTGCCTTTCAAATAAATAAATGTTTAAAAAAAAAAAAAGTCTAGGGCTAAACAAATCTGATTGCAAGACTTAGTATAAAGCTGTAATAATCAAAACACTATGGTATTTTTTTTTAAGTTTTATTTAATAAATATAAATTTTGAAAGTACAACTTTTGGATTATAGCAGCTTTTTCCCCCATAACCTCCCTCCCACCCACAACCATCCCATCTCCTACTCCCTCTCCCATCCCATTCTTCATGAAGATTCATTTTGAATTATCTTTATATACAGAAGATCAACTTAATATAAGTAAAGATTTCAACAGTTTGTACCCACACAGATACACAAAGTATAAAGTACTGTTTGAGTACTAGTTTTACCGTTAATTCACATAGTACAACACATTAAGGACAGAGATCCTACCTGAGGAGCAGGTGCACAGTGACTCCTGTTATTGATTTAACAATTGACACTGATTTATGATGTCAGTGATCACCTGAGGCTCTTGTCATGAGCAGCCAAGGCTATGGAAGCCTCTTGAGTTCACACACTCTAACCTTATTTAGACAAGGCCATAATCAAAGTGGAAGTTCTCTATTCCCTTCAGAGAAAGGTACCTCCTTCTTTGATGGCCTGTTCTTGCCGCTGGGATCTCACTCACAGAGATCTTTCATTTAGGTCATTTTTTTTTTTTGCCACAACACTGTGGTATTGAAGGTGTGAAGATAGATGGATATATCAATGGAACAGAACAGAAAGTCCAAAAATAAACTCATACATGATGTATATAACTGATTTTGACAAAGACCTCTTTTTCAGTAGAGAAAAAAATGATCCTTCCAAGAAATGTTGCAGAACAGCTGGACATCTAAAACCAAAACAGTGAACTTCAATCCATAGCTCACACTGTATACAAACAATAACTCAAAATGTGCCCTAAACATAAATGTGAAACATAAATATGAAGCTTCTAGAAGAAAATATAGAAGAACATTTGTGACTTTGGATTCCGCAAAAATGTCGTAGACAGAACACCAAAAGCATAATCCATAAAAGAATTATTAAAATTAGACTTCATCAAAATTCAAATATCTGTTCCTCAAGACACAGTTAAGGTAAATGAAAAAAATACCACAGGTTGGGAAAAAAATCTTTGTATCCCTGTACTAATAAAAAACTTGGATGTAGAAAAGAAAAGAACTCTTAAAACTCAATAAGAAAACACAAGTCAGTTTTAAAAATGAGCAAAAGAGGCTGGAGCCGCGGCTCACTAGGCTAATCCTCCGCCTAGCGGCGCCGGCACACCGGGTTCTAGTCCCGGTCGGGGCGCCGGATTCTGTCCCGGTTGCCCCTCTTCCAGGCCAGCCCTCTGCTGTGGCCAGGGAGTGCAGTGGAGGATGGCCCAGGTGCTTGGGCCCTGCACCCCATGGGAGACCAGGAAAAGCACCTGGATCCTGGCTCAAGCCATCGGATCAGCGCGGTGCGCCGGCCGCAGCATGCCAGCCGCGGCGGCCATTGGAGGGTGAACCAACGGCAAAGGAAGACCTTTCTCTCTGTCTCTCTCTCTCTCACTGTCCACTCTGCCTGTCAAAAAAAAAATAAAAAAAAATGAGCAAAAGATTTGAGCAGACATTTTTCTATAGAAGATAAATGGATGGCAGATAAGCATATGAAAAGATTAGTCATTGGGGAAATGCAAATTAAAACCACAACAGGATATCACTATGCACCAATTGAAATGCTATACTAAATGTTCATAAGAAGCTTTCATATACAACCAATGGGAATATAAAGTGGTATGACAACTTTGGACAGCAGTTTGGCAGCTAAATCAAATACCTACTGACCATTTCACCCCTACGTATGTACTTAAGAGAAAGGAAAACATACTTCCACACAAAGTATACACTAGTGCTTAAGATTTTTTTTTATTTGAAAGAGTTACAGAGAGAGATAGAGACAGAGAGAGAGGTCTTCCATTGCTGGTTCACTCCCCAGATGGCTGTAACAGCTGGAGCTGTGCCAATCCGAATCCAGGAGGCAGGGGCTTCCTCCCAGTGTCTCATGCAGGTGCAGGGCCCCAAGGACTTGGGCCATCTTCTACTGCTTTCCCAGGCCATAGCAGAGAGCTGGATCGGAAGAGGAACATCCAAGACTAGAACCGGCGCCTGTATGGGATGCTGGCGCTTCAGTCCATGGCTTTAACTTGCTGAGCCACAGCACTGGCCCCTCATAGCTTAATTTGTAACTGCACAAATGTTTGTGTCTAAGCTAGTAAATGGGTAAAAAAGTGGAATACAACTAAGCAACAAAAAAGGGATGAAGTATTGATATCCTCAAGAACATGAATGAATCTCAAGGCAATCATGCTGAGTGAAAGCCAGACAGAAACAAGTCCACACTGTATGACTGGCTTTATATGTACACGAGTTGATGTTCATGCATATGTATTATATGGACAGCTATCTTGTTACATTATTGTGTTACCTGCTTTTTTACTTACCATGAAGTAGCGATCCACTTTTCTCAGATCTGGAATTCTGAATGATATCTATACTTTTTATCCATGATTTTTATAAAACTTCAGTGAATCACTTTTTCAGAAAAAATTCCTGTTTAGAAAGCTTATAATACAATTTCTTTTGAAAATGATTTGAAGGTTTTCAGTTTTTTTCATGATTTGTAATAACTCAGACTTTCCATAATATTGTGACTGGATAACACTCACTATTCTTCAGTTATCTCTTGTGTGTGCTTGAATACTTACATTTGACACTCTGACCTGTTCCGTGTGTGAAAGGGTTTTAGCAGCCACAGAAGAAACTAACAGAATGGAGCAATCAAACTTAGAAACGTTGGAACTTCAAGTGAGAAGGCTGCAGCAGGAACTAGAGCGCCTACATGGAGACAAGCTCTCGGCACAGCAGGGCGTCTCGGCAGCACAGCAGCAGCTGCAAGGTGGGGGCAGCAGGAGAGAGGACTGGTGGTGCAGGAGCACCGTCTGCTATCGAGTGTGGGCTTTCTAATATCAGGCTGTGGGAATGGTTGTACAACTCTGTGAGTACACGAAAAGCCATTGAACTGTGTACTTTACATAGGACACATAAAGTATGAGAATTTTATCTCAGTGAAGCTGTTTTCATAAGAACCTAGTTCACGTTCCTTAGAGAACAGTTTAAAAACAGCAAAAAGATGAAATAAAATGTCTATTGGCCTTACCCTCTCAGAGGTAAATCCCATCAACAGTTGGATTTTTCCTAGTGCTGTGTGTACATGTATATGTAGTTTTAAAACTAAAAACAAAGATGCAAATAATAAAGATTTTAAATTACCAAATCTTTATAAATATTCATAGTTTATTTAGGAGAAACTGCTAAGTGATTCTAACAATGCACTTATTAAGCATTTACTATGTTATAGGGATGATGCATTTTTTCATCTAATATTTATAATATTTTTATGAGATAGAAACTACTGTTTTGCCCATTTGCAGATGAAGAAACTGAAGCTTAGTTTCCTTCTGACCTACTTAATTGAGAAGTAGCATGCTCAAGATCATACAGCTAGTAACGGACAATGCTAGTATAGATATAAATTTTTCCCAAATTGTGTTCTTGAAAAGTACTAAATTTTATTTCTACCTGTAATATAAAAAGTACGTATTTTTAAACCATGAATCTCACCATAATAGGTATTACCTACAGATATTTTTGTTAAAAGGTTTTGAACATGAAAGTCTTTAAAAACCTGGGCTCCAAGCCCAAATGTAACTTTTATTCTTTAATAAAGTAATTTGGTATAGTCATACAGTTTATAGAAAACAGGTTTAAATTCATTTCTCTACTTTGAAGGGGGTGTTCGGATGGGATCCTGGACAATACATATATATGCATTTCTTATTTTATTATAATGTTATTTCTATAGAAAAACAAGAAGCAGTAAAATCACTACAAGAGGAACTAACTAATGTTCAAGACCATTTGAATGTAGCCAAACAGGTAAGGTTAACAATAACAATGCAATATTCTAGTAGTATCTTGAAGGCATGCAGACAGATGGCTAAAATAACTAAAGCCTTCAGTAAGCTGGTTCCTTTTCACATTAGGGATGTCCCTTAGGGCCTTTTTAACAGTCCTCACATAAATAAAAATTTTGGTGCAGACCAGACCTAATTTATTTTAGCCCTTGGACTCTTGATTAAATTAGTGTGTAGGGTTGTGCCAGGACCATAGGCCAACAGCAGCATCTATGAGACCAGATGGGCATTTTCTTTTCTCTTCTCTTTTCTTTTTTCTCTTCTCTTTTCTTTTTTCTCTTCTCTTTTCTTTTTTCTCTTCTCTTCTCTTCTCTTCTTTTTCTACCTTTCTTTCTTCCTTTCTCTTTCTTTCTCTCTCTCTTTCTTTCTCTCTCTCTTTCTTCCTTTCTCTCTCTCTCTCTTTCTTTCTCTCTCCCTTTCTCTCTCTTTTTCTTTCTTTCTCTCTCTTTCTCTCTTTATCTCTCCCTTTCTCCCTTTCTCCTTTTCTCCCTTTCTCCCTTCCTCCCTCTCTTCCTCTCTTACTCTCTTTCTCCCTTCCTCTCTTTTTCTTTCTTCCTTCCTTCCTTTCTTCCTTCCTTCCTTCCTTCCTTCCTTCCTTCCTTCCTTCCTTTCTGTCTGTCTCTCTTTCTTTCTCTCTCTCTCTTCCTCTCTTCCTCCCTTTCTCCCTTCCTCCCTTCCTCCCTCTCTTCCTCTCTTTCTCTCTTCCTCTCTTCCTCTCTTCCTCTCTCTCTCTGTCTCTCTCTCTGTCTCTCTGTCTCTCTCTTTCTCTCTCTCTTTCTTTCTGTCTGTCTGTCTTTCTTTCTTTTTTGGAGGGGAGAGGCCCCCGTGCCAGGAGAGCAAACAGGTTGGACTTCCTGGAGGAAGGAACATCAAGGACAGAGTCTTTTTTTTTTTAAAGATTTATTTATTTACTTGAAAGAGTTATGGGGGCGAGGTGGGGAGAGGTCTTCCATCTGCTGGTTCACTCCCCTTTAGGCTGCAACAGCTGGAGCTGCACTGATCCGAAGTCAGGAGCCAGGAGCTTCCTCCAGGTCTCCCACACAGGTGCACAGGCTCAAGGGTTTGGGCCATCTTCTACTGCTTTCCCAGGCCATAGCAGAGAGCTGGATTGGAAGTGGAGCAGCTGAGACTCCAACCGGCGCCCATATGGGATGTCGGCACTGCAGGTGGCGGCTTTACCTGCTACGCCACAGCACCAGCCCCTTAACCCACAGCACAGATGAAGCCTCCAGAGGCTGGGCTCAGAGTTGATTATGTGCTGACCATCTTGTCATAGGTTGAATAGACTTTCTTGACTCTTGTACTCCTGATATCAAATGGCATTCAGTGTTGTCCTGGTAGCAGAGCTGCTAGCATGTCTGGGGCTCCACTGCCACTCTTTAGAGCAAGAGCAGGAGTAGACTTCGAAATTCCCTCTTTCCATTTGGAGTCTGTTTGTTTTTGTTTTCTTTTTTTTAAGATTTTATTTATTTATTTGAGAGGTAGAGTTACAGACAGTGAGAGGGAGAGACAGAAAAAAAGGTCTTCCATCTGCTGGTTTACTCCCCAATGGCTGCAAAGGCCGGAGCTGCGCCGATCTGAAGCCAGGAGCCAGGAGCTTCTTCTGGGTCTCCCACTCGGGTGCAGGGGCCCAAGGACTTGGGCCATCTTCTGCAACTTTCCCAGGCCATAGCAGAGAGGTGGATCTGAAGTGGAGCAGCTGGGACTAGAACCAACACCCATATGGGATGCCGGCACCACAGGCAGAGGATTAACCAACTGTGCCACGCACTGCCCCCGTAATTGATCCTTTTAAAAATTGTACACAAGTCCTTATGTTTCAGTTAGAAATAATAATGAGCTTTTTTTTTTTCAAAAGATTTATTTTATTTATTTGAAAGTCAGAGTTACAGAGAGAGGTCTTCCATCCACTGGTTCACTCCCCAGATGGCCACAACAGCCAGAGCTGAGCTGATCAGAAGCCAGGAGCCAGGAGATTCCTCCAGGTCTCCCACAGGGGTACAGAGCCCAAAGACTTGGGCCATCTTCTACTGTTTGCCCAGGCCATAGCAGAGAGCTGGATTGAAAGTGGAGCAGCTGGGACTCAAACAGGCACACATATGGGATGCTGGCGCTGCAGGTGGGGGCTTTAACCTGCTGTGCCATAGCGCCGGCCCAATAAAGAGCTTTTTTTAAAAAATGCTTAATTAGGGCTCCTTAATAAAGAGATATTCATCCTTTTATGAGTTTTTTGTATAAATATTTCAAATAATAGCAAAACCAAGCCTTCAGCTTCATTTTCAGGAAGAATTAGTTTTATTCACAATTTTTCTTCATCTTCTGAACGTCCCGTGAAGTGCATGTCTATTTCCACCTCTTGCCAAGATTCTGACACCTTTTGTCATCTCACTTTTTAGCACTTAAAAGAAGAAAGGCTCTGATTAAGTTTCAATTGGGGCACCTTCCTGTCAGTTCGCTGAGATGATAAAGGCTTCGGGACTTCTAGACTTCTTTTTGTCAGACTCAGTAGATGCTAGGTTGGCTCTGGCCACCCTGGTGGACCTGCTTAGTGAGTGGTTTCCATGTGCTCTTCCACTAAGGACCTGCTTCACACCTCCAAGCGCCGGGACGCACTGCTGGGTGAGCAGAGCCAGCTGCAGGAAGACATCAGTGAATGGATAAAGAGGTTCGAGAACTGTCAGAAAGAAGAGGAGGCGAAACAGCAGCAACTGCAGCTGCTTCAGAATGAGATAGAAGAAAACCAGCTCAAACTAGAGCAGCAGGAAACGGTAGTACTGCACCTGTGGGGTGCTTGTGGAGGGAAGCATTTGTCACTTGTGCGACCTTTGTTCCCTGGGTAGAAAACTTAGAAGTGCCCCCTACAGGACCGAGCGTCACTAAGCTGCCCTTTGTAAGCAGCGGGTAGCTTCTACGCAACTCTGTGACTCTCTGGGCTTCTTACTTACGGGCTGTTCAAACCAGCATCTTGGCCTGGCCAAGAATCCTCATGGCCACATGCAGATTTCTGCCCCTCCTCGTGCCAGCTGGAGAGCTTCTCCGTCACTGCTTGATCACCCGGGTACGGGAACTCTGTCCCTGTGGGCTAAACTAGAATCTGTCCTGTGTTCATGACGTCCCTTCACCTCGGACACTAAGGATTGGTTGCTTTATGACTATGGTTATTCTCCATTAAGATGCTTCAGAGACTCCAGAAAGAGAGAGAGAGTGAAGAAAACACATGGGAAGACAGTAAAGTGACACTGAAGGAGCAGCAGCTCCAGCTGGAGAGGGAGTTGGCGCATCAGCAGAGCAGGCTGGACCAGATGCGCACAGAGGTGCTGGCGGCCGAAGAGCGGGTCAGGACTCTGCAGGAAGAGGAGAGGTGGGGTGAGAGTCTCGAGAAGACGCTGTCCCAAACAAGTAGGTACCCTGGGACATTGCCCGGGGGTCTTCTGGGGGGCTGCTAACCAGAGCATAACCAGGAAGCATAATCGTCCCAGGAGAGATGAGAGATCTGAGCCTAGGACTGACTGCCGAGTCTTTTTACTTTACCAGGCGGTTCCTTTGAGAATCTTCTCTCAAGAAAATAGTACATTAAAGCAAAACAGGCTCAGAGATAGTCTAACGTATACTATTTGTGAGCTTTGGGAATAATGAATGATTCCTTTTGTCTCAACTAGTCAAAAATCAGTATTAATACTCCCTATCCATCCTGATTTGACGTAGTGAATGGTGCTAGAATACAGGTGCTTGGGTCAGTTTGCTTGCTCTTGAACCATAAGAGGGGACTCTGAAGGTTTGTGGCAAAATGGAATTAAAAGTTTATTTTGGTGCAAAAGTTTTTGAAATCTATGCAGTTTTTTCATAATATGCATTTTCTGTGAACTTTTTTTTAAAGACTCAGAGTTGACATGGGTACCCAAGGTAAATGATCCATCAAGAAATGACTGGGCGCAGGGATGTGCAGGAGTTTTGGTATACTCTCATCCCACATCAGACTGCTGGGGTTTGAGTCTCAGCTCCATTTCCAATGCCAGCTTCCTGCTAATATGTATCCTGGGAGGCAGCAGGTCCCTGCCACCTACCTGTAAGACCTGGATTGAGTTTTGGACTTCTGTCTTTTTTTTTTTTTTTTTTTTTAACAGGCAGAGTTAGAGAGATACAGAGAGAAAGGTCTTCCTTTTTCCCTTGGTTCACCCCCCAAATGGCCGCTACGGCCGGTGCACCGCACCAATCCGAAGCAAGGAGCCAGGTGCTTCCTCCTGGTCTCCCATTTGGGTGCAGGGCCCAGGGACCTGGGCCATCCTCCACTGCACTCCCGGGCCACAGCTGGACTGGAAGAGGAGCGACCGGGACAGAATCCAGCGCCCTAACTGGGACTAGAACCCGGGGTGCCGGCGCCGCAGGTGGAGGATTAGCCTAGTGAGCCACAGCGCCGGCCTGGGCTTCTGTCTTTAGCCTGTCCCAGCCCCAACTGTTCCAAGCATTTGGGGAGAAAACCAGTGGCTGCAAGATCTGTCTGTCTCTCTCTTGCTCTGTTTTTCTTCCTTACAAATAAAAAAAATGATTAAAACAATAATTTTAAATAAAAATAAATTTTTTCTTTCTTCTGCTATAGGGTTAAATAATGGTCATCAAATATTGTGGACTTGGGGATATGAAAGGGTTATTATAATCCTTTTGTCCTGGGAACTCTTGTTAAACCCAGACCCAGTCATTGCATTATGAAGTTGAGATTAAATATATTTAGTTCTTACCATGCCAGATATGTTGAAAAATAAAGTCAGGGCAAGGTGCTAAATAGTGTGATAAGAAAAAGAATTTCTAAATATCACTTTTATTTTTTAAGATTTGTCTATTTCAAAATCAGGGTTATATAGAGAGAGGGAGAGACAGCTCTTCCATCTGCAGGTTCACTCCCCAGATGGCCGCAGCGGGCCAGGCTGAAGCCAGGAGCTTCATATTGTTCTCACGTGGGTGGTGAGTGCCCAAGCACCTAGGCTGTCTTCAAGTGCTTTTCCCAGGCCATTAGCTGGGAGCTGGGTCAGAAGTGGAGCACCAGGACTCGAATCCATGCCCACATGGGATGTCAGGATCGTAAGTGGTGGCTTTATCTGCTACACCACAACGCCAGCCCCCAAATACCAGTTTCCTTTGAAAGTGTTCTCTCGTGTGCTCACTGTTTGCATGCGTGGCTCTAACAAGCAGTTATGCTCTTCATCTGTAAAACGGTGCTCATGCCACTGCGGCACCAGCTCCAGACCCCGCTGCCCTGCGCTTGCTGTTGGGCGGGGCGGGGGGGGCGTCCTGGAGGCCTCCCTCCAGTCAGGTACGGGCTCATGAAGAACACGTCAGCACGCGTGCCATGTTCCCTACACTCGGGACCAGGGAGGGCTGTTCACTCCCACTGCTCTCAAAGCGTCAGAAGGGAGGAGAGGAGCAGTCCCCATCTGCGGCTCTGGTTCCCGGAGCTGATGACTTCACGAGGCCCCTCTTCTGGGCCCCTGGTGTGGCTCCGGGTAGACTTGGGGGACACCCCCGAGGGGCTGGCACATCAGTCACGCACTCCGCCAGTCCAGGGCCTCTTGCGCAACCTGCCAAAACTGCTCATTTTCAGAACGGCAGCTGTCGGAACGGGAGCAGCAGTTAATTGAAAAGTCAAGTGAGCTGCGGGCGCTGCAGAAAGAGACGGACTGTATGAGGGCAGACTTCAGCCTCCTGCGGAACCAGTTCTTGACAGAAAGAAAGCAGGCCGAGAAGCAGGTGGCCAGCCTGAAGGAGGCGCTCAAGACTCAGCGGAGCCAGCTGGAAAAAAGTCTTCTGGTGAGTACCTGCGGCCGGCCAGTCGATGAGGGACGGTGCTTGGCAGTGTTTTAAGTGCAGCCTCAGCTCAAACAGACGTGAGGCTGCTGGTGAGTCGCCCGGCACGGAGCAGCAGCCCCAGTGACTCCATGCTGGGGAGCCTCTGCCCGCCTTGCACCGGCAGAGGGAGGGCGCCTGTGGACACCTTGGCATCGCAGCAGTCCTTACACATCGCTCTCATCGTCCCTGTTCACCAGCGTTAGCGTTCATCATTATCCTAAAACCAGGAAGCTCAGGCTACCGTGCTTTTATCCCTAAAATAAGTTTAGAAATTATGTCAGTCCAGACCCATTCGAGGTGAGTGCGAGCAGGCGAGTAGCACAGGAACAGATTTTTCCAACACCCTGGGGAGGAACCAGTGGAATCCTGTGTGTGAAAGGAACTTTTAAATCGTGTATTTCGCACAGGGAGGGTAGTGGTAGGCAAGATGATTGTAATGCAGGCGTTCGAATTTAGCCTGCCCAGCAGCCCTGGGGTGCTGGCTAACACTGCTCCCAGTTTAAGACATTTGAGGCTTCTGACAGGGAAAGCAACTCATCAAAGGGTACCCTGCAGAGGTGGCGCTCGGACACTAGGCTGACAGTCACACCTGCCCATGTCACAGCTAGCAAGGCCAAGACAGAAACTAAGTTACCAAGCTTTACAGTGTCTTTTCTTCCTTCTGTGCTAGGAACAAAAACAGGAGAACAGTAGTATACAAAAGGAAATGGCGACAATCGAACTGGTAGCCCAGGACAACCACGAGCGGGCCAGGCGCCTGATGAAAGAGCTCAACCAGATGCAGCACGAGTACCTGGAGCTCCAGAAACAGGTAGTGTGTGAGGGGAACCCGCTGGCCAACCTGGACAGAGAGGGCTCCTCTGCTCCACGAGCCTCAGGCAGATTGTGTTGCTATGAATCTTTTTAAAAATGTATTTATTTGAAAGGCAATGTTAGAGGGAGAGCCAGGGCTGAGCCAGGCTGAAGCCAGGAGTCAGGAGCTTTTTCCAGGTCTCTCATGTGGGTGGTAGGAGCCTAAGCAACTTGGGCCATCTCCACTGCTTTCCCAGGCACATTAGCAGGAGCTACATTGGAAGTGGAGCAGCTGGGACTTGAACTAGTGGTGGCTTAACCCACCAGGCCACAATGCCAGCTCCTGTTATCTCTTTTAAGAAGAGTATTTTTTCATGGAAATTGTAGAAAGCTGATTAGAACAACATTCTGTAGGTCAAATCTGTTTTCTCAGTCTTAAAATTTAGAAGTGTACTTCTACAAATTAAAAAAAAAAAAGCTTGTTTTTATAATTCTCAAGTTCAACAAGCTTTTAAAAAATGTTGTAATTTTTGTTCATTTATCTCATTTATTTGAAAGGCAGAGTGACAGTGACATACAGAGATCTGCCATATACTGGTTCACTCCCCAAAGGCAACAGTGACAGCTGGGCCAGGCTAGAGCCAGGAGCCAGGAACTCAGTGCAGATCTCCCACACGGATGGCACCATCCACATGGATTTGAACCACCACCCGTGTGCCTCCCACGGTGCCTGTTAGCAGGAAGCTGGAATCAGAAACTGAGCTGGGACTCAAACCCAGACACTTTGACATGAGATGCAAGTGTCCAAAGAGGCACCTTAGCCACTAGGCCAAACATCCAACCCTCAACAAGCTTTTCACGTTAGCTAATGAAAGAAAAAGATGCTAATTCTTTTTTTTTTTTTTAAACTTTTATTTAGTAAATATAAATTTCCAAAGTACAGTTTATGGATTACAATGGCTTCTCCCCCCCCATAACTTCCCTCCTACCCGCACCCCTCCCATCTCCTGCTCCCACTCCCATTCCATTCACATCAAGATTCATTTTCAATTATCTTTATATACAGAAGATCGATTTACTAGATATTAAGTAAAGATTTCATCAGTTTGCACCCATACGGAACATAAAGTGTAAAATACTGTTTCAGTACTAGTTATAGCATTAATTCACATTGGACAACACACTAAGGACAGAGATCCCACATGAGGAGTAAGTACAAAGTGACTCCTGTTGTTGACTTAACAATTTGACACTCTTGTTTATGGCGTGAGTAGTCTCCCTAGGCTCTAGTCATGAGTTGCCAAGGCTATGGAAGCCTTTTGAGTTTGCCAACTTCGATCTTCTTTAGAAAAGGACATAGTCACAGTGGAATTTCTCTCCTCCCTTCAGAGAAAGGTACCTCCTCCTTTGATGGCCCCGTTCTTTCTACTGGTATCTCACTCTCAGAGATCTTTCATTTAGTTTTTTGTTTGTTTGTTTGTTTGTTTGTTTTTTGCCAGAGTGTCTTGGCTTTCCATGCTTAAAATACTCTCACGGGCTCTTCAGCCAGATCCACATGCCTTAAGGGCTGATTCTGAGGCCAGAGTGCTGTTCAGGACATCTGCTGTTCTATGAGTCTGTTGTGTATCCCGCTTCCCATGTTGGATCGTTCTCACCCTTTTTGATTCTATCAGTTAGTATTAGCAGACACTAGTCTTGTTTGTGTGATCCCTTTGACTCTTAGACCTATCAGTGTGATCAATTGTGAACTGAAATTGATCACTTGGACTAGTGAGATGGCATTGGTACATGCCACCTTGATGGGATTGTATTGGAATCCCCTGGCACATTTCTAACTCCACCATTTGGGGCAAGTCTGATTGAGCATGTCCCAAAGTGTACATCTCCTCCTTCTCTTATTCCCACTCTTATATTTAACAGGGATCACTTTTCAGTTAAATTTAAACATCTAAGAATAATTCTGTGTTAATTACAGAGTTCAACCAATAGTATTAACTAGAACAAAAACAAATACTAAAATGGATAAAGTATTAAATTGTACATTAACAGTCAGGACAAGAGCTGATCAAGTCACTGTTTCTCATAATGTCCCTTTCACTTTAACAGGTTTCCTTTTTGGTGTTTGCTTAGTTGTCACCCATCAGGGAGAACATAATGATATTTGTCCCTTTGGGACTGGCTTAATTCACTCAGCATGACGTTTTCCAGATTCCTCCATTTTGTTGCAAATGACTGGATTTCATTGTTTTTGACTGCTGTATAGTATTCTATAGAGTACATGTCCCATAATTTCTTAATCCAGTCTACTGTTGATGGGCATTTGGGTTGATTCCAGGTCTTAGCTATTGTGAATTGAGCTGCAATAAACATTAAGGTGCAGACAGCTTGTTTGTTTACCAATTTAATTTCCTTTGGGTAAATTCCAAGGAGTGGGATGGCTGGGTTGTATGGTAGGGTTATATTCAGGTTTCTGAGGCATCTCCAGACTGACTTCCATAGTGGCTTAACCAGTTTGCATTCCCACCAACAGTGGGTTAGTGTCCCTTTTTCCCCACATCCTTGCCAGCATCTGTTGTTGGTAGATTTCTGAATGTGAGCCATTCTCACCGGGGTGAGGTGAAACCTCATTGTGGTTTTGATTTACATTTCCCTGATTGCTAGTGATCTTGAACATTTTTTCATGTGTCTGTTGGCCATTTGGATTTCCTCTTTTGAAAAATGTCTATTGAGGTCCTTGGCCCATCTCTTAATTGGGTTGTTTGTTTTGATGTTGCGGAGTTTCTTGATCTCTTTGTAGATCCTGGTTATTAACCCTTTATCTGTTGCATAGTTTGCAAATATTTTTTCCCATTCTGTCGGTAGCCTCTTCACATTCCTGACTGTTTCTTTTGCAGTACAGAAACTTCTCAATTTAATGCAATCCCAAATGTTAATTTTGGCTTCGACTGCCTGTGCTTCCGGGGTCTTTTCCAAGAAATCTTTGCTGATACCTATATCTTGCAGGGTTTCTCCAATGTTCACTAATAATTTGATGGTGTTGGGTCGTAGATTTAAGTCTTTAATCCATGTTGAGTGGATTTTTGTGTAAAGTGAAAGGTAGGGATCTTGCTTCATGCTTCTGCATGTGGAAATCCAATTTTCCCAGCACCATTTATTGAATAGACTGTCCTTACTCCAGGAATTAGTTTTAGATCCTTGATCAAATATAAGTTGGCTGTAGATGTTTAGGTTGATTTCTGGTGTTTCTATTCTGTTCCATTGGTCTATCCATCTGTTTCTGTACCAGTACCATGCTGTTTTGATAACAACTGCCCTGTAGTATGTCCTGAAATCTGGTATTGTGATGCCTCCGGCTTTGTTTTTGTTGTACAAGATTGCTTTAGCTATTCGAGGCCTTCTGTGTCTCCATATGAATTTCAGCATCATTTTTTCCAGATCTGAGAAGAATGTCTTTGGTATTTTGATTGGTATCGCATTAAATCTATAAATTACTTTTGGGAGAATGGACATTTTGATGATATTGATTCTTCCAACCCAAGAGCATGGAATATTTTTCCATTTTTTTGGTATCCTCTTCTATTTCCTTCTTTAAGATTTTGTAATTCTCAACGTAGAGATCTTTGAAGTCCTTGGTTAAGTTTATTCCAAAGTATTTGATTGTTTTTGTAGCTATTGTGAATGGGATTGATCTTAGAAGTTCTTCCTCAGCCATGGCATTGCCTGTGTATACAAAGGCTGTTGATTTTTGTGCATTGATTTTATACCCTGCTACTTTGCCAAACTCTTCTATGAGTTCCAATAGTCTCTTAGTAGAGTTCTTTGGGTCCCCTAAAAAAAGAATCATATCATCTGCAAAGAGGGATAGCTTGAGTTCTTCCTTCCCAATTTGTATCCCTTTAATTTCTTTTTCTTGCCTAATAGCTCTGGCTAGAACCTCCAGAACTATATTGACTAGCAGTGGTGAGAGTGGGCATCCCTATCTGGTACCAGATATTAGTGGAAATGCTTGTAAATTTTCCCCATTCAATAGGATGTTGGCTGTGGGTTTTTCATAAATTGCATTGATTGTATTGAGGAATGTTCCTTCCATACCCAGTTTGCTTAGTGTTTTCATCATGAAAGGGTGTTGTATTTTATCAAATGCTTTCTCTGCGTCTATTGAGATAATCACATGGTTTTTCTTCTGCAGTTTTTCTTCTGCAATGTGCTGTATCACATTGATTGTTTTGCAAACATTGAACCATCCCTGCATACCAGGGATAAATCCCACTTGGTCTGGGTGGATGATCTTTCTGATGTATTATTGCATTCTATTGGCCAGAATTTTATTGAGGATTTTTGCATCTTGTTCATCCAGGATATTGGTCTGTAATTTTCTTTCAATGATGCATCTTTTTCCAGCTTAGGAATTAAGGTGATGCTGGCTTCACAGAAAGAATTTGGGAGGATTCCCTGTTTTTCAGTTGTTCTGAATAGTTTGAGAAGAATTGGAGTTAGTTCTTCTTTAAATGTTTGATAAAATTCAGCAGTGAATCCATCTGGTCCTGGGCTTTTCTTTGTTGGGAGGGCCTTTATTACTGTTTCAATTTCTGTCTCAGTTATAGGTCTGTTTAGGTTTTCTATGTCTTCCTGGTTATTTAGGTAGGTTGCCTGTGTCCAGGAATCTATCCATTTCTGATAGATTTCCCTGTTTACTGGCATACAAATCCTTGTAGTAATTTCTGATGATTCTTTTTATTTCTGTGTTGTGTGTTGTTACGTTTCCTTTTTCATCTCTGATTTTATTGATTTGGGTCTTTTCTTTTTTTAGTTAGTTGGGCCAATGGGGTGTCAATTTTGTTTATTTTTTTCAAAAAACCAGCTCCTCGTTTGGCTGATTTTTTGTAATTTTTTTTTATTCAATCCTATTGATTTTTTCTCTGATTTTAATTATTTCTCTTCTCCTACTAGATTTGGGTCTGGTTTGCTGCAGATTTTCTAGATCCTTGAGATGAATTGAAAGCTCATTTATTTGGTGCCTTTCCAATTTCTTGATGTAGGCACCTAAACTTTCCTCTCAACACTGCTTTTGCTGTATCCCATAAGTTTCGTATGTTGTGCTGTTATCCTCATTTACTTCCAGAAATTTTTTGATTTCTCTTTTGATTTCTTGAATGACCCAGTGTTCATTTCAGGAGCATGTTGTTCAATCTCCATGTGTTTGTTTGCATATGCTCTAGGGATTCCTGAGTTGCTAATTTCCAACTTCATTCCCCTATGGTCTGAGAAGCTGCATCGTATGATTCTAATTCTTTTGAATTTGCTGAGACTTGCTTTATGGCCTAGTATGTGGTCAGTCCTAGAGAAGGTTCTATGTACTGCTGAGAAGAATTTAAAATCTTTAGCTGTAGGATTGAAAGTTCTGTAGATATCTGTTAGATCCATTTGGGCTATAGTGTCGTTTAAATCTACTGTGTCCTTGTTGATCTTCTGTCCGGTTGATCTGTCTATTTCTGAGAGTGGAGTATTGAAGTCCCCCAGTACTATTGTATTGGGGTCTAAGTCTCCCTTTAAGTCCCTTAACAAATCTTTTAAATAAACCGGTGCCCTGTAATTAGGTGCATATACATTGATAATCGTTATATCTTCCTGTTGAATTGATCCCTTAATCATTATATAGTGCCCCTCTTTGTCTCTTAACAGTTTTTGTGTTAAAGTTTATGTTGTCCGATATTAAGATGGCTACACCCGCTCTTTTTTCATTTCTGTTGGCAGGGTATATCTTTTTCCAGCCTTTCACTTTCAGTCTGTATGGATCTTTGTTGGAAAGATGTGTTTCTTGTAAGCAGCAAATAGATGGGTTTTGTTTCTTAACCCAATCAGCCAGTCGGTGTCTTTTAACTGGAGAGTTGAGGCCATTAACGTTCAATGTGACTATTGATAAGTAGTAACTTTGCCCTGCCATTTGCCAAAGATATTTTCTAATATATGCTTTGAACTTCCTGTGATCTTTTGCTATGAGGTTTCCTTCCTTTACCTTATTTCATATTGATGACCATGTTTCTGTGTTTCTGTGTGTAACACATCTTTAAGCATCTTTTGCAGGGCTGGATGAGTGGTGACAAATTCTTTCAATTTCTGTTTGCTATGAAAGGTCTTTATTTCACCATCATTCACAAATGAGAGCTTTGCTGGATATAATATTCTGGGCTGGCAGTTTTTCTCTCTTAGTACCTGGCCTATGTCTTGCCATTCCCTTCTAGCCTGTAGAGTTTCTGATGAGAAGTCTGCTGTGAGTCTAATTGGAGATCCTCTGAGAGTAATCTGACGTTTCTCTCTTGCACATTTTAGAATCTTTTATTTATGTTTCACTGTGTTGAGTTTGATTACAACGTGTCGTGGTGAGGATCTCTTTTGGTCATGTTTACTAGGGGTTCTATGAACTTCCTGTACTAGGATGTCTCTGTCCTTCTCCAAACCCGGGAAGTTCTCTGCAAGTATCTCACTAAAAAGGCCTTCTAATCCTTTTTCCCTCTCCATGCCTTCAAGAACTCCTAGAACCCGAATGTTGGATTTTTAATAGTATCCTGTAGATTCTCAACAATATTTTTTAGATTTCTAATCTCCTCTTTTCTTTGGTTTGACTGTATGTTTTCCTGTGCTCTGTCTTCTAAGTCCGATATTCTCTCTTCTGTTTCACTGACTCTGTTTTTAAGGCTCTCTAATGTGTTTGTCATTTGATCTATTGAGTTCTTCATTTCATTTTGATTTCTCTTCACTATCATGCTTTCCTGTTCTACTAGTTTCTGAGTTTCATTTTGATTCCTCCTTAAGATTTCATTTTCTCGAAGGAGATTTTCTGTCCTGTCCAGTGAAGATTTCTGTAGCTCAAGCATTTGTTTTTGAAAACTTTTTTGAAATCCGTATCTTGGATTTCTTTCATCTCATCATCTTCATAATCTTGGCTTGGGGTGTCTTGTTCATTTGGGGGCGTCGTAATGTCTTCCTTGTTATTGTTTCCTCGGTTTCTGCGTTTTTTGCTTGGCATTGTGGAGATATTCTTTGGATTCTTCTTCCCTCACTGTGGTGTTTTTTTCTTGTTATACTATGACTGTTTTAAGTGGACTGTCTGCTTTAGATGGAGCCTTAGAGGCTTGAGATGGGTGTGGCCTGAGAGCTGTTTGGTTCCTCAGGGTTAAGGGTGTGCCAAAGGTGACACTCCCAGGTTTGGCATGGTAAATCTCTCTCTCTCTCTCTTCTCTTTTCTTTTTTTTTTTTTTTTTCCAGAAGGGAAGTAATTCTGCACAGCTGAGTGGAACTGAAGGTAGTCAGCTTCCGATCTCTGGCTCCTGTGGATATAACATTCGCCTGCTCTTTTCCAAGGACCACACAGGGAATCCGTGCTGCCCTCAGTGTGGGCTCAAATTCTCCTGCAGTCTCCCACTGGGTTGCCACAGTTACCGAATTGTAGCGTTTCTGGAGAGTACTCACGTGAACTCCATGAGTTCTCTCACCCACCATCTCTTTTTTCACAGTCTCAGTTCATTAGCACCACACATTCATTAGGTCCTACTCTCCTGTTATTTCACACCACCCCCAAGTCAGGTTTTTCTGCTTGGCTGAGGCAGGTGCAGCCCGCGCCGCTTTTACGTATGTCCAAAATAGTGCCTGCTCTTTGTCTTGCTCGCTTTTGAGAGGTGAGTGGAGAGAGAAACTCGTGTCCGTACTTGTCACTTTTTTTTCCTCTCTCTTCTAGTTAGCCTGGTGAACTTTCCCCCATGGGGCTTCAAGCCTCATTCCCTCTAGGCTCCTCCTTCTGCTTTCCCACCGGTGTCTCAGGCTGTTGAGGTTCGGTTCACCTCGCATTCCGGCGCTGGTGTGTTGATTCCGCTGCTGGTGTCCCGAGCCATGGGCTTCCATGCCCTCCATGCAGGTCCACCGTGAATCACTAGTTCTGGAAGAATTTCCTCTGCTGTTTCTTCCCCAACTCTTCCCTGAACCTGCAATATCTCCACTTTTATTAAACTGTCTCTTCCCGGACTATCAGTGTGCTCCCTTCCTATTCCACCATTTTGCCGCTCAAAAGATGCTAATTCTTTAGATGAAATTTTATCATGTCCCAAGCAGCTATGCTGAAGTTTTAGATTTATGCCAGACAACAAGTCTATAGGAGCCAAAATCCCCAAGCAGGACAGAATGGTCCAGGAGAAGCCTTTGATGTCATGTCATGCCACCAGGTGTTTGGACAGGTAGTCTCTAATCCCAGATGCCCCTGAGCTGTGTCCACATCCGGGCCATCCCTGAACTCTGGTTGTGCTGCCATGGCCCCTTGATGATGCCGCTGTAGTCTTTGGGCAACCCCTGTGGCAGTTTCAGGCCAATCTGTGCTTCCAGCCCTCTGCTCCTGACCCCCACACACCTTTTGGTTCAAGGAAAATTCTTATTTAAAATCCACAAGCCATTAGTGATTGTGGATGCCTTTGCAGACTGAGTAGGTCAATTAGCAATATGTATCAGTCTAACACCCTCCTAAGCTGTTACAAGGAGCACCATGTGGAGTAGTCAGGCACGCAGCAAGATCTGCAGCACTTGCAGAAACTCGAGGTTGCCCCAGCCCCCACTCAGTACCCATGAAAGGAGAGCATCTGCCCCTTCAGCACTGGCATGTGGACTGCAGACGACTGAGGGCTTCTTTCAGCCAGTGATCCTTTTCTCATTTGAGGTTTAATGATTGTACCTGTCACCGGGTACCACTGGGTTACTTCATGTTTTTATCTTGGTTCTCACTTTTTGGAGAAAAAGTCATTATCTCTGTGTATAAATAAGGCCCAGAAGTCAGCTGAGTTACCTGAGTTATCCTGGTGATGTTAACTGAGGATGAGTCTGGAATCCAGCTCTATCCCAAAAAGAATGATTTCTTTTTTTTTTTTTTTAAGATTTATTTTATTTATTTGAAAGACAGAGCTATAGAGAGACGTAAATCCAGAGAGCGCAAAGTCTTCCATCCCCTGATTCACTCCCTAAACAGCTACAACGGCCAGAGCTGAGCTGATTTGAAGCCAGGAGATTCTTCCAGGTCTCCCTCACAGGTGCAGGGGCCCAAGCACTTGGGCAATCCTCAGTTACTTTTTCAGGCCATAGCAGAGAGCTGTATTGGAAGTAGAGCAGCCAGGACTCAAACCAGCACCCATATGGGTTGTTGGCGCTGCAGGCCAGGGCTTTAACCCACTGCACCACAGTACTGGCCCCAAGAATGATTTCTATAGAGTTTAAGGAACATTATCCACATACTTGTCTAAATTGAAGTTGCTTCAGTGAAAATGTCAATGAACTTGTATACTCAGTAACTGGTAGATACTGGAATATTTGAAAAAAATCACAATTTTATATTTCTGTCTACGTCCATACCACTGTGAACGTGCCAGATCTTATCTGATCTCAGAAAATTTGATGTTTCTAACAATCACAATACAGATACTTCTTGACTTATGAAACAGCTACATCCAAATAACCCATCTTAACTCAAATGCTAAGTGAGAAATGCTGTAGCCACACACGGCCTGCTGAGCAGCACAGTGCACCGTGGTGTCAGGCGGTTGTTCCCCTGCACCCATGTGACTGACCTCAAGCAGGGGCTGCTGCCGGCCACCCAGCACTGTGCAGTAACTGTACAGGTGTCCTAGCCCACAAGATGAAGCGCAAGGTCTGCTTTGTACTCAGTGTGCATTGCTTTTGCACCACTGCAAAATCCAAAAGACCTTAAGGAGAACCCTTGTAAGTTGTGTAGTTGATATTTATAGATCTTTAAACACATGATGCTTTACCTGATGGTATTTCAACTCTGACTCCTTCTTCAGGTGGAAAACCAAAAAGATCTGGAGAGAAGACAAATGGAAATCAGTGACGCCATGAGGACCCTGAAGTCTGAGGTGAAAGATGAAATCAGAACCAGCTTGAAGAATCTCAACCAGTTTCTTCCAGAACTACCAGCAGATCTGGAAGCAATTTTGGAAAGAAATGAACACCTAGGAGAGTTGGAAAGTCTGAAAGAGAATTTCCCATTTACCATGAACGAGAGACCTTTTGAAGACAAACTGAACTTCTCCCATGTTCACATAAAGGTAAGGGGTAAGGGTTTGTCCTGTTGTTCTCTGGGCTTCTAACAGGGTAGTTTGGTTACTGCCTCCCCCAGTTAAGCTAAAATACAGAATTGGGGCGGGATGGGGGAAGGAGGAGGAGGACACAGCGTGCTGGTCCCAGTCATGGTGTTCTGTGACTCACTGATGTCTCCTTTTCCCTCTGAACAAGGACACTCACTGGCGTGGAGAAGCGCTGCGAGAGAAGCTGCGTCACCGGGAAGACCGACTCAAGGTGGCCTTTAGCCGATTGTTAAATTTTTCTTAGTTTTATTCGAAAGGCAGGGACACACACAGAGCTCTCCCACCCCGTGATTCACTCCCCAGATGCCTGCAATGGCCAGAGCAGGGCCAAGTCAATCAGGAGCTGGGAACTCAGTCGTAAGTCTCCCGCAGGGGTGCAGGGTCCCGAGTACCTGAGCCGTCACCTGCTGCCTCCCAGGGTGGCTACAGCAGGAAGCTGGGGCAGCAAGAGCAGAGCCAGGGCTGACCCAGGCGCCCAGCAAGCAGCACCTTACCCTGCTGTCAAGGGCCTGCCGTCCCTGCAGGTTCACTGGACATCAGGGAAGTTGGCGTCGCACAGCGGGTGGCAGTCAGTGTTCAGAACCATGCTTTCCGCTGTGAAAGCGGTGTTGTTTAACCTACGTAATGCTGCTCTTACCTCAGCTAAAACTGACGGAGCCTAAGTATTTGGGACGGGAAATAGAGACACAGTGATAACCTCACAGGACAGTGGCTGCGGCGGGGAGACTGGGAGTACTTCAGGTGAGACTTGAGCATCAGGTGAGGAACGTGTGGTTCAGAGTATGTTCAGTGTGAAGGGCCTGGGAGGCCTCCAGGGGAAAATGGCCATCTGTGGGCAGCTGAAAAAAGGAGTGTGGGGTTTAGTGGTCAGTGCTGACCTAAGGATTCAGGGATGAAGAGTACACCAGGGAACGGAAATATGTGCGTGAGGCAGACCAGAGAACAGGACCCGTGTTTGCAGAGTGGAGGCAGCACTGCAACACGGAGTGAGAGCCCGGTGACATGCACCGACAGTCTCCAGCCACGTGTGGCACAGCGGGGGAGCCGCCGCCCGGCATCCCACAGGGGCGCTGGTGCACGTCCCTGTTGCTCCCCTTCTGACCCAGCTCTCTGCTGTGGCCCGGGAAAGCAGAAGATGGCCCAAGTCCTTGGGCCTGCACCCGCGTGGCAGACCAGAGGAGGCTCCTGGCTGCTGATTGGCCCCGCTCCAGCTGTTGCAGCCATTTGGGGAGTGAACCAGCGGATGGAAGACCCCTCTCTCTCTCTGTCTCTAACCCTGCCTTTCAAATAAATAAATCTTTTTAAAAAATGTATTGGGGGCAGATATTGTGGCACAGTGGGGTGAGCGCCCACTCGCAGTGCCCAGGCCCTGTACCCCGTTATCAGAACGCTGGTTCAAGTTCCAGCTGCTGTGCTTCCAGGGCACCTTCCTGCCGACGGGCCTGGGAAGGCAGTGCAAGATGGCCCAAGTCACTGGGTCTGTGCCACCTACATGGGAGACCCAGGTGCAGTTCTAGCTTCTGGCTTTGCCCTGGCCCAGCCCCTGCTGTTGTGGGAATTTGGGGAGCGAACCAGCAGATTCAAGGTCTCCCCCCCGCCCGCCCACTCTGCCTTTCAAATAAACCAATCTTTAAAACAATTTTTTTTTAATTGTCCCTCATGTTGCAGGCATTTGGGGAGTTAACCAGTGGAAGGAAGATGTTTCCCCTTCTGTGTCATTCTGCCTTTCAAATTATTAAATACTCCCTAAAATTTGTTTTTAAATCCAGGTAGAAATTGAGTCGCTGGCTGGGCACTGTGGAGCTGCACGCTAAGGTGCGGCTTTGTTCGCCTGCTCCCGTAGCAGAGCGCTGGTTGAGTTCCGTCTGCTCTGCGTCCCACTCAGCTTCCTGCTCACGCACCCTCGGGGGCAGCAGATGCTGCGTCAAGTGCTTGGGCCCCTGCCACCCGCATAGAAGACCAGAGGAGTTCCTGGCTCCTTGCTTCAGCCTAGCCCAGCCAGAGAGTGAACCAGCCAATGGAAATGCTCTCTCTTGTCCTGCTTTTCAAGTAGATGAAAATAAAATATTTTTACAATTCAGTTGCCACACTTCAAATGCTTGATAGCCACCATGTTATCTGTTGGCCACTCTTGACAGGCAGATACAGAGTAGTCCCATCACTGCAACCTGTCAGTGCTGCTGCAGACTGACAGTCATGTCAGTGACACCGTAAAGGAAAGGAAAGCCAAAGCGGAGTCTAGGGTTGAGGAGTGAATGCATCGTGAGATAGCAGGTCTCAGCTAATCTAAATCCTGCAGCAGGAGAAAGACGAGGCAGTACTTCAGTGGGGAGCGTTGTTACAGAGAATGGGCTAAGAGTTACCACCACCAGATGGTAACATTGAAACACACTGAGTTTCCAGCTGGTACCTCCTATAATTTTTTTTGGACAAGAGCATTTTCAACAGTCATTCCTTTTCTATGACAGTTTTGCTTACCAAATGTTAAACTGAGGGAGCTAAGTAAATAAAGGTTCCCGTGTTTCTTCTGTGTAAACCCCAATTGTGTCCTAAGGCCCAACTTCGCCACTGTATGTCCAAGCAAGCAGAAGTACTGATGAAAGGCAAGCGGCAGACGGAGGGCACTCTGCACAGTCTGAGGCGGCAAGTGGATGCGTTAGGGGAGCTGGTCACCAGCACCTCTGCGGATTCGGCGTCGTCACCCAGTCTGTCTCAGCTTGAGTCTTCCCTCGCAGACGACTCTCAGTTTGGACAAAGTAAGGTAAGAGGAAGCTCTTGGCAGAGGCTCAGTCTGTCCCATGGGAAGTACTTGCGATCTGCAGTCTGCAGTCCAAACGAGACGCAGGACATGAGGCACCTGCAACTCTGGAAAACTGGGGAGACCCTGTGGTCCGAGGGAAAAGTGGATCCACTGTTGCCAGAGAGGATGAACAGGTGGCTTAGGAACAAGACGAGAACTGGAGCTCGGACGACCTGATATCCCACGCTCCAGGGTTTCCTCATCTTCTGTCCGGTTAACACGAACAGCTTAGACGTGGGAGGCCAGTTTGAGTCCCGGTTTCATCTGTGTCCCTGTGCCTACTATTCCTTAGCAAAATCTTTGAGTGCAGACTTGGGAGTCTATCAGAAAACAAAAAACTAAATTTTAGATGATTCTCTGTATAGGCCTCAGCTAAGGTTAATAGTCATTTAGGAGGAATTTGAAATACACTCATGGAACTGGCAAGCAGTAGCACTGTAACTGTCAAGGGACAGATAATACTTCCATTCTTTATTTTTTTTTAATATTTGAGAGGTACAGTCAGAGAGGAGAGACAGAAAGGTTTTCCATCCACTGGTTCACTCCCCAAATGGCTGCCAACGGCTGGAGCTGAGATGAGCTGATCCCAAACCAGGAGCTTCTTCCAGGTCTCCCTCGCGGGTGCGGGGGCCACCCAAGGACTTGGGCCCTCCCCCACTGCTTTCTCGGGCCATTAGCAGAGAGCTGATCTGAAGTGGAACAGCCGGGCTCGAACCCTATGAGATACCAGCACTGCAGACAGAGCCTCAGCACACTGTGCCACAGTGCCAGACCCAAATTTCTGTTCTTGAGTGCCTACTGTGTGCACATACTATACTGAACACTTTCTACCATCTCATTTCATCTTTGTCCTTGGGGTTAGGACATATATCAGTAATGACAGATGACCTGGTCAAAGGCACAGTACAGGATAGAACCAGGCAGAGAGCAATGTGTTGTATTGGTTGAACCATAAGGAACATTCAAGGACAAATGCTTCTTTAATAGGCCCAAGGCTGGCAAACGACTTGCACAGGTCACATAGTGAGAATAGCAGCCAAGATTTGAATGATTTACCTTAACGCTTCTGTGGTGCTAAAGACCAAAACCATTATGGGCCCTGGGGCAGGATTTAAGGAAGAGAACATGAGAGGCATGGGCCGGCACCATGGCTCACTAGGCTAATCCTCACCTGTGGCGCTGACACAGTGGGTTCTAGTCCCGGTCAGGCGCCAGTTCTTTCCTGGTTGCTCCTCTTCCAGTCCAGCTCTCTGCTGTGGCCCAGGAAGGCAGTGGAGGATGGCTCAAGTGCTTGGGCCCTGCACCCGCATGGGAGACTGGGAGGAAGCACCTGGCTCCTGGCTTCAGATCGGCACAGCATGCCGGCCAGAGCAGCCATCTGGGGGGTGAACCAACAGAAGGAAGACCTTTCTCTAACTCTGCCTGTCAAAAAAAAATAAATAAATAATTGAGAGGCAGTGTACACTAAGAAGTGGGCAGGTTTTAGAGGCAAGATAGCCAATGGAGTAAGACAAACAGCAAACAGGCTGAAGAGGCAGGTTCAGTTATCAGGTCAAGAGGGCAGCCTGAAGATGAAGAGTTCAGGTGCCCCAAAGGCAAGAAAATATTCAAGAGAGGTGTCAGAGGCACAAGGAGTAGAGGCAAGATTGTTAGGTGACTTTGGGGTTGTGATCCAGGCCTGTGTGGAATAAAGGCCTGCCTCAACTAGACTGGAGTCTGGGGCTGGCTTCTGAGCCTTAACGTTTCACTTCTCAGATCTTCCAGCAAATCGCACACGGTCCATCAGAGCCGTCAGGCAGTTACTGACACTGACGCCATCCCCAGCGTTCTCACAGGTATGTGTTAGAGATTTCTGAATTGGTACTCTCAACTGGAAAATCTTCAATTCTAGCGGTTAAAAAAAAAAATAAACTAAGCCGGCGCCGTGGCTCAATAGGCTAATCCTCCACCTTGCGGCGCCGGCACACTGGGTTCTAGTCCCGGTTGGGGCGCCGGATTCTGTCCCGGTTGCCCCTCTTCCAGGCCAGCTCTCTGCTGTGGCCAGGGAGTGCAGTGGAGGATGGCCCAGGTGCTTGGGCCCTGCACCCCATGGGAGACCAGGAAAAGCACCTGGCTCCTGGCTCCTGGCTCCTGCCATCGGATCAGCGCGGTGCGCCGGCCGCGGCGGCCATTGGAGGGTGAACCAATGGCAAAGGAAGACCTTTCTCTCTCTGTCTCTCTCTCTCACTGTCCACTCTGCCTGTCAAAAAACACATAAGAAACTATTAACTTTCCTAATTCTGTAGTGGTTCATCTTAAAGCATTTTTCCAAAGAGGTACTCAGTATGTTGTTATCCATCACTTCATTATTCTTTCATCATTTGAATAATTTGTCCTCCCTTTTTGTCTTACTGCAGGAAACATGACTGAGCCAAGATGAAAAATACCGTCACTGGCATGAATGTATCTAAGGAAATACCTTCTCTGCTACCTCACTCACTCACTCTAGTTGAATGCCACTTGATTTTTTTGAGATTATGGAACAAAGATGCCAAAATGCCACTCTAGTTTTTATGCTTGTACCATTCATTAATGCCAGCATTTTTTGTGAATTACTTGTACATATGGGAATAGTTGTATACATTCTAAACTGGGGTCCTACAGTGTTTAATTATTAAATGTTTTTATAAAACCAATGTAGATTTTTAACTGCATATTTCAATCTACAAACTAGTAAATCTAGTTACAAAGAAAAGAATGTACTTCAGCCCCTCTTCATGTATACAGAGTTATTTTTGGATTTTACCTAAGATTTATTTTTCATATAAAAATAAAAGATATATTCAACCTGGATCATCTGACTTTCCATTTTACAGATCAATTTACAATAAAATAATAATTTCTTGGATTTACAGTAAAGTAAAAATTGGATTAATCTTTCAAATGGCTTCTACCTTTTACCTGGAAAATGAAGTATGCTGTACTTATCAGTGAATGTGTCATCATTTGGAAATATCTATTATTAAACATTATAGCTAATAATTCTTTAGTGAAAAATAAGGAAAGTTTTGTACTTTGGAGACTCAGACCTGGTGAAAATTCAAATTGTGCTCAGAATTTAAATTCCTGAGCTATAATTAATGGCCTGACACCAAGATCTACATTTCTTTAAGCAGCTAAGACACCCACATACCATATCAGAGTATCCGCGTTCAATACCTGCCATTGGCTCCTGACTCCAGCTTCCTGTTACTGTGGACCCCGGAGGCAGAAATGATGGCTCAAGTTACTGGATTCCTGCCACCCAGCTCCCAGCTGCAGTCCAGCCCAGCCCTGGCCATTAGCAGCATAAATGGGAGTAAACCAGCAAATTGGAGTTGTCTCTCTGCCAATCAAATTTTAAAAGAAAACGAAATATTTTGCAAGTACAGTCACAGCTGTATGACACTAGAAATATTCCCATTGGGTAAATATGTGATAGATTAGGTTTTAAAAAGTTCCCAAGAACTCTTCTAAGCCACTTAACGGCTTGCAAGTCATAACATGTACTGTACACGCTACTGCAGTAGAGAAGAGCCAAGTGCAATAGCACTGAGCTTTCTATTCCTGAAGAGTAAACAGAACTGGACCACAAAGAATTGGCATAAATATAATTATTACAAAGGTAATGAAAGTGACATACAATGTATTAACACACAAGTTCTAGTAGGCATCTACGTCCAAAACAAAACTCGAAATGTCTTCGTTTTGCTTTCTCCAATCAGCTAAATGTTTCAAGCCTTGCCCCAGTAACAATTACTGGTGTCTTATGGACATAATTCTGTACAGCCGCAGCGTCTCCTCTCTGCACTGCTCCATGAACGCTCTACCTTCACTTGAAAAGGAGCTCACAGTGATTGTGAACTGTACTATTCCTTTAAAAAATAATAATCTTTTTAAAAAATCACACTTAGATTTACAGGCAAAAGTTCTCAAAAACTATGGGCTAATGAAAGTTGAGAATGTAATATATGAAGCCAAAACACATGGTTTCAAAAGACCTTTTTCCAAAGAAATCTTACTACTTTGAACTATTACGTGTAAAACACCAACCAAAAATAAAAATCAAAGTTACTGCATCAAACACTTTATTATCCATGAAAACTATGTGAACATTGTACTGTAATGTCTAATGCACACTTTATTATCCATGAAAACTATGTGAACATTGTACTGTAATGTCTAATGCACAAGGACCGCTGAGCACCAGTTACTAGTCAGGGCCACCTCACGGATGTGAGGGCCAACAGGTAGCCCAGAGAATCAGGCAACCGCACAAGCGGGAAGCTCTCATGGCTTAAAAAGTAAAAGATTTTCACATTCTCTCCACAGTGCACTTGCCAAGCTTGTCAGGCACACAGACGTTACAATGACAACCTGATCCTCTGAGCACCCAAGTTTATACATGCAGAATGAATCTGGCCTCGAGCACAGTCAAGGAAGGACACCATCAGACACCACAGGCACTGCCCTCACCCTGGGGAAGGCTGAGTGAGTGCACTGCGGGGGCTGATGCAAACACAGGGGTCACAATGCAGCTGTCACTTGGTGCTGAGGCTTTATACGCTGCGCATGTATACACCTGTATACAAACCAGGGCGGTTCTGCCAATAACTGACGACTTACACCGAACAACTGATCACTGGGAAAAAAAAAAAAAACCCTATTATAGTTCAGAAAATAATGCAACCGATTTTAATTTAATCTAGATACAGGTACTTTATTTACAAATATTTAGATTAATAGCATTTTGTTACATCAAATGAAGAGTACAGCAGTCTGAATAAATCCTTCTGTCACAGAAACAAGACCCACTGTAACCAACTTTGGGAATCAGGGTATTGCACCTAACAAGCGAAGTCTTCAGTCTGTGATTGCTACCCTATGGGTGGGTCTGTTTGTTTTGTTTTTGTAAATATATACACACACCAGCAGGTCATGGTCCCTGGGAGAATCCCTTGTGATGCAACAGTGAAAGCAAAATGGGTCATGGTAAGTCTGTAACAGAATATACCAATCTACTCCAGGAATCTTCCTTTGCTTTAAAGTTAAACAAAGACAAAAATAAAAATGAGTCCACAAATTAACCAAATCCTATTTTCTGCACATTCCAGTTTGGGCTTTTATTTAACATTGACTATACAATACTCCGGTACTATCACGTTTACAACCCAGAAAGATGTACGTTAGTGTCTGTAAAGAGGGATTTAAAATGTGTATTTTAAACACAGCAGTCGAGCCGAGTGCATTTTATATAATATGCTGAGGTTTACCTACTCCCTCCCAATAACTTCTCAATTCCCAGCCACTGAACCATAAACTCAATTAGAAAGCAATCAGCAGAAAAGAACAACTCAGTAAAACCTGTTTGTTGTCTAAAGAAGTAAGATTGTTTCTCTGGCAATACAGGATTCTTTCAGTGGCCAAAACACCTAGTGTAAAGTAGTAACTCGGTATCAGCACAAACACTGAAACACCCTTAGGAAACACTTACCCTTTTACAAAACAATCTATGCCGACATGACATAAAACAGTCCCTTATACTATGAACACAAGGGATATTTTAAATTACTTCACTGTAGTGTTAAAAATGCACAATTAAAATCCCTTAACAGCAGACCTGCGGTTCTGCCTGTCTGGTTCAGAATCGGACCATTCCAAGAAGATACAGGTATAAAAGCTTAAAATGTGCAATAATAAACCCAGCCTTTGTTCTTTTTCTATACAGTAAGGCAAGAATGCAGCCTATAATGCAAAATGTTTACAAAAAGAGAAAAGCAGGTTAGCACATTGTCGATTGCACAAGAATAGTTAAGAAAATCAGCAGAGAAGCCACAGTGCAAAGATGGAACAGAATTGGCTAGTGTTAATCCTTTGATGCTAGGAGCTCTTTCCAGCATAATGTCCCCAACACTGCCAGCACCAAGGGGTGGAGCCAGTACTACTTGTGAACTGCAGTTTTGTCTATTTTCTTACGTGAAATGGAGGGAGTAACATGGTCACATGTAGGTCATACTGTACAAACTGGTAATTTTATACTGTTCCAATGCCAGTAATCAATTTATTTTCTTCATTAAAATAATATACAAAGAACGTATTGTTAGTTCGGTTCCTTCGAATTTTATACATATTTACTTTCTGTTAAAGAGAAAGGATAAAATAATGTAAAAAAAGGATAAAGCTATTAATTAAGCACAAGAGAAAAAGATAAATGAATATTTTTCCCCGTGCAAGGCTAAGACAGAAGCAAACCTCATCAAGAAAAATACCACCCACACAACAGGGAATTTATCCAACAAAAACAAAACAGAAGCAGTTACTGAACCCCTTCTCTGCCATCAGCAGTCACTTCACAGCGATAAACTTATTGGTTACACCAGACATACTTGAACAGTTCAAGATGGGGAGAAGGCTTAAGATATCATCAAATTAAACCATACAGTAAGACGAAGCCTTGCCAAAAAGGGAGGGTCGAAATCATTGAAGTCCAGCATCAGTGCTCAGTTTAAATCATATTGGTGACAGAGCTATCACAAGGACAATCAAGGGGGAAAAAGTCTAGATTCACCATGCAGGAGAGATTTATTACTCTACTTGCCTTTGATAACCTGATTACATCTAGTTGTTTAGCAGTTTAGTATTGTGTTAAACTGTTTTTACAACAGAGTTTTGTTTTGTTTTTTAATTAAACCCAGTAAGATGTACAGAAGACAACGAGGCAGTAAAAAGTACTGCTTCCAACAGACAGAGGTGAAAGGTCAAATGAGAGGCCAGAGCAAAGAGGTCACTAGCAGCCACAGCCTTCTCTCTGGGGTTGGGGCTCACTGGTTAGCCGGCCTCCCTGCGGGGCTGAGGGTTTGTGTTGTACACCGGACTCGGCAGCATTCAGATCCAGGCTTCCGTCCTGAATGTTCTGATAGATTTTCTTGGCAGCCTCCAGGAAAGCATCTTCTACATTCTCTCCCCTAAGAGGCAAGTGACAACTTTATTCGAGAACCACTGCTTTCTACTAAAATAAGACTTTATACACTGCCCTTTTGCTAACCTTTAGTCAAGTGCCATGGTGTCTTCAATTTAGCCACTGTCTGGTAAGAGATTACCAGAAGCCTGAGCTAAGAGAACAACATGGGAAAATATTTCCTGTGGAAAACACATAAGCATCGTTCTAAGAGCTATTCTGCAGACCTCTAGCTGGATAAGCGTATGTGCTCTAGTCATTACAATACTATTTGTTACTAGATGACAGGACAGCTGAGATTAGAGAAATGGAATCTGTACATGCTGAACAGGATTCTGGGATCTGCAGGATCTGATCAGCCAAACGTGAACTGTGCTGTTTGTATGTAATGGCGACATGTTCACACTGAGCTCTGTGCACACTTCAGTTCTCTTAGAGATCACACTACAGATAATGCTAAACAAAAAAAGCCAAGCCTCTCACTACCACTGCAAGGAATCGGAGGTCTAATAACTGAAGATCAATGACTGGAATAATGTAGAACTGGAGTTCCACAGCTGACATGGAAAAACAATTCATCATGCTTTTGATCAGACACTAAGTATTTCCCTAAGTCATGCTTTTCAACGGGATCTCTGAGGTAAAATACTACCAGCAAGTTGGCCAAGCTTGGGTCTGAGATGCCAAACCAGCTCGGTTGTGAAAGTCAAACACTTCTGGAATGTAAACATGGTCTCACTGATTAACCTGGTTTTACCAATGGCATAATCAAGGTCCAATATTACAAGTAGAAAAACTCAGTATTATTTTGAAATACGAAACAGGAAGTAGAAATGTCTGCTCAATATTTTTCTTGCCACAGCACTGCACATTTATGTATTATACAGTAAATGAACAATTATATTATATACTTTGATAAACATGGTTTTACACTCAGAAGCTAAAATATAACTGAAACATCTGTATTTTAGCCATACTTACGTTTTTGCACTTGCTTCAAGGAACAATAAGCCTAAAAATAAAATTCAGACTATAATGAGGACACTTCAAACTCACCAGGGCATTCTCTTCAGTAACATCTGACCAGAAGCTGCCTATCTATCAGCTATCAATACTCTCACTAACACGGCATTTTATGAAAGAGGGAGTATAAGGGGGCAGCATCATTATCTGTCATTAATTGTACTACTCCTGATATGAATCTCACAGAAATACATTTCTTCATTCTTGAGATTTTTTCCATTTTTTAAAAAAACTGTCAATCTGCAATAACAAAATCCCACCTTTCCTTAGCAATTCTCCCAAATGTGACCATTAAGTCTTAAAGGAAACCCACCGTTTTCTTCAGCAAACTGTTTGGCTTCTTCATATGTAACATCTCTCTGTGCTTCCAAGTCTGCTTTATTTCCTATGAGAATTATTACCTAATTTGTGATCAAAAGAAAGACATCTTAAAACAAAGCAACCATTTAAGTCAATCATTCAAATTGTGAAATCTAAAATTCTGGACAGAAAACCACCTGGGCCTTTTTAAATGTAAAACAAGTCTGGGGGTACTTCAAAAACTTCAAGGGAAAATGGAATTAAAAATTAAATATTTTAATGCAAAAAATTTTTTTAGATCCATCAGTTTATTCCATTAACTTTTTGAAAGCAATTACCCACCAGGAAGGACTACAGAACCATAAAGTCATTAAGTACTAAGAAGAACCTAGACAACCCTCCATGCAAAGAGGTGACAAACTTTCTGTAAAGAGCAGAGTCTATTTTTCAGGTTGGTGGGCCCCACAGTCTCTTTGCATATCCTTCTTGGCTGTATTTTTGGGGTTTTTATTCTTTAAAAACATAAAAATCATCCTTACTTAGCAAGCCATTCAAAAACCGTCTGGGGGCCAGATAATAAAGCTTCATCTTATATAGGCCAAAAAGTATGACTTATCTAAGGAAGATTACTAGGGGTCTATGACCAAGCTCCAGGGGATCTGTGACTGCCCTGAAGTGAAGTGCAAAATGCTTTATAAACATGGACATCCCCCGGGGGAAAAGGTTCATGGGTTCCACCCGATTTTCAAAAGGTTCTGGGAAGCTCCGAAAATTTTAAGAACTACCTAAAGTACTGGGGAGGAAATGACAGCTCAAAGGCACAGCAACATCCTAAAGGCCTCTTACTATAAGCTGGTGGTAGGAGGACTTTTCCTAGTTCGGCAGAAACCTAAATGGTGGCCTCAGAGAAATGCTGTGCTACCCCACAGCTTCCATAGGCAGGACCAAGTTTGTAGCAACTGGTAACAAATGCCTGCGTGTATCAGGGAAAGGGAAACTACTAGGGGTAGAAGATGGGGACCTTATAGGATGAGTTCAAATCCAAGACAAAATAACACATACCTGTGTCTACTCTGGAATCATCTCTACAGGGAAGACAGGCTAAAGTTAAGGGAAGCTCTGCAAAGTTCTAAGGAAAAAGCAAGTAACCTTGGGAAACACTCAGATACTTCCCTCCTCTCCAACTCCTTATGAATTTACTAGGGGCTGGGGGTACGCTGTACACTTTACATAGAGACATCCAGCACATGTACTTGTTTTGACAACTGGTAATACTTCCCCTTCCGGATACAGGAATCCAGATATAGACACTTTAGGAAAGGATAGCTTCAACTAAAAGGTACTTTCCCATTAATGTTTTTTTTTTCATATGAAAAAATGGCTCGGCCGGCGCCACGGTTCACTATGCTAATCCTCCACCTTGCGGCGCCGGCACACCGGGTTCTAGTCCCGGTCGGGGCGCCGGATTCTGTCCCGGTTGCCCCTCTTCCAGGCCAGCCCTCTGCTGTGGCCAGGGAGTGCAGTGGAGGATGGCCCAAGTCCTTGGGCCCTGCACCCCATGGGAGACCAGGAGAAGTACCTGGCTCCTGCCATCGGATCAGCGCGGTGCGCCGGCCACAGCGCGCCAGCCACGGCAGCCATTGGAGGGTGAACCAACGGCAAAGGAAGACCTTTTTCTCTGTCTCGCTCTCTCACTGTCCACTCTGCCTGTCAAAAAAAAAAAAAAAAAGGCTCTTCCATTTTTGTCCAATTAACCAAACAACCATTTTGATCTGAATGTAAACCTTTTGCAAGGAGATCAGTTAGGTAGTACAAGTGAATACTCTTCAACTAGCATGTAGAAATGTCCACTAAGAAGAGAAAGAATGTTCATATTATAGTCTACTAGTCTTTTAAAAAATAAAGAAATGACAATTAAAGAAGTAATCAATTTTTTTAAAAGCCTGGTAAAGTTAACAATAGTACAGGGTCATTATGGCACGGGACTCAAAACAAGAAATACTGCTTCCTTTCCAAATTCCTTATGAATTTCTATACTGGGCATCCTATCTCCTGAAAGGAGAGACATAAAATTACATGCTAGCAACACAGAGGTACAGAAGACATTGACAACATGAGAAAGCACACAGCTTCTACACAGAAAGCCAAAGCAACTCTACAGAAAACCTAACCGCTTGTGCAGGACCTTAAAGAAAGGATTTTCTGGGTTTTCCTTCTGAGGATTACAAAGGGCAAAATGAGGCAGGAGGACACAGTGAATTTTTTTTACTATATTCCATGGAACATCTACGGTCAGTTTTTTGTTTTTAACATTTTATTTGAACAATCGTAGACTCATGGAAGCTTACAAAAAATACAGAGGTCATATAACCTGACCAATAGCAGCAACTTAAATGTAGAGCACTCTCAAATCCAGGAAATGGACATGTGTACAAACTACAGCTCTTACAAAGATTTCACAGTTTTTACACACTCGCATACATGTGCTCCTGTGTAGGTCTATTCAATTTTATCATAGGTACAGATTTGTGTTACCACAATTGAGATACTGAAATGTCCCATCACTACAAAGGAATTGCTCTGTGGCACTCTCATCACAGTCACACCACTCCAACCCTCTATCCCTATTACTAACCCCTGGCAACCACTAATCTCTATCCTCTCTCCTGTTCTCATCTCTACAATTCCATCATATTGAAAATATTCTATAAATGGAATCACAGAGTATGTAACCTTTTGAAATTGGCTTTTCATATGCAGCACAATGGCTCCGAGATCCATATAGTTTCCATGTTATCAATAATTCATCCCTACGAATTGCTGAGTAGTATTCCACAGTGTGAATATATCAGACTGTTCAACCACTCAGTTGTCCAAGGCCAAGATGGATTTCCAGTCCTTGACTTTTGCAGATAAAGCCATTATGAACATTCATCTGTAGCTCTATATGTGCACCTACAGTGGACTTCATGCGATAATGGACTGAAAGTTCCCCAACAGTCCCTAGCATAGCAGGCAAATAGTTTTCAATATGATTATTTTTCAATATGATTAAACTGCTGTTGCCTAATAGAGGCTAATCTTACCACTGATGACATCTGAGCATTTACTGAACCAGCCTCCTGCCCCATGCTATTATAAAGCTAAGTGAGAAACAGGCCCAAGCTTGAGAAAGCCAGAGGCCATCACAGCTAAATGCCTTTCCTCACACTGTTCCTGGAATACCCTCTTTGCAGCATGTCTATCTATATACCTGCTGGCTTTCTCTGCTAGATAATAACCTCTTGGGAACAAAGTATCCACATTTATCTTTGCAAAGAAATATAAATTTCACAGCTTCCACTTGATATGAGCTCACTATCCCAATCATAAATTTCACTTTTTTAAACTACAAACATAAGCAAAACCCAAATGAAATAAAACACAAAATCTGGAATAATCTGAACTAAAAAAAAAGTTCAAATGTCTTCAATTAATTTAATAAAATAAAGATTTGCTCATTCTTAGTATCCAAATACAAAGCTCTCACTAGTAAATGGATTTCCTGTTTGGATTATCCTAGATCTTAAATTTTATCCATAATATGTCTTGTAACTTACAGTATTTGGATTGGTGAGATTCCTTGCATCTGTCAACCAGCTGCTTAAGTGATTATATGTACTTCTTCTGCAAAAAATTAAAGTTCAAATTTGTGATCTCCACATACAATCACCACTTTAACAGAAAAAAAGGAACTCTAACACTTAAAATGTACACATTAATAGTTTCTAAAAATATTCAACAACTATGCTAAGGATACATTAGAAGTACATTGCTGACATTTAAAAGCACAACCATAAACAGATAAGCAAGCAGGGAATAAAAGAAAATTTATAGGACATTCTGACCTCATAATTTCTAAAGTCAAATTAAAATTATTTTGAAATCATCCAGATTTTCCAAACAAGAGACACAGTAGCACCAAATTATCTAACCAATGACACATTCAATGGGAATCTTTTTTCACCTGTCTTTAAATTTTAATTTTTCAATTAGAAAACAAGACAGTCATATACACTATTATAAACTAGTATATAATTTCACCTTTACTAAGTAATAATTTAAAAAGTAAGCTAACAACAAAAGCATGAAACTGCCTTTAAGGAAAGTATTTAATACATTTGACTGGAAATTCAATTTCCCAGATATCAGTAAGGAAATTTACCCTAACTTTGTACTCTTATTTCCAGGCCCCTGAATCATTTGGGGTGATTCAGATTGTCCTGTTTCTCAACTTTCTCCAAGCAATAGTTTAAAAACACAGGAATCAGGGCGAGAGCTATGGCACAGCAGGAAAATCCGCTGCCTGAAGTGCCAGCATCCAATATGCGCACTGGTTCAAGTCCCAGTTGTTCCACTTCTATCCAGCTCCCTGCTGTAGCAAAGCAGAAGGTGGTCCAAATCCTTGGGCCCCTGCACCCATGTGGGAGACCCCGAACAAGCTCCTGGCTTCGGACTGGCCCAGCTCCAGCCGTTGTGGCCATTTGGAGAGTGAACCAGCAGATGGAAGACCTCTCTCTACCTCCTTCCCATTCTCTCTCTCTGCCTTTCAAATAACGAAATATATCTTAAAAAAAAAAAAAAAAAAAAAGGAACTTTGGAGCCAATGCTGTGGCATAGCGAGTAAATCCGCTGCCTGCAGTGCCGGCATTCCATATGGGCGCCAGTTCAAGACCCAGCTGTTCTATTTCCAATCCAGCTCTCTGCTATGACCTGGGAAAGCAGCAGAAGATGGCCCAGTACTTGGGCCCCTGCCCCTGCATGAGAGACCTGGAGGAAGCTACAACTGTTGCGACCATTTGGGGAGTGAACCAGAGGATGAAAGACCTCTGTCTCTCTGCCTCTCTGTAATATCTTCCAAATAAATAATAAATAAGTCTAAAAAAATACTTAAATGGCACTTTGCTGCAATAAATAAATAAAAACTTATAGGCTAACTTATAATAGCCCAATACTCCCTAAGATGGCAAAGAAATCCAAATACAGATGTCCCTGACTTAAGATGGTTCCACTTATATCTTTCAATTTCATGGTGATTTATCAGGGTATTAAATGCACTTTTTATTTATAATATCACAAGCTGAGAAACAGCAACAAGTTGCAAAATTACAGAGTAAAATCTACTGAAGAAGTTACAGTGCTAAATTTTTAATTTAATCTTTTCTGGAGGCAGGCATTTAGGCCTCGTGGTTGAGATGGCTTGTGTGTCTCCTATCAGAGTATCTGGGTTTGATATTTGGCTCCAGCTCCTAACTCCAGCTTCCTGATAATGCAGAACCTGGGGGCAGTGGTAATGGCTCAAGTAATTTACTTCCTGCCACCCATATAAGAAATCTGGATTCTGTTCCCAACTTAATAGTTTTAGTTCCTGACCCAGCCTTGGCCCAACCCCAGCCACTGCAAGCATCTGAAGAGTAAACCAGCAGATTGATTGGAACTCTCAAATAAATTTTAAAATTTTTTAAGTTTCTGACTTACAGAGTTACAGAATATTAATCCATCTTACTCGTTTAACATGTGAGCTCACAAAGATTAAATTAATAGAAACTTGGCATTGTAGTGCAGTGGGTAAAGCTGCCACCTCCAATACCAGCATCCTATACAGGCACCAGTTTGAGCTCCCTGCTGTCGTACCTGGGAAAGCAGTGGAGGATGCCCAAGTATTTGGGCCCCAGCACCCACCTAAGAGACCTGGATGAAGCTGGCTTCAGCCTGGCCCAGCCCTGGCTGTTATGGCCATGAGTGAACGAGTGGATAGAAGACCTCTTTCTCTCTCTCTCTGTAACTCTGCTTTCCAAATAAAATAAATCTTAAAAAAAAATTAACAGAAACTCATGAGCCTGACTCAGAACTTTTTTTACATACACAAATGTGTCCTCAAAGCATTTCTAGTTCAGCTTTATGAATATATTCCATGATCTAAAGCTGGCAGCAACCACATAAAAGTCAATATTCCAACTATTTAATCCTTTTCCAGTGGAAACTGAAAAGAATTCCTTTCTTGAGCTCTTTGTTTTTTTGGTACTTAGTGTATTACTTATGTAAACCACCACTTCAATGGGAAATATATACATATCAAAATATCACCTTTCTCCCAATGTTTAAAAATATGGAAAGCATGGTCAAATATCATTTTTTAAAATTCAGAAGCTTTGTTACTGTTCACTATTTACACTACTGGCATCTTTTTTTTTTTTTAAGATTTTATTTATTTATTTATTTTGAGAGGTAAAGTTACAGACAGTGAGAGAGACAGAGAGAGAAAGGTCTTCCATCCGCTGGTTCACTCCCCAAATGGCCGCAATGGCCAGAGCTGCGCGGATCCGAAGCCAGGAGCCAGGTGCTTCTTCCTGGTCTCCCATGTGGGTGCAAGGGCCCAAGGACCTGGGCCATCCTCCACTGCTTTCCCAGGCCATAGCAGAGAGCTGGATGGGAAGAGGAGCATCCAGGACTAGAACCGGCACCCATATGGGATGCCGGCGCCACAGGTGGAGGATTAACCTATTGCGCCACAGTGCCAGCCCCGGCATATCTTATTTTATACAATAGCTGTTATTTATTTAACACACAAACCTTTTAAATAAATCCAAATATAGTTGTACTAATTTTCATTAATTTTAAAATTTCAAAGCTGCAGTGAGTGAATTATAGACCGCCAGCATTTTTATAAACATACCCTTTTTAAGTAGTAACAGTATCATGTAAACCATATTATTTATATATATAACTTTTGAAAAGGATTCTAGAATTGTTATCAATTTAAAATTCACTCATTCAATTATCTAATAATTGGGGGACTACTAAAAAAAATCCTAACATAGTCCTGTTATTGGTGTGATGTTAGCTGTATCAAACTGATAAAGCAAAACAACTGCCATGATAGGTCACGCTATTAAAGTTAGCAGAGCACCCTGTAACAATCAATTATGCCAAAGATATAAATATTATTAAAGCTGTGAATTTTCAGTTTGCAAAACATTGAAGATTAATATAAAAAAAAAAAAACTGGTGCCAACCGGGAAGGCAGTGGAGGATGGCCCAAGTGCTTGGGCCCCTGAGCCCACGTGGGAGACCAGGAGGAGGCACCTGGCTCCTGGCTTCAGATCAGCGCAGCACCGGCCATGGCGGCCATTTGGGGAGTGAACCAGTGGAGGGAGGACCTTTCTCTCTAACTGCCAAAATAAATTAAAAAATTTTAAAAATTATAAAAAAAGAACTGGTGCCAGGACTGCAACATCCATGTCATTATAAAGTATTACTAGAGTCCAGAATGCACCCATCAAAAGCCTGAAGTACTTTTTTCGGTAACAATTATGTTGAGACATAGTGAACTTACCATAAAGCCTACACTTTAAAAGTATGTAATTTAGTTTTCAGCATACTCACAAAGTTGTGGACTGGTCACCACTACCTAATTCTAGAATTTTTCCATATTCCCAAAGGGGAAATCCTGTATCTGTTATAATATGTCACACTCCATCCACAGGCAATACACTACCTCCATGGATTCTCCTAGTCCAGTTATCTCTTAAGTGGAATCACAAAATATTTCATCTGGGTCTGGCTTCTTTCATGTAGCATGTTCTCAAGCTTCACCCACGTTATAGCATCTATCATTACCTCATTCTTATTTATTTATTTAAAAAGATGCACAAAGCTTGACAGGACTCTGAATTTTTTTTGTTGTTATCTGAAAGGCAGGCAGAGGTCTTCCATTTGCTGGTTTTCTTCCCAAATGCCTGTAACAGCCAGAGGTTGGCCAGGCCAAAGCCAAGAGCCTGGAACTCAATATGGTCTCCCAAGGAACTGAGCCATCATCTGCTTGCCCTCCATGGTATGAAATAGCAGGAAGCTGGATGGGAAGTGGAGCTGGGCCTCAAATCCAGACATTCTGACATAGGATGCAGGCATCCAAGGAAGGGTCCTTATCCACTGTGTCCAATGTCTGCTCTAAAGTTTTATTTACTCACTTGAGAGACAGCACCCACTTCTCCAAAATGCTGGCTCTCTTCCCTCAAAATGTCCACAATGTCAGGGAGGCTGAACCTGGAAACCAGGAACTCAATCAGGTCTCCGATGGGAGTAGCAAGGAATCCAATTATGTGAGCCACTACCACTGATTCCCAGGGCTGCACTTCAGTAGAAAGTTGAAACCAGGAGTCCAGAGCCAGGGACCAAACCCATGTACTCGGATGTGGGATGCCAAGTGTTCTAACCAGTCTTTATGGCTAGGCCTACCCCTTCATTCCATTTTATAGCCAAATAACATTCCACTGTACAGATACACCACAGTTAACTGATGGTCATTTTGGTTGTTTCTAGCTAAAAGTACTTTTGATGACCTGAACAGACACAATTTTACCCAAAGAATTTATTATGCTTAAAAGTTATGCTTAAAAGCAAGCACAGAATACTATATTAAATCTTAATAATACATGGAATGTGTATGTGACATCTTTGGGGATGCATTACTATTTACCAGTCATGCTACTGATTTCTTGGCTACAGTGAAGAACATCAGGTTTGTTTTCACTTTGTTTTGCCCTGAAATCACCCAATCTAAAATTTCCTGAGATTTTACACACTCTAATTATAATCAGCCTCTATCATTTATTCTAAGGTAACTTCCCAAAGTGTGTTCCTCAATGAAATGGACTTAGGAACACAAAACTTCACTGCAGAACTTTTCAAAGTCCGAATATGCTAATGTGCATTGCTCATCAAGGGTATCGGAGTGGATGGACATTTGGCATAGCAGTTAACATGCTGGTTGGAAACCCACATTCCATACTGGAGGGCCTGGCTTCAAGTTCCAACTCCTGACTCCAACTTCCTGCCAGTGTGTACCCTAGGAAGCAGCAGGTGATGCCTCACGTAGCTGCATACTTGCCAGCCACATGGGAGACCTGGCCCAGCTGAGGCCAATGCAGGATTTGGAATATGAACCAGCAGGTGGATGGCAGCTGTCTCTCTTTCTGTATCTCTCTACCTCTTAAATAAACAAACATTAAAAAAGAGAGAGAGAGAGAGAGAGAGAGAAAATAGTGTAAAGCATTTCCAAAAGGAAATATACTTGAAAAGTTTACCACTAGGTCCCACTTGCCCATTTCTGCCCCCTAAAAAGAGAAAGTCATGCACGTTTGGCACCTTGCATCTATATGGACAGTGATCTAGTTCATTTTCTAGCTCACAGCAGGCAAACAGCACAGGGTCTCCCAAAGCGGTACACCTCCCCACATACTCCAAAGTCAAACCTTTAGAGCCTACTTTTGTTACTTTCTATCAAGTGTTTTGAGTTCCCAGAAACAACCATGTTAAAGTAAATTTAGTCACGCTGCATATACTATTTTTAAGACACTTCAATCCGCTTTAAGACAAAAAAGAATTCAAGAAAATGAGAAATTACATACATACTTTCAGATATAAGCATAAGAACTTTTATAATCTATCACAGTGTATTAGCAAACCTGCATATTTAATTCTTTGCTTGGCCTTATTCTGACAGTAATACTAGATATTATGAGCAGAGGACCTTCTCCAGAGTTGCTCTCTACTGTAGAAGTGAAAGAATAAAATTTCATATGAAATAACTTTTTCTCCTCAGTTACATCTATCTGATGCTGTTTTTCTAAACTGTAATCTTCTATTAATTTCCACCACCATCTCCTAGAGTTTTTCTACCAACTTTCAGAAAAGAAAAGCAATGTATTGTATCAAATTTTACAAGGCATCTTAAAGAAACCATAAAACCCTTAAATAAGTTCATCTACAGTTATACACTTACAAACTAAAGAATGCCTAAGTCAATAAAAAGAAACTGTATTGCCCAAAATGGATTTCTTTTCCAAGAATAAAGGTTGAAAATTTATAATCTCTTACCTAGTGATATCATACACCATAAGTGCGCCTGCAGCTCCTCTGTAGTAGCTTCGTGTAACAGCCCTAAACCGCTCCTGTCCTGCTGTATCCCAAATCTGCAGTTTGATTTTTTGGCCACTAACTTCAATTATTCTTGTACCAAATTCAACACCAATTGTGTGAGGACAATCAGCCATAACTGTTAGGGAGGGAAAAAAATATATCCCAACTTTCAGAAAATTTCAAATTAAGACTAGTGGGGAAAAATCTAGTGAATTATCACATGATTTACTAATACTTGCAGTCTATAAATAGACTAAACCTAACACTGAGAGGGGAAAAAAAAGAAGTCAGAGAAATATGACTGGACTAGAACAGGGGTTGGCAAACTTCTGGAAAGAACCAAACATTAAATATTTTAAGTTGCGTAGGCTAAAAGTCTCAACTACTTAGCTCTACCACTGAAGCATGAAAGCATTCAGAGAGAATATTAAAACAGGTGCAGCTGCAATAAAAATAGTTATAAAACAGCCAGTGACTAGATCTGGCCCACAGGAGGCCACAGTTTGCTGACCCCTGAACTAAAAGAATCTGTTAAGTAAAGTTATAGATTTTAATAAACTCTTCACAACACCAACATTATACTCTTTAGTTTTCTATCATTATCAATAACAAATCAATCAATGGTCTTAGAACTCCAAGAGCTGCTAGTCAAATTTCTATCCTAGAAAATACTATCAGTGTCTCAAATAAAATCCTCACATTTAATATATATTTATAATTATATACCAGCAAGTTATATATGTCTAAGACAATAGGACAAGTTTATTAGTTCTTTCCTTATTATTGGGCCACATAAAACCTAAACTCACTAATCTCTGGTAAAAATGCACAGACTACTGTACATTTCATAAAACACTAAATCAAACCACTTTAGTAAGCAGCACAAAAATGCTATAGAAATAATTTCAACCATATAAAAACTTCAATTATATTTAGTATATCAATTACAACAAATTGGTCCCTTCCCCTACCCCCCAAGACTAAGTATTTCAAATCTATTAGGTAAACAAATATGTATACAGCAAATTTCTCTCAACAAGACAATCAATTTCTATAGCAAATTGGAGAATAGGAGACTTCCATTTGACACTATTCTACGTATCTAAATAAACTTTATATTTTGTCATTAAGAAATCTAAAAAAGTGAATCAGATTATTTATCACATAAAAATCAACACCCCCAGAATACTGCTATATGTTTCATTTTATTTATCTGCACCTATTTTTAAAGTCACTACATCTAAAAAGTGCAGAGGAAAAGGTTATATTTAAATGCATAAAGTACACGGAAATGACACTTTTTTAAAAACAGAGATAAAGATACCAATGTTTTACCTCACACATTGAACTTACATTTTTTTTCTGTAAACTGATGAAGCAAGCAAGACTTTCCTACTCCCATGTCCCCTGTTTAAAAAAAAAAGTTTCAGGTGGCAATTACATTTCTCAATTTTATGCTCTCATATGCAATAACTGCTATACCCCTTACCATATATCATATCACAAGTTTCTGGAACACTTAGAAAAACTATTTTCCTACATTATAAGGGATTGAAAAGACCTGTAAGTTTTCACTGAAATATACTGACTATCCCAACCTTCAGCAAGTGATTAAATTTGCTTGAAAATTATTAATAAATAGCCACCAGCTGAGATCTTTCTAACAAATTATCATAACACTTTTTTACTTTAAGTAGTCTTAAAAGTTTTGCTCTGTTTTTTGTCCCCTTAACCCATGCATAGAAAGCAAAATTCTTAACAGTGATAATGGGGTCTATAACAAGTAAAAATAAGAAATTAAGCTTTGGAAGCTTGACTCACTAGATCTCCAGTCTTATCTCATTTTTTTTCTTGTATTTCTTGTAGAATTCCATGAAAGAATATGCATTATAGGAAAACCACACAGAACAGATGTCATCTCTTATTGTGCAACAGCAATACTTGGTGAAGGATGAATTATAGTCATAAAATTCCACATTAAAAAAAATAACCTAATGTGAAGAGTTCATTGAAAAGCAAGTGTACTTTCAGCTGTACTCTCAGAACTAAGCATGTGAAGGCCAACACTGCGGTGCAGCAGGTTAAAGCCCCAGCTGCTCCTCTTCTGAACCAGCTCTCTGCTATAGCCTGGTAAAACAGTAGAAGATGGCTCAAGTGGGAGACTCGGAAGAAGCTCCTGGCTCCTGACATCAGATGGGCTCAGCTCCGGCCATTGTGGCCATCTGGAGAGTGAAGGGAGATTGATCTCTCTGTCTCTACCTCTCTCTGTAACTCTTTCAAATAAATAACATTTAAAAAAAGGAACTATGCATGAATAAACAGCATTAAGTCTACTCATGTTGGGTCCAGTGCTGTGATAACAACAGGTTAAATTGTCACCTGCAACACCAGAATCCCATAAGGGTGCCAGCTTGAGTCCTGGCTGCTCCACTTCTGAGCTAGCCCCCTGATAGCACACATGGGAAAGCTTTCGAAGATGGCCCAACTACCTGCCACCCAAGTAAGAGACCCAGATGGAGTTCCAGGCTGCTGGCTTTGATGGGGCCCAGCCCTGACTGTTACAGCCATTCTGGAGAGTGAACCAGCAGATGAAAGCTCTAACTGTGCCTTTTAAATAAGCCAGTGAAAAAGGAAAAGGAAAAGGAAAAGGAAAAGGAAAAGGGAAAGGGAAAGGGAAAGGGAAAGGGAAAGGGAAAGGGAAAGGGAAAGGGAAAGGAGAAGAAAGAAAGAAAGAAAGAAAGAAAGAAAGAAAGAAAGAAAGAAAGAAAGAAAGAAAGAAAGAAAGAAAGAAAGAAAGAAAGAAAGAAAGAAAGAAAGAAAGAAAGAAAGAAGGAAGGAAGGAAGGAAGGAAGGAAGGAAGGAAGGAAGGAAGGAAGGAAGGAAGGAAGGAAGGAAGGAAGGAAGGAAAGAAAGAAAGAAAGAGAGAGAAAGAGAGAGAAAGAGAAAGAGAAAAAGAGAAAGAGAAAGAGAAAGAGAAAGAAAAGAAAAGAGAAGAGAAGAGAAGAGAAGAAAGGAAAAAAGAAGAAAGGAAAAAAGAAAAAGAAATATTTTAATTTGAGCAAAATCTTCTTGAGGGGTCGGTGTTGTGGCGTAGCAGGTAAAGCTGCCGCCTATAGTGCCGGCATCCCATGTGGGCTCCAGTGTGAGACCCAGCTGGCTCCACTTCTGATCCAGCTCTCTGCTATGGCCTGGGAAAGCAGTAGAAGATGGCCCAAGTCCTTGGGCCCCTGCAGCCTTATGGGAGACCTGGAAGAAACTCCTGGCTCCTGGCTTCAGATCAGCACAGCACCCGCCATTGTGGCCAACTGGGGAGTGAACCAGAGGATGGAAGACCTCTCTCTCTGCCTCTCCTCTCTCTGTGTAACTTTCAAATAAATTAATTAATCTTTAAAAAAAAAATCTTCTTGAATCTTAACAGGAGGTGCCAGCATTGTGGCATATTGGATTAAGCCCTGCTTCTGAAGCTGGCTTCCCCATACGGGCGCCAGTTCATGTCCTAGCTGCTCCATTTTCAATCCAGCTCCCTGAGAATAGCCTGGGAAAACCAGCAAAGGATGACTCAAGTGTTTGGGCACCTGCCACCCACCTGGTGGTGGTTCTTCCAAACTACAATGAAGCTCCTGGCATCTGTACCTGGCTTTCACCTAGCCTAACTGGCTGTTGTGATCATCCGGGGAGTGAACCAGCAGATGGAAGATATCTCTCTTTCAATAAATTAAAAAGAAAAAAGAAAAAACTTATGGGAAAATTTCAATGCTAGCCTTAATGTATTGCACAGCTTATTCTAGATCAATGTTCTCTACCACTTTTGGAATCCACGGAGATCTGAGGACTTTCATGATACTTCTGGAATATTTCAGCACTCCTAGGGATTAAGCTCATCCCTCGTATTAACAAGTGTTCGGGTAGCCCTCAAAAATCACTAACACCACTTCCCCAAATACCCAGAATTGGTCCATAAAACTATGCAGACCAGGGCCAAAACACAACGGGTACATTTTTAATGCAAAACAAACAAACAAAATTTATCAAAAAAAGCTTTAGTTTTGCAGTGAGAGAACCATTCACTCCATCTGGAGTGGTATGTTTACATATTAGTATACAAATATTTTGTGTTAACCTTCAGTGAAGAACAAGAGTAGGAGTTAAATAAACTTACCAATAATAATATATTTAAAGATGTAAGAGTAGTTGTATGGTGCAGTTGCCATGGTGGCACTAAAAACAAAGAAAACTGCGTTACTTCAGAAGGAAAGTATACACAAGTTATCCAAACTGATCACAACTATCCTTTAAAAATACTGTATAAAGCACGCCAAATACAAAATAAAATGCTGATTATAATAGGTCAGAGTAAAATTATATTTTCCAAGTTGATCAAATACACAAATTCTCTTGAATGAAAGTTGCTTTAACATTCTAATGCATTATTCATAGAAGTATGAGAGACAATATATAACAAAACATCTCCAATATTTCACTTTAGAAAATACCCAATAAGAAATGTTACTCTGGAAGATTTCAAACAAGAAAAATCTTTATAAATTTAAATACTGTTATTAAATAGTCCCGTTTTCCCCTTAAGGTCTTCCCTATTAACTGATCAAATGAGTTACTAATGGTATAAAAAGTAACCCTAACTCTTAAATACAAACTAACATTTTTACCCTAATTCAACAGCACAGCATCCAAAAAAAGAGCAATCATGATTTCCAAAACAAATTAGTGCTAAAAGTGCTGTGGTACAACAGGTTAAGCCACTGTCTTGCATGCCAAATGAGCACTAGTTTGAGTTCCTGCTGCTCCCCTTTCAACCCAGTCTCCTACTAATGCACCTATGAAAGCAGCAGATGATGGTCTAGTACTTGGGCCCTAGTCACCCATGTGGGGACCCAGGTGGTGTTCCAGACTCCTGGCTTCAGCCTGGCCCAGACTAGCCTGGCCTAGTCCAGCCCTTGTGGCCATTTGGGAAACGAACCAGCAGATGGAAGATATCTCTCAGTCTGTCTCTACCCCTCTCTTTCAAATAAATAAATCTTTTGTAAAAAATTAGATTGAAATGGGGCCAGCGCTGTTGCACAGTAGGTTAAGCCTCCACCTACAATACCAGCATCCCATATCAGAGCGCTGGTTCATGTCCTGGCTGCTCCACTTCTGATCTAGCTCCCTGCTAATATGTCTGAGAAAGCAGCAGAAGATGGCCCAGGTGCTTGGGCCCCTGAAACTATGTGGGACACCCGTAAAAAGGCCCTGGCTCCTGGCTTCGGCCTGGTCCAGTCTTGGCCTTGTGGCCATTTGGGCAGTTAACCAGCAGATGGTAGATTGATCTCTCTCTCTCTCTCTCTCTCTCTCTCTCTCTCTCTCTGTATCTATGCCTTTCAAATAAACAAATAAATCTATTAAAAAAAAAAAAAAAAAGCCAAGCCAAAATAAATGAAGAAAATTAGATTGAAGCACATCAAATTGTTGATTCTACAGACTTTTTAAAAAGGTTAATTATTATTGGCAATTTCACATGGTTTAACCTAAGACTTGCAGATTAACAATGCATCAAATGCCTATTAAGTAGCTGCAAGAGCTGAGAGAAAAAACACCGTAAAACTGTACTTCTTGGGGCTGGCGTTGTGGCACAGCAGTTAAGCGGCCACCTGCAACACCAACATCTCATATGAGCATCAGTTCAAGTTCTGGCTGTTCCACTCTGATCCAGGTCACTGCTAATGCACCTGGGAAAGCAGCGGAGTACTTGTGCCCTGGGAACCCATATGGAAGACCCGAATGGAGTCTCAAGCTCCTCCCGGCTTTGGCCTGGCCCAGCTCTGGCTGCTGCAGCCATTTGGAGAAAAAAACAGAAGATGGAAGGCCATTCTCTCCCTCTATCTGTAACTCTATCTTTAAAATAAACTATATGTTTTTGTAAAATTTGAATGCTCATGTGTTTAAAAGATCACAGCCCATTCCTTACCCTCCTATAGATTTAATAAATAATTTTAATTTCTCTCCTACTTTAAGTAGCTTAAAGAAAAAAAAAAAAAAGCTCCAGCGATCAGCACTGCAACACACAGTTAAGGAACCGCCTGCAACACTGGCATCCTATTTGGGAGTATCAACTCAACTGCTGGCTGCTACTTTGATCCAGCTTCCTGCTAATGTGCATGGGAAAGCAGTGGATAATCACCCAAGTAGTTGGATCCCTGCCACCCATATGGGAGACCCAAATGAAGTTCTAGGCTCATGACTTCAGCCTGGCGCAGCCTTGGCTGTTGTAGCTGGCTGGGGAAAGAACCAGCAGATGGAAGATACCATTCACTTTCTCTCTCCCTCTTTATCTTTCAAATAAATAAATAATCTTTTAAGAAAAGTTCCAATTTATTTAAATGGATGCATTATATGTGTCAGACATTGCGTTAGGTGCCAGAGAAATAAAGGATGAATTCTAACACTGAGAAGAACTTGCAATCAAATTTATTCTCAAAGCAGTTTTCAGCTTATCACAAGACTCGCATACATACATGTATAAAGATTTGATCCTATCTTTAAAAATCTTATTTACAATATTTTACGTTTTTTACTGTTTTGGTAAATGTCACATTACACAACCAAGACATATGATAGGATGAGATTCATTTACTGAAATACTGTATACCATATTTCAAATAACATTTCTATATAATTGGAAAAATTCAATCTTTAGAAAGAATAAACACTTAAAATAGGTGATTATGGTTATCTGGGAAGAGGAAGTTATTATTAAATAATCATTTTGCAACAGTCTTTCAGCTGCAGTACATATTATGTTCAGCAAAAGTAGATGCCTTGCTACTCATGCCTTGGCATGTTGCAGCAGGTTTATAATCAGTCTTCTACATCACAGAAAACTCCTTTGACCAGTTCTCTGAGGAAAGGAAGTTTTTCTGGCTAGATTAAATCTGATTCTAAACATCACAATTTTATTCATTTTTCTAGATACTAGGGACTCAAAACCCAAGAATGAACTTGGTTATCAGGCTAAAATTGATCTTTCAACAGGTCTCTGAACCAGAAGACAAAACATAAGGAAAAATAATAATCTCTTACATTAAATACATTTAAAGGTTATTAACTTCCTAACTGCATTCTTCTATACTCTTTCTTTCTAATTAATTTTTAAATCCTCTTCTATTCTTTCTCCTTTCAAATATGGGCACTTAATCACATTTAAATTACTGTTTTGTGCTGTTCCCCTCAATTCTCCTATTTCCTTTCTCTCTTCTAACTAAAGGTTGTAACTATGCATACTTTCTTTCCTTCTACTTTATTATGTAAAAATTACGGCTTCTAACAATCCCAATTTCAACATCAAACACTCTAAAAGCTAATCGTGAAATTTTGCACATAATTCTAGTTGTTAATTTAGTGTCCTTGCTAACTTATCACACAGAGCACCAATCTACTGATAACTAATTTTGAAAATGATTTTTTAAATTATGAGCATTGAAACAGAACTATTTCCAAAATTAAAAAAAAAAAAAAAAAAGATCAGGGCATTTGGCAAAGTGGTAAGGACACACTTGGGATGCAAATATCCCATACTGGAGCACCTGTTACCCAGCTCCACTCCCAATTCCAGCTTCCCACTAATACGCACACTGGGAGGCAGCAGGGACGCCTCTCCCTTGTTCTCTTTCTCATAAATAAAAATAAAAAACAAATGATCACTATTTCAGACTGAATACCAGCACTTTGTCTCTATCTAACCACACAATTTTCTGACTGAAATTTCTTAAAGAATGTCAAATAAAAACCCTAAAAACAGAGTTAAAGGACAACTCAAATTTACTAATTTCAGTAGACAAGGCAGGAAATATCTAATGCTCTAGTCACCAGCACTCCTAACATGCCCTCCCTTTCTTATTCTAAGATAAGATACTAGCTAGGTCCAACTACTAGTATACTGGGGCCACACTGGCACAGTAGGTTAAACATCTGCCTGCAGCGCCAGCATCCCATTGGGGCACTGGTTTGAGTCCCAGCTGCTCCACTTCCAATCTAGCTCCCTGCTGATGGCCTGGAAAAGCAGAAGGTGGCCCAAGCGCTTGGGTCTCTGCACATGCTTGGGAGACCCGGAAAAAGTTCTTGACTCCTGGCTCTGGATTGGCCCAGCTCTGGCCGTTGCAGCCATTTGGGGAGTGAACCAGCAGATGGAAAACCTCTCTCTGTGTCTTGCCTTCTATCTGTAACTCTTGCCTCTCAAGTAAATAAATAAATCTTAAGTAAGCAAATACTAGTATAGTCCCATAGTTTATTGATACATTGTCAAAATTATGTATTTGGATAACTACATTCAAGGGGCCCCTTTTAAAAGGACTTCTCAAACTCATTTCTTGACCCACTGTTACAGTGAGAAATATATTTTTACCTAGCTTGAGAAGGAAAAAAAGGTTACTATTCAAGGATGCTTTTGCTTTACTTACTTAGATAAATTAAAGGTCAAAAGCAGGGGAAGCAAGAAATGTTGACCTAGTTCAAACACTGAAAACACAAGTCCATTCAAAAATCAAAATCTCCTCTGATTTAAACAAAAAAGCCTTAGTAAAATTCTGTAATTTATGTACAACTACCAATGCTATTAAAATATAGTTTCTTGTATATTTTATTTTATTTAAGATTTTTTTATTTACTTGAAAGTTAGAGTTATACAGAGAAAGGAGAGGCAGAGAAAGAGAGAGGTCTTCCATCTGCTGGTTCACTCCCCAGATGGCTACAATGGCCAGAGCTGCGCCGATGCAAAGCCAGGAGCCAGGAGCTTCTTCCGGGTCTCCCACATGGGTGCAGGGGCCCAAGGACTTGGGCCATCTTCTACTGCTTTCCCAGGCCATAGCAGAGAGCTGGATCAGAAGTGGAGCAGCGGGGACTAGAACTGGCACCCATATAGGATGCCAGCACTTCAGGCCAGGGCATTAACCCCCACGCCACAGCGGCGGTCCCTCTTGTATATTTTTCTAAAAACCACTTGGCTAAATTACACATGCAGATATTATCTCCTTTAATGCCTTTGATTTCTTTTTTAAAAAGAGTAGTTATTTCAAACAATAGGCATCATCAAATACAAGATAATCAATTTGTAAATAAGACAACTGTTATAGTTACCATTTATTGGGCATTTAACATATACAAGACAAGGTGCTAAATAAATGCAATTTTATTTAAATCTTACAACTAGTCTTAGAAAATAATAT